CTTCTGCCTTCACTCACTCAAAGCAGCAATCCAGAAAATTACAATCCAGAAAATACATCCGGAAAATACCGTAACAAAATTTAATGCTGTTTTCAAAAAGGGCTTGTTCACATATGATCCCTTTCCAGAAAACTGCCTGAAAAGTCTGTATGTGTGAAAGGGGCTAATGACTCGATGCACATGCAGGTTGTCAAATTGATGACGTCAATGTCAGTGAGTATGGATTTATGTTCACTAAAGATAAATCAGTTAAATTAAATTATTTTATTGGACAACAAAACTGTAAAACAAAGTTTAAGTAATGAAATTACACTGTGAAAAATGTAATGACAAAAAGTCAAGACAACAAATATGTGTATGTTGCTTTAACTTAAGATGTTAATCATGTTTAAGCTAAATTTCTTTAAGTTCCACAAAGATTAACTTAATATATTTAGTCAGTTTGATAGATGTAAGTTGAGATGACTATAAACGTTCATTTGATTCAAGTAAAAAAAATGTAGGCAGCAATTTAAGTTTTTTTTTTTCTAAAATAAAAAAATAAAGATATCACGATTGTCAATAATGAGAGACATCCTTTATTACACCTCTTCCAATTGTTACCATCAGGTCATCGATATTGTGTTTTCAGATGTGTAAGAAATAGAAGAAAAATTATCATTTTTATAACAAGCAATTAAACATTTACATTTCTCCTCCCTCAGTAGCAGTTGATGGCTTGTAGACTGGACAGTTTTTTTTTTTTTTTTTTATAGTAGGGGTACCATGTTGTATTTAAATGTATATATGCCAAACGTTAAATGTCAGATGTTTCTGTGAGTGTATGCTGCACATGAAATTTTCCCACGAGACAAATAAATTTAACTAACTAACTAACTAACTAACTAACTAACTAACTAACTAACTAACTAACTAACTAACTAACTAACTAACTAACTAACTAACTAACTAACTAACTAAAAAAATAGACTAAAGATCGCCAATAAAACTTATAACAAAACAATCAAATAAAACAATCTAATCATTCACGTCTTTAAAACAATTAATTTGCGAGTTGAGCAATTAAAATAGTTTTGCTTAACTGATATAAAGCTTAAATTAAAAAAAAATAAAATATTACTTTCATATATTTCCAATAAAACTGACCTGATTTAAAATTAAAAGTGAAACAAACTAAAAGTGAATAAAACACAACCTAGATCCAAATGAATTAATAAATGTGCTGTGAGTCCAGAATTATTTATTGAAACTTTCAGTCATATAAAATCAAGAAGAATTCAAACTTTTTTTTTTTTTTTTCATTTTTATAAAGGATCCAGTGATTTTACACTTGTCATTGAATATATCTGTTCCAATAGCAAACACTATTTCATGTTGACCTCAACTTCAGGGATGGAAAACACACTGAAGAACTCAAAACATGACTGAGGTTTAAACTTAGAAACAAACTCTCAGGTTAAAGCAGATTATGAGATGAGGATAACATGCTGTCTCTTGAAGGACACTCAGAAGTATATATAGTGTCTTGAAACTTCATCTAACAGTGTGTTTTTGATAGTGCATATCATTGAGCTTGATTATAACAATGAAGTTACATGTTTAGTGAAGATACTTGTTTATCTAAAAATAAAAATAAAGCTAAAGTAAATTATTCCTTTTTTATGTCTCCTTTAAGACTCCTTTATGACTGAAAGTTATGTACGTTCAGTGTCCAAATGTCTTTGTTTTGATCAGTGTAACTCCATGACACTGCAAGTTTACACAATTATATTTTGGCACCCTGTGTTGCCTTTATGGAAAACTCCAGAGTATAGTAGAAGCCTCCAAAATGGGATGCATATTCAGAGTTATAAAAATCCATATAAAGGGGTTTTTAATTAGCAAATAATATAAATATTACAATATTACAAATGTAAACATTAGCTGAGTAGCTTGCAATGTTGAGGACTGGGAAGCACATAGCCGACGCCAAACAACTACCACAGACAAAACCCATTTGTTTGGCTGACTTAAGTCTGGTTCTACCTGGATCAAAGAGCTGCACGTGAACACAACAAACGGATGTCAGCCAACTGAAATGGACATGCTTTTTTACACCTGTGGGGTTGTAATCTGTTTTCTCATTACACAAAAGGAAATTAGAAGGTGAAAATGTGAGCAGACAGACTGTAATAAAAGTGGTTTATTTATAAACTAATTACAAGAGGATCACGTACTTATGATTGCTTATGATTATCCTGCATTATTCAATCTAAATTCTCACCAATCAGACGATTCCTAAGGCATTATAAATACCCTAAGTTCGATATAACAGTCATCTTCGTTTTGAAGAATCCCCCCTTTTAACTGAAGTTTTAAAGATGTTCATTTCCTGCTATCATTTAAATGCCATTGTGTTCATGCTCAACAGAAATGACTGTGATTGGCCTTGAAGGTCATCGGTTCACTTCACAGTTATTGAAGCCGCAAAGGTATTGATTGGTACCAAAATTCCAATATCATGACAACACTAGTACCTAGTTTAACACTAGGTGTCAATCCCACATTAATTACTGCATCTTTAAAGGATTTTAAATGCACTTCATGGGGTGGATTGGCTCTTTGCCTCAGTGTCATGCATTTAAAATCATTTAATGCAAGCAAAGTCCATTGATTATTGTCCTATATTTAATATTATCCTTTACATATTGTGTTATTGAATATAGGCACACATCTACAACCCCATCAACTGAAGTAAAGCCAAGAGAGCCTAAAAGATGAGTGAGAGGGATGTCAGCTTTACCTTAGAAATATGATTATATCAATAAGCATCTTCAGCCTTGTGTTCTGGCAGCTCTGGGGCTCCAGCACACGTTTGGTATTTGTGCGCTGAGATGGACAGTCTCATATTAGCATTCAGCACCTCACAGGATGCAGGCCGGGGAATGTGGGTGCCAGTTCAGAGACGGGTCGAGGGCAGCGGCGCAGAACGAACAATTCTTCCTCAATTGTCCAACACATAGTCATAATGAGGAAACATTGATTGTAAACAACAGAGGCACAGTAATTGGGACTCCGTGGGGTAGGCGTCAGGACTCGGCCCAGTGGACAGCAATGGGTGAGGAATGCTGCTTATTCAAGGAGAGACGTGTGAACGTACTGCTAAACAGGAGGAACTGTGCTTACAGGTGTAATGCCCGTTGTTTCAATTTAAATGTGTTTTATGTTTATTAGCATTTGATATACTTGAAATATATATGTTAGTGAGCAGTTTCCTAAGGTTCATGATTCGTTAGGGTTTTCTGTATATTGAGTTCTGCTTTGATGGCTTTTAATGTTGAAAAGAATAGTAAAGAGTTTTTTTATTGACTGATTTGTCAATAAGTTTGAGTTTCAAATGATAAGTTGATGGAGTTGGTCAAGTAAAAAATGATGATACAAAAACTGGGACAATAATTTATTTTTTCACAGATTCCACAGAAATATTAAGCAGCACAACAACATTTAATATGTGTGTATGCATGTATGTATGTATGTGTTTCTTAGTTTATGTATCTACTGTATATATTTGTTTTTATTTATGCATGAATGCATTTGTTTTGTTTTGTTTTGTTTTGATTTACTTTGTTTTGTTTAATTTAATGTAGTTTTGTTTTGTTACATTTTGCTTTGTCACATTTTATTTTGTTTTACTTTGTTTTGTTTAATTTAATTTTGTTTTGTTTCATTTAATTTTGTTTCGTCTCATTTCATTTTGTTTCATTATGTTTCATTTTGATTTGTTTTGTTTTGTTTTGCTTTGCTTTTTTTTTTTATTTTTTACTTTGTTTCATTTATTGACATGACAACAGTTGCTGCAGATTTGTCGGCTGCACATCCATGATGTGAATCTCCCGTTCCACCACATCTCAAAGGTAGATTGAGATCTGGTTACTGTGGTGGCCTGTAGGGTAAATTTTCTCTTTTTCGGACCATTCTTTGTAAACTCTGGATATGGTTGTGCGTGTAAATCCCAATTAGATCAACATTTTCTGAAAAACTCAAACCAGCCAGTCTAACATCAACAACCATGACACGTTTAAAATCCCTTAAATAACTTTTCTTCATCATTCTGATTCTCGTTTTAATATAAAACATTGTCGTGACCATGTCTACATGCCTTAATGCATTGAGTTGCTGCCATGTGACGGACTGGTGGCAGTTGGACAGGTGTACCTAATAAAGTGAAGATAGTGATATCACTAAAGATATTAATAAATGTTTCTTTTGCACCAATTTTTTTTTCTTATTTTTTAAGTTATGTTTATTTAAATATATATTTGACTAAATGTCAAAAAAAAAAAAAAAAAAAAAATATATATATATATATATATATATATATATATATATATATATATATATTTTTTTTTTTTTTTTTTCTTAAAAATTATTTATTGACATTAAATCAAATATATATTTAAATAAACATAACTTAAATATATATATGTAAATCAAATATATGAAATCTGGCAAGTAAAATAATGGTAGCATCACATCTGATGTCATGGAAAAAAAAATTTTCTATCTCAGTAGCGTCTGCATCTTCTTGACACTAAAGTGGTTTATGTGATATTTATGGAGCTACTGTAAGTCATTTTGTGGAGTTGTTGATCTGAATGGGGAATGACAGATGGAATTTTTATATTCATTATATCAGAACGGTTTGTAGTGTCGATGACTGTGATAAAACAACAGTGGAAAAAAAGAAACAGTCTAGTTCTGTCATGTTTTTAAAGACATTTGTTTCTGTGTTCTGTATATGAATAGGCATAACGAGATGGCAGTGAATTAGCACTCCTCAGCGCCTCTGATACCCCCGCAGGGAATATTTCATGTAAATATCAGCTTTTGGAGTGCAGCGCTGAACATTTGGTGTGCAGTTTATGGTGATGTTACTGATGATGCAGTGTTATAAATCAGTGGTTGAGTGTGATGTCTGACAGCTGGAGGTTTATGTTGATCCTTGTTTGTTGTTTTCTCAGAGCCATCACTCTGGATAATACGCTGGTCATCCTGTCCACCGTGGCCCCAGATGCTGGACGATACTACGTGCAAGCTGTGAATGACAAGAACGGAGAAAATAAGACCGGCCAACATATAACACTGTCTGTGGAAAGTAAGTCTGTTGAAAAAAGAAATACACATGAACTTTTTTAATGTTGTAATTTGCAGAATTTCACTAGCTAGGCAGTTGCTGGGGTATTGTGGATGACTGCAGATAGTTGTTAGGATGTTGCAGTGTGGTTACTTGGGTATTCTAATTGTTGTTGCAGTGTTGCTATGAAGCAGCTGCTAGGGTGATTTTGGTCTTTGACTTTTGATCTTTAGCTCTATTGTCTATTCATCCAGCCGTCTATCCTTCTGTCTGTTTATCTGTCTGTCTGTCTGTCTTTCCGTCCATCCATGCATCCATTCATCAATCATTTCACTCTTAATGTCTGTCTGTACATCAGTCCATCCATCCCCCCATCCATCTCTCTGTCCACCCATCCATCTATAATTCCTTCTGTATGTACATCCATTCATCCATCACCTATCCATCTATTTCTCTGTCTGTCTGCCTGTCTGTACATCCCTCAATTTATCTATCTATCGATCCATCCATCATCTGTCTGTCTGTCTGTCTGTCTGTCTGTCTGTCTGTCTGTTTGTCTGTCTGTTTGTACATCCATCAATTCATCTATCCATGCATCCATCCATCCATCTATCATCTGTTTGTTTGTCTTTTGGTCTGTCCGTCTGTCCATCCATCCATCATCCATCCATCCATCCATCCATCCATCCATCCATCCATCCACCTATCCATCCATCCATCCATCCATCATTTCTTCCATCAATTTTTCTGTCGGTCTATACATCCATCCATCTATCCATCTTATATATCTCTGTCTGTCTGTATATCATCCATTTATCATCTCTATCTATCTGTTTTGTCCATCACCCATCCATCCATTTATTTTTGTGTCTGTCATGTTATCCATCCATCCATCCATCCATCCATCCATCCATCCATCCATCTATTTTTCTGTCTTTCATTTTATATATCATCCATCCATCCATTCATCCATCCATTCATCATCTATCTTTCTGTTGTTCTGTCTGTACATCCATCCATTCATCCATCCCTCCATCCATTCATACCTCTGTCTATACTTCTTTCTTTCTGTCTGTCCATCCATCCATCTATCCATCCGTCCATCCATCCATCGTCTATCTCTCTGTTTGTCTGTATATCATCCCTGCATCCATTCGTCCATACTTCTTTGTGTCCATTCATCCATCCATTCATCCATTATTCCTTCCATCAATTTTTCTGTCAGTCTATTCATCCATCCATCTAGCCATCTTATATCTCTCTGTCTGTCTGTATATTATCCATTTATCATCTATGTCTTTCTATTTTGTCCATCACCCATCTATCCATCCATCCATCTATTTTTCTGTCTGTCAGTTTATCCATCCATCCATCCATCCATTCATCAATTTTTCTGTCAGTCTATTCATCCATCCATCTAGCCATCTTATATCTCTCTGTCTGTCTGTATATTATCCATTTATCATCTATGTCTTTCTATTTTGTCCATCACCCATCTATCCATCCATCCATCTATTTTTCTGTCTGTCAGTTTATCCATCCATCCATCCATTCATCATCTATCTTTCTGTTGTTCATTCTGTACATCATTTCATCCATCCCTCCATCCATTCATACCTCTGTCTATACTTCTTTCTTTCTGTCCATCCATCCATCCATCCATCCATCCATCCATTCATCATCTATCTTTCTTTTGTTCATTCTGTACATCTATCGATTCATTCATCCCTCCATCCATTCATACCTCCGTCTTTACTTCTTTCTGTCTGTCCATCCATCATCCATCATCTATCTCTGTTTGTCTGTATATCATCCCTGCATCCATTCATCCATACTTCTTTCTGTCCATCCATCCATCCATTCTTCTATCTATCCATCCATCTATCCATCCATCTTTCAATCCATCTATCTATTTATCTATCTATTTGCAATTTCCTAAACTTTCTGAATGTGACCTTCAGTATATAGCATAAAACTGATACAGATGTATATATATACTTTTGCTGTCAGTCCCCCGCATTCATATTTGACAGATCTGAAGTAAAAGAAACACTGTTGTGTTGTATCACTCCCCCATAGGTCTTGTCTTTCCATTTTAGACAACATGCCGGTTTTAGGAGCATACACACTTGTGAACAACAGGCTATAGACAAACGCATATTTGCCTTCCGTGACAGAGCTTTGTTTTCACCCTCACAGCTTCTCACAATCGTAGACTCGGAATATTGACAGTTATGGATTGTGCTTTGTAAGAGTTTCAGTGTATCAGATTCTTTCAGCAAACCAGGATATGATTTGTCTGAGTCTAATACACAAGGAGCCAAGGAATGGTGCGGAGACAGCGAGGAGATTAGAGATCGTGGGAGGATGTATGTGTGCGTGTGTGTGTGCGCGCAACCGTGCGAATATGTGTGTGTGTGTGTGAGGACAGTCCTTCCCAGAAGGTGTATTTGAGTATCAGTGCTTTACAGAAACTGCTTCTGACAGAACTACACACACACCCAAACACACATTTGTTTTTGTGAATTGTGGGGACATTACATAGATTTACATTGTTGTTATACTGTATTTTGTATTGCCTTAGCCCCACCCTACCCCTAAATCCATCACTCACAGGAAACTGTGTACAGTTTTACTTTCTGAAAAAAAAACTTTTGAGAAATGAGGACATCAGCAATGTCCTCATATTTCACCATCTTTGTGTAATACCTGTGTCATACGTATGTAGTTATACCGATTTGTGTCGTCATATGTCACAAACACACACACACTTGTGTATATATGGTTTACGAGGACTCTTCAAAAGCTTAATGTATTTTATAAGGTAAAAAATGCATATTATAAGGCCTTACCCTACCCCTAAACTCACCCCTTGCAATAACCTGTGGCAAAGTTAGACCCCATTCAAGTGGCCATGAAATCAAAATGTACTCCTTCTATTTTTATATGTCTACACAGTAGTATTTCTTGTTATAAAGGTTGTATCTGTGCACTTCATTATTTTGTAAAAATTCATTTGTCCTCTTAATCTTTCAAATCCAGTAACCTTCCCTCCCTGTCGAAACGACTTTTTTACACTTCCTGGTTACATGGAAATCTTTAGGACAGGCATATCAGTGTGTGTCTGGTTTCTACTCTGAATTCTTTCAGTCGTCAGTCTTCCTTCATTTTGTTAGCAATGCCCATCCAACAATCCATTTGGTTCCCATAGAAGAAAACCATGCACCGGCCTTCATTTTTTTAGAACTTCAGGATCATTTGAAGTAAATGTGCATCACTACAAAGAATAAAGGACTTTTTGAGGTCACAAGTCAAATCCTCATGAAACTAACTTAATAGAGTACAACAACGCACAAAAAAAGATTTTGCTTTTTGTTTAAACTGCTAATTTAAAAAGAGCTGAAACAACACATTTCTTAGGTTTTTTGGACAAGTTAATTGATTTATGCTCAATCTACTTACATTTGTAGAAACTAAGTTATTTTAATTGATTTGTGTTGGGACAACATGAAGGAATTATGTGGAACCCAGCATTTTTTACAATGAAGGTCATACCCATGTCATTATACATAATGTTGTGTCCCCTTAAACCACATAAACAAGTACATACACACACACACACACACACACACACACACACACACACACACACACACACACACACACGTCTGACTCTGACATAAGAGAAAATATATTTAGATTGCTGTTCAAAACACCAACCTGTTGCCTTACCCCAAAGTGTGGCTGGCTGTAACATGTAAAAATACGATGTCTAGCACTTCTTCCTTCTGGCCATCACATTTATTATGTATGTTATATATTGTATGTATGGCTGTGTTAATGTATATAATTATGTATTCATGTCTTGGTTTGTTTTTAATTATGTATGCATGCACGGGTGCATATATATATATATTTGTTATTTTTTTATTAATTCATTTATTTATAGTAAAAAGTTTCACAGATTCCATAAAAAGCTATTATTTAGTAGACATTATTAATTATTAATACATTTATTGTTTTTTTTTTTCAACTTTCTTTCAAAGATGTTGAAAAAAAATCACACACCTGAAGATGACCAGAATTGTATTAGAAACACTCACTATATCATGTTGTGTACCTGTGTGTCGAAACACGTTTGTTCAAGCTCTCTTCCCTTTCTCATTCTCGCATTTCTCTTGTGCTGCAGATGTCGGTGGTCCTGCAGACCCCATCGCACCCACCATCGTAATACCGCCGAGGAACACCAGCGTCATCTCCGGCACTTCTGAGGTCACCATGGAGTGTGTGGCCAATGCCAGGTGACCACCTCACATTAATTGTTACCTCAATGCTCCTTCAACCTCCCAAACACACAAAAACATCAATCATTGCGCTGTTGTGGCCCCTGATAAATAAGGGACTAAGAAAAAGGAAAATTATATAATACTACTACTACTACTACTAATAATAACAATAATAATAATAATAATAATAATAATAATAATTAATTATTATTATTATTATTATTATTATTATTATTATTATTATTAGTAGTAGTAGTAGTAGTAGTAGTAGTAGTAGTAGTAGTAGTAAAATAGCAATGATGATGATGATAATAATAATAATAATAATAATAATAATAATTATAATAATAATAAAGGTAATAGAATACACAGTAATGCTGTTGCCTACTGATATTATATACATATTATATTATATATTATATAATTGGCTATATTTAGAGTGAATGATTATGTTTTAGTTGGGTAAAAATAAATCTAATTTATTTTAGTATTATTTTGTTTTGTCTTTATTTTTTATTATCTATATCATTTTCAACAGATAAAATGTATTTATTTATTTATTTATTTATTTTTATGGATTTTAACAGTTACAAAAAAAGACAAAAGCAATAAGATATTTAAAAATCATTGCATTGAGAAAGAGAGGTTGGTAGGAAGCATCCAGTTTTTTAACCGTAACGTAAGGTAACAAGAGTGATGTGTAATATGGATGAAGGAATATTGATAAAGGAATTTTGTTGATTGGAAAATAAAGACGTTTTTATTTGCCTGTGGACTTTTACGCGTAAAAATTGTGCTTACTCTACCAACAATAGCAGCAATTGGAATGCTGCTACACATGTCCTAGGATATATTTCCTAAATGCATTGCAAACTTTCTTAAACTGGTTAGATATACCTCTAGAAAGTGGAATTGTTTTCTAAGTTTTTGAGGAAGAGGATGTAACAGATCCACTGTGTTGGAGTTAGAGGTTTTTATATCTCCACCTAAGCAATATTGGTCGTATTTAATTTTACATTCCCAACAGAAACATAATTTTTTTTACTGGAATGGTTGGTACCCTGAAACACCACTTATTCTTGATTCTTGATTTAAAAATAGTTTTTTATGAGCTTTTTTTTATTTCCTTTTTAATCTTCTCTCAGGCCACTGATAAAGCTGAGCATCAGCTGGAAGAAGGACGGTGTGTTGGTGAGGAGTGGCCTGAGTGATTTTAACCGCAGACTGACCGTGTTGAGTCCAGCAGTCAGCGACTCAGGCTTCTATGAGTGTGAAGCTGTTCTCCGCAGCAGTAGCGTTCCCGCGGTCAGCGCTGGAGCGTATCTTCATGTGCTTGGTAATACACACACACTCTACATGACACACCCTGGCAAACTGAGTTTACTGTTGAAGTCAGAATTATTAGCCCTCCTAAATTATTAGCCCGCTGTATATTTTGTGTTTAACGAAAATACGATTTTTCAACACATTTCTAAACATTATAGTTTTAATAACTTATTTTTAATATCTGATTTATTGTATCTTGGTAATGATGTGAGTACATAATATTTTACTAGATATTTTTCACGATACTAGTATTCAGCTTAAAGTGACATTTAAAGGCAAGTCATTGTATAACGATGGTTTGTTCTGCAGACAGTCAAAAAAAATATTGCTGAAAGGGGCTAATAATATTGAGCTTAAAATGTTTTTTTTTATTTAATGAAAAACTGCTTTTTATTCTGCCAAAATAAAACAAATAAGACTTTCTCCAAATGAAAAAACATAGGAAATACTGTGAAAAGTTCTTTGCTCTATTAAACATCAGTTGGGAAATATTTAAAAAAGTAAAAGAAATTCAGAGGAGGGCTAATAGTTTTAAATGAATGTTATGAATGGGTACTTTGAATAGTAGTTTATTTTTATTTATTTTTTCTGTGTTGGGAATAAAAAGACAATTGGTCAAAATTATGTCTTCATATATTATATATTCATATATTTCTATTCATATATTTAGATTCATTTTATTTGTATTTTTTACTTTATTTTTATACATTGAAACATTTTACTGAACAAAACATTCAGTGACAGCAGCGAATAATATATATATATAAAAAAAAAAAAACGGAAAAAAGTAACAAAAAAAAAAATGACAAAAAAAAAAAACAACCCTGGCTCATTCTAAAAACGTAGTCCCGCGGACGTTTCTGGAGACCGCGAAATATTTAAATCCGCAAGAGGCCGCTGTGCGCACTTCTTTGTATCTCGAACGCCTCTCGCAAGCGCCGTTCGCGCCCCCGCGCTGTTCTCGCGTAAAGCCGCCAGAGGCCGCTGTCGAGCGACCATCTGTCCGACTGACTGAATGACTTAATGATTGACTGGGCGACCGGCCAATCGGCCAACCCATCCTCCTCCTCCTTCCATAAACCCAACTGGTTTTACCGATTGACCCATCCGCCTGCCCGCCCACCTGCTTGCTTCCCTGAACCCAAGCAACGACTTACAAAAGACATCCAGAAAAAGAAAATCCCTCATTTGATTTTGACCGCGTTTTCAGATTTCACCACATTCTCGCCCTGTTATGAACTCGTTCACTTTATTTTTTGGATTCTGTTTTTGTCTTACCTGATTTCTGGAACCGCTCTTCCCCAAGACTCGAACCCGGTCGTCGCCGTCCTCACGGTCAGCTTCCCTCCGGGTCTCCACCCCGCCCATTTACACGACAAGCTAACCGCACAAACTGGTTGCTGTCAGCTGTTGCTGTCAGCGCGAAGAGGAGCGGCGTCACACCGCCCCGCAGCGTTTGCTTAAAAAAAATTTAATGCAGCCATACGTACCTCCGGCTACGTAAATCGCGATCTCCAGAAATGTCTGCGGGGCTAAGTTTTCAGAATGAGCTTGGGTTGAAAAAAACAACAACATAATTTTCAATTACAGTGAAGCTGGAAATACTATATTACTACATAGTAACAGGTGGCCATATTTGTTTAAAAATTGATGAGCAGTCATATAGTCTATTCTATATATAGATTCAAGTTTTTCTATCCACTGTGCTGTTGTTACAGGAAGTGGCTTCATCCAATTCATTGTTATAGTCTTTCTTGCACTTAGTTAAAGTATATGTAGTATATATCTCTGATTTTTATTATATACATCATGGCGTATCCCTTCAAGCAAGAAAAACAAGTGAGTAAAAGGTAGATCTAACTGCATAATTTTCATTATCTCAATCTTTACCCCTTGCCAAAATTCAAGTGTCTATGGACATTCCCAAAATGTATGTGTGTGATTACCTACATTCCCACAACCCCTCCAGCATTCCTCTGACTGTGGATTTTTGTTTTCCAGTCGAACTCTTTCCAGTTATGGCTAATGATCCCCTTATGAGATTCTGATGTTTTCCCAAAATCTCATCCTCAATTGTTTAATTAAGTTCGGATTTTCATTTTGCCTTAATATAAAGGGTTTTATCTGTTGAATCCAGAATTTGTATTTTATTTTAATTTTAAGACAACACAATAGCAATGTTTTGTATTCATTAGAGTTGAGAAATCAATATGTGGTCAAATAACCTTCTCAATCACTCAAAAGAAAGCATTTGCATTTCAGACCAATCGTCAATTTCAGAAACTAAACTAAACTAAATGTTCTAAATAATAAAATTTTTGTAAGGTATTTTGAATAAATGTGATCATATAAGTCCTTTATATAATAAAATAAATAATATTCTAACTTTACCTACACTGTTAAAAATGCTGGTTGCCTTCAGTTTTTTAGCTGAATCAAATTAACCTTATGAGTCCATTGAACTTGTTATGTTAAACTGACTTAAAACAGCTTGCATAACATAAAATGTGTTAAGTTGGAACATGATTAATTTAGTTCAATAAGTTTCAATGACCTAAAAACATATGCTGTCAGGACTAATTGATCATATAACTTTTTACAATGTAGTACATCCAGAAAGTCTGGAAAAACGGTTGTACCGGTCATTATGTAATATTTGCTGCTTATCTAATATCTACTCATTATATTCAGTGTGCCGAGTCAACCTTTTCAATTCAACACGAAAATCTATATTCACTGAGGAACACATGTTGAAGCTAATGAGCAAGAGCAAAGAAACGTTCACGAGCTACCTAAGCATTTTAAACATTATTAACAAAGCATGTCTCCTTCAAGGCCGTTTTCTGTCTCCTTTTTTTCCACCTTTTGAAATGCTGTTGGAGTAAAACCAAAAAGCCAGAACAGGATGTTCTCAGAAATCCAACAACAGTGTCATTTATTTGAAAATCTTCAATCTTGCTTCCTGTGCTGTTTGTCTGTGGCATTTCTTTTTTTCAAAGTGTACATGTGGAGGTCATAACCCTCTCTCTTTCTGTCTTTCATGCAGAACCACCTCAGTTTGTGAAGGAACCTGAGAAACACATCACAGCAGAGATGGAGAAAGTTGTGGACATTCCTTGTCAGGCCAGAGGTGAGACGCTTTCTGACATTTCTTGTTATTGTTGTATTTTTTATTTTTTTTTACAGAAAGTCATTTTTTCCTTAGTAACAGCAACATGTTGCAAAGAGCATCCCTATAGATGATCACAACGTGAAGTTTAATAAACAACCATGTGGAAAATGGCAAACTAGTCCTTGTTACATATTATAATAATCTCATATTTACATTAAAATAATTATTTGATAATGTCATATTAGGGCGGCATGGTAGCTCAGTGGTTAGCAATGTTGCCTCACAGCAATAAGGTCGCTGGTTTGAGTCCTGGCTGACACAGTTCAATGCATGCGCTATACGTGAATTGGGTGAACTAAATTCAACCCAGGATCATTCGGAAAACGTAGTCCCGTGGACGTTTCTGGAGGCCACAAATTATGTAGGCGGAGGTAAGTATGGCTGCATTTCATTTTTTAAGCGAACGCTGCGAGGCGGTATGACGCCGTTCCTTTTCGTGCTCACTGGCTGACCGCTTACCTCCGTGTGGAGGGCTTTCCAGCCGCAACCAGTTTGTCCATTTAGCTTGTCATGTACATCGGCGGTGTTGAGGCGTAGAGAGCTGACCACGACGATGACGAACAGGTTTGAGTCTGGGGAACAGGGGTTCCAGAAATCAGGTAAGACAAAAACAGAATCCAAAAAATAAAGTGAACAAGTTCATAACAGGTTGAGAATGTGGTAAAATCCGATAAGGTGGTAACAGGTAAGCGGGTCAATCAGTAAAATTGGTTGGGTTCAGGGAAGGAGGAGGGTGGGTCAGCCGATTGGCCGGTCCCCCAGTCAATCATTCAGCCAGTTAGATAGACAGTCGTTCAACAGTGGCCTCTGGGGGGTTTACGCGAGAACAGTGCGGGCGCGAACAGCACTTGCGAGAGACATGTGAGATGCGAAAAAGTGCAAACAGCGGCCTCTCATGGATTCGCGAAAACTAAGATTGCAAAAATACGTACCTCCTTGGACGTATTTCACAGTCTCCAGAAACGTCCACGAGACTAGGTTTTCAGAATGGGCCTGGGTTGAATAAATTGGTCCAATTGGTTTGTATGAGAATGTGAAAGTGTATGGGTGTTTCCTAGTACTGGGTTGTAGCTGGAAGGGCATCTGCTGCGTAAAACATATGCTGGAATAGTTGGCAGTTCATTCCATGTGTGTGTTTGTCTGCTAAATGGCTTATTGTTAATTCTAGTTGTAGTGTAATAAAAAGCTAAAGCTAAATAAATAAATAAATTAATTAATAAATAATATATATTTCTTTGGCAAGTATCTGATTTAACTTTTTGGCATTTTTATTACTATTATTTTTATTTATTTTTTGTTTCCTAATTTGCTGATTTGTAGTTTAAAAAAACGCTTAAAACGTTTTAATAAAAAATATTCATATCTCCTTGGCAGCTAGCTAAAACTTTTTATTTTTTATTTTTATTACAGTGAATGTTTATTGTGTTTCAAATATCAGTGTCAGATTTACGAATGTTGAAAGTAAAATCTAAATAATATTATGCATGTAATGAGCTTATTATAGCATAGTAACCCTCAACACTAGGTTAACATTATTTATTAACATCATTTTCTACTCACCATTTACTTGCCCTCAAAACTATTATTATAATTGTTTTAATGCAAAATCAAACAATAAACATTAGTTATTAACCTTTGTATTAATAAATGTGACTTTAAAATGTTTTTAATAAATAAATGAGTGTTTACAACACATTAAATACAATAATGTTAACAGATTTAATGTATAAGTCCAATAATATATTAGTTAATGCTTTAGAACTAAATTAATTCTTAAATCATGTTTACCAACGATGGAAAACTTATAGAATAATCTTTAGTTCAACTTCTAAGTGTTTATTGTCATATGCACAGTAAGGAACAGGTTACCTGTACAAAATTCTTACTTTGCTATCCACACTGAATGCCCCCCACATTCTCACACAGTTCAAACGCTATACAGTAAGTGAATTGGGTAAACTAAATTGGCCATAATGTATGAGTGTGTGTGTGAATGTGAGAGTGTATGGGTGTTTCCCTAGTACAGGGTTGCAGCTGGAAGGGTATCCAGTGCGTAAAACATATGCCAAAATAGTTGGTGGCTCATTACACTGTGGCAACCCATGATAAATAAGGGACTAAGCCATAGGAAAATGAATGAATGAATGAAGGTACCATGATTACTCTAAACTATCATGTCATTCACATTTTCTCTTTTCCTTTTGATTTCAGGTGTTCCTCAGCCTGATATTGTGTGGTATAAAGATGCAGTTCCCATAAGCCCTGTGAAGACGCCGCGCTACAGAGTGTTGAGCGGCGGTAGCCTTCAGGTAAACGGCCTTCTGCCTGATGACACCGGGATGTTCCAGTGCTTCGCCCGAAACCAAGCTGGAGAGGTGCAGACCAACACCTACCTCGCAGTGACCAGTGAGTTCATCCACCCTTCCATCTCTTTCTCCTACTAATTTAAACATGGATATTGGATAAGAAGTGAAGTGTAAACAAATGACTATACTAATCATTAATGGTCAATACATTGTTAAACACAAAAGAGGATATTTAGAAAAATTATACTCGCTTGCACCCATTGACTTCCTTAGTATTTTTTCTTACTATGAAAGTCAATGGACGCCAGCAACCTTAAAAATACCTTCTTTTGTGTTCAGCAGAAGAAATAAACTCTTAAAACTTAAACACCACAGGAGAGAGAATAAATGATAAGGTCATTTTAATTTTTGGGTGAACCATCCCTTTTAGTCAAATGCTTTTACACTGATGCACAAACACACACAGACGTTTTTTCCTCGGCTTCTCTCTCGCTGTCTGTTGCTTTCTCTCGCAGTCTTTCAATGCCTCACCAACAATGGCTTCCTTTCTTCCCTGTTTCATTCTCTCTCGTGTGGCTGATGTGCTTTTTTGTGGCTGTGATTAATACCCTGTTGTGAGGAAGAATTAGTGTGAGAGAGAGACTGACAGAGAGACAGTGAGAGATAAAGAGGGCTTTTATAGGGGACTGACTGAGCTTATCTTGCCGCTCAGAGACACATAGAGCTCGCTAAAACACCGAGCGTCAAATCTATTTGCTTTGTGTACAGTGAACACTGATATTGAGTAAGGATGGTAGAAGAAGGGGAAGTTTATCCCAAATTAAAATCTTGTCATTGTTCACCTTATAGGAAGATCAAAACCTGTATGACTGACTTTTATCTGCCCGAACACAATAGATGATAATATGAACTGTTTTTGTTTAAACAATGGAAGACATGGGGTCTAAAATACATCTTTTGTTCTGTGCAGAATATACACTACCTGACATAATTCTTGTAATTGATTCCAGTTGTAAGAACACCAAATAATAACTTGACTTCTGTTCAATCATTTGGAAAAGTGGCAGAAGATAGATTTTTTCGATGAATCATCTGTTGAACGACATCATAATTATCACAAATACTGCACAATACCTATTGGAACTCACATCCCAAGATTCCCACAAAAATCAGTCAAGGTTGATGAAGGAAAAACCATGGTTTGTGGTTACATTCAGTATGGGGGCATGTAAGAGATCTGCAGAGTGGATCGCAACGTCAACACAACGTCAAGACAAAGTCAAGACATTTGTGCTGCCCATTACATCACAAGCCACAGGAGAGGGCAAATTCTTCCGCAGAATAGGGCTCCCTCTCATACTTCAGCCTCCACATCAAAGTTCATGAAAGCAAAAAAATCTCAAGGCCACCAGAATGAGCCAGCCCAGTCACCAGACATGAACATTATTGAGCATGTCTTGGGAAGATGAAAGAGTAGGCATTGAAGATGTATCCACAGAATGTTGATGAACACTGGGAGTCCTGCAAGAACGCTTTCTTTGTCTTTCCTAGATGACTTTATTAATAAGTTATTTGAGTCACTTCAGAGATGTATGGATGCAGCTCATGGGAGTCATACACAATATCAATTATTTTTCCACAGCACCATGACTTTATATTCTATACAGTACATTATTTCTGTTAAGTGACAAGACTTTTATCTAAGCAAAGTCAGACCTTACTGTCCTAATGAAATAATTAAAAATCAAAGCATGATCATCTTTTATTTTGGTAAAATAATCTAGAGGCCTTTGCCTTTTGATATAAGCCACTTCCGATACCAAATGACTAGAAGTCTAGTTATTATTTCCTAAAAAATCCTATATTCCTAAAACTTGGATATGGTGACAAGACTTTTGTCAGGTAGTGTACACTTTAAAAAACCCTGGGTTCATCACACTATCAATATTTGTTGGCCAAACATGAAGGAATTAAGTTAACTTATTAGTTTTTACAAATGTAAGTAGATTGAACATAAAATAATTAAGTTGTCCCAAAACAACTTAAGAATTGTGTTGTCTCAGCTGGTTTTAAATAAGTAGTTTGAACACACAGCAAAGATCATTCTTTTAGGGTACACTATAAAGTGTGCTAGGTTCCACGCAAGTGATTTTCCACAAATGTTCCTGTTTTGTTCCACAATTGTTTGTGGCTGACAGCAGAAGCTGCTTGGCTCTTTTGTGATGTGTTATGTGATGCCAAAGGTTTGGGGAGGTCACGAAAGTTACTTTGCTATGTTGTAACCTTATCAAATAACTTAATAAACTATGAAAATAGATATTGTCAAATATTAATATAGACCAGAGATGTCCAAACTACGGCCTACAGGCCAAAGGTGGTCCATAGTAACCTCTGATTTGGCCCACCATCCCATCTGTTAGTAAAGTAAGGGTTGGGGCAAATACCTAAATTGTCATTTCTAATCTGATTTAACCTTTTTTGTTTGTTTTATTGCTGAGTTACACACACACAAAAAATAAATTAATAAATTATTTAATGAAATGTTCACATTGGTTAGCAAATCAGGGCAAAAAAATAGGTGCAGCTTGACTAGTTTAACTCCATTCTGTTATAAATGAGATTGTTTTACTGTAATAAGTTCATTAGAAAATATGTTCTGTATTAGTTAATATAAAGCAATGTGTTCAGGTTATTTTTAAATGTTAAATAAACTGGGTAATCACCAATGGCAACTTTAATGTAATAGAGTTTGGTATATTTAACTTGGGTTCAGCATGCTCAATCAAGACTGGTTTTTGGCCTTCCATTAGAAAAAAGTTTGAACACCCCTGAAGTAGACTATAGAGAATTGCGTGCACCATATATGGACATTTTAATTTTGTTTTTAATCACCCGCCCCAAACCATCCTGCAAATAAAGTGACAATTTCTTTACCTGCCCCAACCCGACCCGTGCATCACTATTCCACACAATTCCTTTATGTTGTCACAACACAAATCGATTAAGTTAACTTAGTCATTTTTACAAAATGAAATGGATTGAACATAAAACAATTAAGTTGTCTCCCAAAAAAAAATGTAAGAATTGTATTGTTTTAGCTCATTTTAAATAAGTAATTTGAACAAGCAAAAAATATACAGTTTTTTTGTGTGTAGAAAGTTTTACCACTTTGTAACTGATGAGTAAATTACAATATTTTAATATTCATTTAGGTATTAATCTTTCTTTTTATCAATCAGTCTGCCTCCAAATTCCTGTTTACATTTAATAATACATAATTTTTCTTCTGTTAAAGTATTTTAATTTCCTAACCACCTTATTTTTAATATATTTGTTTGGATTATAAAGATAGTTTATCCAAAATTGAAATGTAGTCATTATTTATTATCTCATTTATGTCGTTTTAAACCTGACTTCCTTCTCTGAAATGCAACATATGACAATGAAAGTCATTGAGGTCCAAAATGTAATTCTATTTTATCCTTAATATTTTTATATTATTGAAATTATATTATTTTTATACAGAGAGTCAAACATATACTAAACATTACAGACCAAAAATGACTTTTCATTTGCCTGTTCAAACTACTTGTTTAAAATTTGTGGAAAATTAGTTAAAATAGCACAATTCTAAATTAATGACTTGTGAAGCTGCAATAGCACAAATTAATAAGGCTAGACCTAGTACCATTGATGCATAGCAATGTTTCTCTTTCCCCATTTTGGACTATATAAAGGAATGACCATGTAAAGGGTTTTTTTTTTTTTTTTTTTTTTTTTCTCATGTAAATCTTTCAGATTGAAAATTGTTGATATGTCTGTTGCTCCCCCTCCCCTGTTTGTTTGTTAGTTTGTTTGTTTGTTTGTTTGTTTGAATGTCTTTTATTTTGTTAATCTAAAGTCAATAAAATGTTGATCACAAAAAAAAGCACAATTCTTATGGGGTTTTTTTTGGGACAACTTAATTGTTTTATGTTCAATCCACTTAAATTTGAAAAACATTTAAGTTAACTTAATCGATATGTGTTAAAAAAATGAAGAATTTTTTGTGGAACGCAGCATTTTTTACAGTGTGTGAGCTTGAGTAAATGACAGAATTGTAATTTGTGGGCAACCCTTTTAGAAATTGCAAGGAACTGTTTCACACACACTTCCCAAATCCCCAATTTTCTCATCCTTGTCTACATTTCCTCATTCATTATTCAGCTTTCTCGATTTATACCAGCTTTCATTCTGTTGTTTTTTTCTTGTTTTGTTCAATAGCCGTGCTTTGATCGGCAAGAACTGGGTTTTGTGTGATTTCCCATCGCTTACGAATGTGAGGAGGTGTTTGAAGGTGTGTGTGTGGTGTTGCGCATCTTTGTTTCTCATGCAGTCGGTGTTCTTCTCTCACAGGTATAGCACCGAACATCACGGCAGGGCCTTCCGACAGCACTGTGATTGACGGCATGTCAGTTATCCTGCACTGTGAGACCTCGGGAGCGCCCCGTCCTGCCATCACCTGGCAGAAAGGTGAAGAACACATCCTTCAATGTCTCCACTCACATATTTCTGAAGAACAGCTACAAAGTGTCAGTTCCCAAGCTGCAGTTCACCTCAGTGCCTCTCTGTTCCTCTGTTTTACCTGCTCTGGATGGTTGTTTTCTGCCACTCCATAACACGATTTTACTGCAATGCAGCCTGTACGTTATACAGTGCAGATGACAGATTAAATGGAAATGATTTTGATTTGATATAGGCTACATTTATGCATGCGTTGATGACATGATGATGCATTTTCACTTTCACACATGACCAAAATAAAAATAAACCGTATTGTCATCATTTAAAATGCAGTTAATGCACCCGCTTCAAATGTTATCACTTGATTGTATGGGCGTTATCAGTGGTTATCAGCTGATAGATATGGGCCAATAGGGGCCTACTGCACCTACTGGTAGGCTCAGAGGGCTGTTATCATCCATACACATTGTTATGCCCCGCGTAGCTCAGAGGATGAAAAAGGGCTTAACATAATTATATCAACCCAATATTTTTAAGAATTCCCCTGAGATGTTAGCTGCTATGGGTCAACACAGACAATGATGTGGCAAAAAAGGTGGTTCGCTTTATTACAATAAAGATAAAGAAATTAATATTTAAATCACTCAAAATATATTTACCAATATATACAATAAATTCAAAAAGTAAACAAACATACCTGATGGAGGGAAGGAAAATAAGCGGTGCCAAATCAAAGAAAATTACTAATCAGTAATTAGTAATTAGTGAGAAACTAATCCCTCCCCCACCTCTAAACAACTAAAGAGAAATATGTAAATAATCCCCCCAAAAATGTGCTATATAAATGTAAGGAATTATTATTATTATTATAAATACACAGGACATGATTGAACTGAGTGAATATGGGGTGTGACACAGGTGTAACTAATGAACATTAACAAGCGGCGGGAAAACAGAACAAAGGACTCACATGACATAAACAGAAGTACATGGGGACATAAACACAACACATGGGGAATCACATGACACAACAAATACATAATTACAACATTTAGACACACAAATCATGACAATAAGTGTCCAATAATGAAGATAAAATTGCTCTCATGCTGTTTTTTTGTTTTACTTAATATTTGCTGTGTCACATCATAGTATTTATTTAAGGTGCAGTTCAGTAAAAATGTTATTAATAAAAGTTTAAGAATTGATAAAGCTAGTGACCCCTTATATTTCTCAAACTTCAGACTTCCTACCTACAAAACTAACTACAAACTAACAAACTATATAAGTATCTATTTTTAACTACCCATATAACAATTAAATACTTAGAATATAAATTTGTAACCTTTTTCAAATGCTATTGAAGTGTTATATGCCAGGTCCACAACATCAGCCCAGTTGGACTCAATCTGTCTGACATTGGATGTTATTTAGATTCATAAACAACTGTGTTTTGTATGCACTAATCAATTATTGTTTCTTCCATAGTACAGTAGAAGACAACCAGTGTCTGAACACAAAGACTAGCTATGTATTTATCTGGTAGCACGTAAGTTTAATTTCCAATTGACTATAGTGGCTTATTACCTGCTTATTATTAAGATATTGGCTGTGTATTAGTACTTATAAAGTCATATTCCACAGTACCTCCCTAATCTAACCCAATACCTAAACACAACTGATATCATGCTAACAATTAATAAGTAGCCAATATTGAGCTGAAAGTCTCAGTTAATAGTTTGTACTTTAAAAATAAAGCTTGACTATTTCATTATTTAGGTTTTTGTCCTCCACTATAAGTTGTACACCATGCTGTTTGAAATGTCACACAAAAAAGACTCTAAAATGTCCTTAAGCATTTTTAAAAACTAGTTTCCTAAATACCCACTTCTGTTTTGTTTGCTTAAACTGTCCATTTAATTTACAAATCTTTAACCAAAGCCATCTGAAATGTAAGCAGCTGGATTTTACAAAATTGAAATATTTGTATGGGAGACTGACAGATTAGAGAGCAGAATGTCCACCCCAGCACTGTGCTTTACATTTCACGCTGTAGCTGAAGGAAAGTAAACAAGCGTGTTTGTAGGTTTAAAGGATTAGTTCACCTCAAAATACAAATTCTGTCTATGTTTACTAACCCTTCCATTATTACAAACTCTTTCTGTGGAGCACAAGTTTTAAAGACTGGTTTTATTATTCTCTATGGAGTTATAATGAGCTGGGACTGAGACTGTCGAACTTTTTAAAAAGAATGTATAAAAGCAGTCCACATCACTCATATTTTATTCCAAGTCCTCTAATATTAAACCTTTCCTTTGTGTGCCCAGCAGACCCCAATTTAAGTATTTTTTTTCACTAAAATGTTGACATTTTTAAAAGAAAGTAGTGGAGAGTAGGTTGAGTATAATCTCTTCAATGAATCACTCACATTTCACTAGAAGAGGAAGGCTGTCTTAGTATAATAAGGTTCATTTCAGTCAGCTTCTCGCATAATTTTACAGTACTTCATAATAATTTAGATACAATATTTGAATTTTGTTGGCCACTGCCTTTTTTATAGTGCTTTTGTGTTGTTTTTTTCTCTGATGTTCAGTTCCCATGGGGACTAATTGCATGGAAAGAAACAAGCAGTGCAATTCTTCTGTTGTGAACAAATAAAATCCTATGGGTTTGAAGAAAGATGGCTATAAATACTTAAATTATTAATACCCTTCAACCATAAAAAAAACACAGGTACAGAAAGAATCTATTGTTGATAACTAAGCTATAGATTTGCAGCATAATCAAGTGTGGTATTTGGGTTATGATAACCTTCAAACCTACAGTGAATGTGTGTCTTAAAGTTTTACAAAAACAAAAGTGTTCAGGGTCAACTTGTTCAGCTTGTTTGAGATATTCATGGACAGGATTTAAGTACGCAGCCAGGATGCTGAAGTTTGGAATCCTTAGGGGTCATTCACATAGAATGCTTCTTCACGCTTCTTTTTTTTTTTTTTTAAGCATAGCTTAGGGCACGAGGGTATTCAGACACAGCCACCGAGCACAAGTAATACAATACAGCTTTATTTGTATAGCGCTTTTACAATGTAGATTGTGTCAAAGCAGCTTCACATACTGTAAATGGTCATAGTAACTAGATCAGGGTAGTTCAGTTTTTAGTGTTTAAGTTCAGTTCAGTTTAGCTCAGTTCAGTGTGTTTTGAAATCATTACTAAGAGTCCAAACACTGAAAAGCAAATTCATCGATGCGTAGCTCTACCCATCCTGAACCATGCAAGCCAGTGGCGACAGCGGAGAGTGAAAAAAACTTCACCAATAGGCGAGTGAAGAAAAAAAAACCTTGACAGAACCAGACTCAGTTCGGCACGACCATTTAAATTTCTCCGCCGGCCAAAAGTCTTGTGTAGAGCTGCAGTCTCAGCAGTGGAGGCTGGAAGCTGGCCTCAGCGAAGACACGTCTGTGCCTGGAGCGTCACTGGAATCAGTCTCATGCTCTCCACTCCCCATGTAAACAGAAACTTGCAACACTTACCCCAACACTGAGGCCCCATTTACACAAATACGTTTTAGTTTTATAATAATTTTTTATTATTTTTTTTAGGGTTTTTTCACCTTTATTGTTATAGGACAGTGAATGTTTATAGACAAGAAAGTATGGAGAGCAGAGATAGGGGAAGGGTCAGCAAAGGACATCGAGCCGGGAATCAAACTCGGGTCGTCGTGAGCACCTCGGTGCTATGTGTCGATGCACTAACCACTAGGATATTGCTGCCGACATGCCAGTTTTTAAATGCATATGTTTTACTATGGTTATGCCATCCGTCCACACTACACCAGAGTTTTCGAGCACCTAAAACAAAAGCTTTTTAAAAACGTTAAAGTGGCTGTTTTCATTTTAAAACGCTTCTGCTCTGTCTCAGTGTGGATGGGGGAAAACGGAGACATCTGAGGCATGTCTACAGACATTCAGCTATCTGATTGGGGCTTTTTCCTCATTATTGAGTAGCCTACACAAAAATCAGTCTTGCATCCTCTCCTTGTTGGTTCAGACAATGGAAAGCAAACTCCTGAGGACACGTCGGGTAAATCTTCAAAGTGGACAGTGTACTTTATAACATCAGTCGCATCACCTAGGCTACGTTGTTTCACTTCATCTTATTAATTAAATGAAAACATGATATAAGGAACTGCCTATTTTCATTTTGATATAAGCAACTCAACAGACACCAAAAATGTTGAGGTGTCATGTAGCTACATATTTATATGAGCGTCATCTTCACTGTGTGCATATTTAGAACCAAACAGAGCCTATAACATTACTACCTCCTTTCATTTTCATTGAAAATTTGAAACATACCCTCTCTTTTGCTGAATATAAGTTTTAATAATCAATAATGGCCATTATTAAAGTATAATGTGCAATAGGTGTATACATTATAGGAAATAAATGCAAGCAATCAGTCAAATGTGCAGAATCAGTGCACATGGTTACATTAATTCATATATTAATTTATATTTGCGCTTAGCCAAAACACATTACCTGAGAAGTAATAGATTCAAAAGACCAAAGTCAGGGAATATGTCATAAGATATAGACAACAAGATGAATTAAATATCAAATATAACAAATATAGTGAGATTAGGTCCACCCAATGGGGACTGTTCGTCAGATGAACTGTTCATCAGATGAACAGTCCGACGTGCACAGATCTCATCGCTGCAGTGCATGCCAGAGTGTGTGTGCTGTCATGTGATGTGCGTTTTCAGCTGTATAGTATAGACAAAAAGTGAAACGTCAGTGCGGATCGTTTTCATTCTAAAACGCTATTTTAAAACTAAAATGTATTTATATTGTGGTCTTTGGTGGAATTATGCAAGAAGAGGACGTGTAAATGGTACATGCGCGAGCAATTTGAGATTACCGAAAATGTACACAGCATACAAGTACAAGGGATGGTTAGTCAGAGTTTGCAAATCAACCCATGTATCAGCAGCAGTAATGGGGACCATTATAGTAAAGAGGTAGCAATCGTTTGATTTACCAGTTCCAAACATCCCTCATAGCTTTGGTTAATGGTTCTCTTGATTCGGTGTAGAAATAAAGTCCCTGTATTGTCAGATTCAATACACTGCCTGTTTCCCTGCATAACGGAACAGCGGTTAGAGTATTAACCAGGTCAGTCTCTCTGTGTCTGTGTTCTCTAAACATCATCTTGTTCCAAATTTGAGAGAACAGAGGTTACACTAGTAACCCAGACATCTTTTCGGCAGGGTGTCTGGGCTGTCCTTGTGAGACATAAAATGAGACTCAGACATCTGGATGTTACTTCAGTGGAGCTGGTTTGAGCATCTGGTTAGGATGCTTCCTGGATGCTTTCTGGTGGGGGAATTTTGTGCATAACCAATTGAGAAGAACACCCAGAATATGCTGGCCCACATTTCAGACATTGCTGGGGTGCCCTGGGAGCAATTAGCGGGTCAGGAGCCTTGCTAAAGGGCAGCTCAGTCGTGGCTATTAAGGGTGAAAGAGTGTACTGTTCATTGACTCCATTTTTTACAATTCCTGCCAGCACTGAGAATTGAACCTGCAACCTTTGGGTTACAAGATGAACTCTCTAACTACTCGTCCATAATAGATGCATTGTTGTATTGTAAAAAATGTAAACCAAATGTTTAAAACTGCATGTAATCCATGAATAAGTTAAGAGAGCATATAATGGGGACTTTAATATACAGTACACTGTTAAGCATTTTGGGGTGGCACAATGGTGCAGTGGGTAGCACTCTTACCTCACAGCAAGAAGGAGTTCGAGTTTTGGCCACTTCCTGGTTCGAGCCTCGGCTGGATTAGTTGGCATTTCTGTGTGGAGTTTGCATGTTCTCCCCTTATTCATGTGGGCTTCCTCTGGGTGCTCTGGTTTCCCCCCACAAGTCCAGCGGTATAGGTTAATTGGGTAAGTTAAATTGGCTATAGTGTATGTTTCCCAGTGATGGGTTGCAGCTGGAAAAGCATCCACTGCATAAAGCATATTCTGCTGTGGCGACCCCTGATTAATAAAGGGACTAAGCCAAAAAGAAAATTAGTGAATGAATGTTGTATTTTCGTATTGTACTTACTGGCAGCACTGTTGCATGCAGTTTATCGCAACTGGCTCATTATAGTAACTGACCGTTAAATGTGTTTTACAGTAGCATGGTGGACATTTTATAGTAAAAAAGCCCTACCATATCTGCTTTGTATGGTTAAATGCCCTCTATCACATTTTAATTGTACAGTATGACCATTTTTACAGGACATTTACTGTAATTTATTTACATTTTACGCTGGCACTAAGGTGGTGAGATCGTGTATTTTCATGTGTGTGAGAACAGTACTTTTATTATTCATTATTATGTTATTATATCAATTTTAAATGGTTTACAAAAGTCATTTTCATTCATCTGTCTATTTTAAATACATTTTGTGATACAAGATGTTAATTAATATATATTTTCGTTAACTGTCTCATTGTTGTCTTCAACTACAGTAGCAGTACTTAATTACTTTGATTACAGTACAATACCGCAAATTCCAAATATGCAGTAAGTTACTGTAAACATTTTTTATTACACACAATGCTGTAGATATTACTGTAGTGAACTGTAAAGAATGTGTGTGTATTTTACTGGGCATTTTTGTAGTAAATAACTGTAAAATTGAAGCAAAGTTTACAGTGTGGCAAAGGAGAGGAAAGGAAAGGAAAGGAAAGGAAAATGGAATGGAAGAGAGAAGAGAAGAGAAGAGAAGAGAAGAGAAGAGAAGAGAAGAGAAGAGAAGAGAAGAGAAGAGATGAAAAACGAAGGGAAGGGAAGCAGAGAAAAGGGAAGGGAAAAAAGAAAAGGAAAAGTTGTGACGTGGTCATTGACAGTGACCCATACTAGGGATTAACACATTCACAGCATGGACACACACCTGAAGAAGTGGATAGCCATTGCAGTGGAGCCTAGGTAGCAGTTGGGATTGGTGCCTTGTTCAGAGATTCTCACCTCAGCCATGGTATTTAGGTTGGAAGAGAGTAACGGTTATATCGAACCTGCTACAGTACCTTTGGATCACTATTTCAACTCTCTAACCCAGGGGTGCCCAAACTCAGATTGAAGCAGATTTTAGCTCTAACCCCAATTAAATTTTCCAGAACAAGCTAGTCAAGCTCTATGTAGGCATACTTGAAACCTCCAGGCAGGTGTGTTGTGGCAAGTTGTAGCTGAACTCTGCAGGACACCAGCCCTCCAGGGCCAAGTTTGGGCACCCCTGCTCTACCACTAGGTCACAGTTTATTTTGTGGTTATCTTCAAACATTTTATCTCGAATATGTTTATGGTCTTTGCAGGAGAACGAGTGCTGGCAAGTGGTTCCGTTCAGCTCCCGCGGTTTACTCTCCTGGAATCAGGAAGTTTACTCATAAGCCCGTCCCATATATCAGACGCCGGCACTTACACCTGCATGGCCAGCAACTCACGTGGCATAGACGAGGCCTCTGCTGACCTTGTGGTCTGGGGTGAGTATGTGTGTGTGTGTGTGTGTGTGTGGGTGTGTTTTGAAGTGTATAGATCACAAGTCTCTTCTTTCCTTTATGATGAAGTGTGTTTGCATGTTTTTTGTCATACACCTGCGCATATAAGCATTGACTTTGTTCCTTTTTACAGCCCGCACACGCATTACTAATCCCCCTCAGGATCAGAGCGTCATCAAAGGAACGAAAGCCACCATGACCTGCGGTGTGACACATGACCCCAGCGTCTCAGTCAGGTGCGGCCCACACACACTTCCCGTAAACAAAAAAACATTGAAGCTAGGTTGGCGGATGCTAAAAAATATCAGTGTTTACCTCTAAAATGCTGTATGTGGTATCCCTACGTAGTTGCTGAGGAATTCTAGATAGATTTAATACATTACTGTGCTGTTGCTAGGGTATTTTTATATTATTTTGGTTTGGAACACAACTAGACTTGCAACTAGAAACTTAACCCTATTTGTATTACAATATGTGGATCTGTTTTCAAGCTACATCATATTGCTTGACGTAGAGTGTGTAGATTGGTTACTATGGTGTTCATAGGTAAATACTTGCATGTTCTGATAGGTTGCTGGTTTAATTCTATTTAGATGCTAGTATGTTTCATAAGGTTATATGGTGGAAACAGTGTTTTCTATTGTATTTGGTTGTAATACCATTAGATGGATGCAGAAGTGGTCAGTGTGGTTGATAGGTGATTACTAGGTGGATACTACAGTGGGTAATACAGAGGATGTTACAGTATTTGGTTACTAGACTATTTTTATGTGGTTGCTACCCTGCTGAAAAATCCAGCTTAAACCAACCTAGGCTGGTTGGCTGGTTTTAGCTGGTCGACCAGGCTGGTTTTAGAGGGGTTTTGGCCACTTCCAGGCTGGTTTCCAGCCATTTCCAGCCTGGTCTTAGCTGGTCAGGCTGGGAGATGACCAGCTAAAACCAGCTTGACCAGCCTAGCCAAGCTGGGAGTCCAGCCAAAACCAGCTATGTCCAGCTTAAACCAGGCTGGTCAAGCTGGTTTTAGATGGATTTGGCTGGTCATTTTCCAGCCTGACCAGCTAAGACCAGGCTCGAAATGGCTGGAAACCAGCCTGGAAATGGCCAAAACCCCTCTAAAACCAGGCTGGTCAACCAGCTAAAACCAGCCAACCAGCCTTGGCTGGTTTAAGCTGGATTGTTCAGAAGGGTAAGGCGTTGTAAATTGAATGTATTATTTTCTTAATGGTTGCTAAGTCACTAGATAGTTGCTAAATACTTCTGGGTGGATGCTATGCAAATACTTAGTGGGTGGTTGCTTGAGTGGACAGTGTGGTTGCTAGGTGCTTAGTAGGTGGATACTAAAGTGATCACCAGATAAAATTGGGCAGATGCTAGAGGATGCTAAAGTATGTGGTTGCTAGACCATTTTATTGTGGTTGCTAGGGTTTTGCAAGTTGGATACAGTATTTTCTTAATGGTTGTTAAGGCACCAGATAGTTGCTAAATACTTCAGGGTGGATGCTATGCAAATACTTACTTGGCGGTTGCTTGAGTGGACAGTGTGGTTGCTAGGTGCTTAGTAGGTGGATACTAAAGTGATCACCAGATAAAATTAGGCAGATGCTAGAGGATGCTACAGTATTTGGTTGCTTGACCATTTTATTGTGGTTGCTAGGGTTTTGCAAGTTGGATACAGTATTTTCTTAATGGTTGTTAAGCCATTCAATAGATGCTAAATAGTTCAGGGTGGTTGCTAGGCAAATACTTACTTGGTGGTTGCTTTAGCAGACAATGTGCTTACTAGGTGGATCCTAAAGTGGACACAAGGCGATATTAGGCAGATGTTAGAGAATGCTGCAGTATGTGGTTACTAGACAATTTCTATGTGGTTGCTAATGTGTTGCTAGGTGGATACAGTATTTGCTTAATGGTTGTTAAGGCACTATATAGTTGCTAAATAGGTCAGGGTGGTTGCTAGGCAAATACTTACTTGGTGGTTGCTTGAGTGACCAGTGTGGTTGATAGGTGGTTACTAGGAGGATACTAAAGTGGTCACAAGGCAATATTAGGCAGATGCTATGTAAAATGGTTAATAGACAATTTTTTATATGGATGCTATAGAGTCTTCAGAGCGGTATCTAGGGTGTTACTAGGTGAAAGCTAGATTCTTCTTGATGGTTACTAAGCTATTAATTGGTGGGTGCTAGGGTGGTCTTAGTGATTGCTGCTAGCAATTATTAGAGACGCATCGAAATAAAAATTCTGTCAATAATATAACAATATATAATAATATAATTAAACTTTTGGATGAAAATGGTGTTTTCAGATTTTTTGGCAGCCGAAAATTGCGTGTATTACTAACTAAAGTACTTTACTGAATCAATTTTTTAACAATGTTAATACGTGTTTAAAAAATTTTTCCACTAGCCGAATATAAAAACTGTGGAACCAATGCTAACATTGCTTGCTATTAACCATAGATATTTACCATAACCATAGATGTCGCCTATGCTATTATTGTCTATTGAAAGGTCTGCGTCAATAGAGCAGCCATTTTAGTACAGGTTAGCGCTCCTTTGAAATGAATGTCAGACCAAGGTGCAGTGGAGGACTGGCCATCCAGAGCCAGAGATACATACACATATGATTGGGAGTTTTCCCAGTGGTCAGTACACAAATATTTATTTAAATTATGAAAATTATAAGTTTACTTCACTTTTCTGCACTAATTGATTGGTGACCGCATGGGCTTTGCCGACAAAAGTGTGTGCTTTTGTGCATGAAAATGTATTATCCTCCCTACCTGTTAAATTGAATAATTTAGGGTGGACAGTATGCAAAATGACGCGCAGGCCCTGTTATGTTATCAGGTACTACTAATAAGTTACTTCAAAAACTAGCCATTACTTCACTTTGCAAACAATAATACAAGTTTCTAGCCCCGCAGCATCTTGTTGTCATATTTTATTTACATTGTTTGCTGATTTCATTCAACAAAATTAGCATAAGCCTAATATTTAGAGCAAGTTAGTGCTACTTTGCCTTATGGTGAATGCAGTAAGTGACTGCATTATCATCAATAACGTTACTTGTTGAGCACAAAAGTTTGTAACTTACAAAAAAACATAAAAAAATGAAATCTTACCTATGAAATGTTCTGCCTTTATGCTTTGTTTGCTTGTTACAACAACAGTATGCATTGCAAAAGTCCAGCATCTTCACATTGGCTTTAGTCTTGAATAGTGGGGTTGAATGACTTTTGTCCTTAGAGCACTGTACAAATATGGCGATATTGAGGCATGTTTAGGGTCCATATGCGATATCTAGTGTATATATCTATGGTTATTAACAAATGGACAGCTGCAAAGGTAACTGTAATTTTACAGCACCTGGGAATATCCTGGTTAGAAACATCAAACTTTCAGCATTGACTGGAATACAGAGGTTCATTAAAAATGGTTAAAAAATCTGAGTATAGCGATGTCTGCCCAAGCAATTTCATAGCCTCCCATGTTTCACGACATTCAAATCCCCACAGATAAAATCGTCTGGTGTTAATGATGCCTCGCCAGCGTGAAATCATGAGCCATTACATTATCTCAACATTTACAACTTCCACAACCCTTTGAATCTGCCTGGAATATCTCAGTGTGCTCAATTGGAAGTCTGCAGCCTCAGTCGTCCTCCATTACGTTGGACTGGCATTGAGGAGCGATTTGAAGGCAAGATTCAGACTCTCATTAAAACCTGGGAGTGAGTTCCTCTCGGTCAGAACCTGAACTTCACTTAGCGACGACTTGTAAGAGTTGTTTTTTTTGTTTTTTTGCTGATGTCAAGCTACCTCTCCCATTTCTTTCTTTCCTAATCTCCGTCCGAACACCCGTGGAGGCTTTCTGCTTGTTTCGTAAGGAATGAGGGATGGGAAGGAGTGGTAATTGTGTTAGATGGAACCAGTAATTGATAGCAGCAGTAAAAGGATTTCCAACAAGCCGGGCCATGATGCAATTAATCACAAGTGTTTGCGAATGCATATCTGTTTGCAGTGTGTGTGTGAGAAGGTCTTATCGATTACGCAGAGGTTAGACACATCTGTTAGAAGCACCTGATGACCTTGGATGTTCCCTAAACACTGTACAGTGGCTTTGTGATGAGCCTAATATGATCAGTTAAATGCACTTGAGGTGTTTTTTCAGGCAATAAAGTGATGCAGTTGTATTATCTAATGTTGCTCTCTTTGTCTCTTCTTAACTAGCTTTTTAATTAGCAGTTGAATGTTTTAATTAACGCTCATTAGCAAGAAAACATCAAATCAGAATCGACTCTGCTGACTTAATAAAGAAAATAATTTCCCTTGTAAAAGTGTAATGACTTGATCTATTCCAGAAACACCTGCTAAGGTATTCTGATGGGATGCAAATATGTTGCTTTAAAGGTTTTATGTATGTATTTGTTTATCTTTTGTGGTTGCTAGATGGATGCTCAAGTGTTTTCATGTGTCGCTTGTTTGTTACTAGGTTAATGCTTAATGCGGGTGGTTACTAGGCTAATGACTGAGTGTTCCCTGGGGTCTCTGGTGTTACTAGATGTATGCTAGAACGTTCTGAGTTCTAGATGGCCACAAGCATATCCCTCTGTAGCCCAAGACTATCACGCATTGAAGCTAAGCAAGGCTGAGCCTGGTTAGTACATGGAGGGGAGTCCACATGGGAAAACAAGGTTGCTGTTGGAAGTGGTGTTTGTGAGACCAGCAGGGGGCGTTCAGCCTGCAGTCTGTTTGAGTCCTAATGCTCCAGTATAGTGAAGGGGACAATGTACTATGAGTCAGCGCCATCTTTCGGATGAGACGTAAAACCGAGGTCCTGACTCTCTGTGGTCCATAAAAATCCAATGGCACTTCTCGTCAAGAGTAGGGATGTAACCCTGGTGTCCTGGCAAAATTTCCTCCATTGGCCCGTATTGGTCATGGCCTCTCAATCATCCCCATCCACCGAATTGGCTCTCTCACCATCTCTCCACTCCACCAATAGCCGGTGTGTGGTGAGCGCACTGGCATCAAAAAGCATTGATAGCATAATAGCATTGATATTTAATTCAATCATTCATTCATTTTCTGCCGCTTTTCTGAGGCCATGTCACTAGGGGAGCAGTCTTAAGAGAGAACCCCAGACTTTCCTCTCCCCAGACACTTCCTCCAGCTCTTCCGGGGGGATCTCGAGGCATTCCCAGGCCAGCTGAGAGACATTGTCCCTCCAGCGTGTACTGGGTCTTCCCGAGGCCTCCTCCCAATGGGACATGCCTGGAACACCTCCCTAGGTAGGCGTCCAGGAGGCATCCGAAACGAATGCCTTAGCCACCTAAGCTGACTTCTCTCGATGTGAAGGAGCAGTGTCTCTACTCCGAGCTCCTACCAAGTGACAGAGCTCCTCACCCTATCCATTAGAGTGCGCCCTGCCACCCTTCGAAGGAAACTCATTTCAGCCACTTGTATCCGAGGTCTTGTCGTTTTGGTCATGACCCAAAGCTCATGACCATAGGTGAGAGTAAGAACATAGATTGACTGGTAAATTAAGAGCTTTGCCTTTCGGCTCAGCTCCTTTTTTATCACAACAGAGCGGTACATCGACTGCATTACTGCTGCCGCTGCACCAATCCACCTGTCAATCTCACGTTCCATCCTTCCCTCACTCGTAAACAAAACCCTGAGATACTTGAACTCCTCCACCTGAGGTAAGGACTCTCCCCCAACCTGAAGATGGAAAACCCCCTTTTTCCGGTGGAGCACCATGGCCTCTGACTTGGAGGTGCTGATTGTCATCCCAGCCGCGTCACACTCGGCAGCAAACCACCCCACTGCATGCTGAAGGTCCATGTTCAATGAAACCCTGTCGTCCCCGAATCGGACCCCCTCCAGCCCAAGGCTGCGCCTTGCAATTCTGTCCATAAAAATTATGAACAGAATTGGTGACAAGGGGCAGCCCTGTCGGAGTCCAACATGCACCGAAAACAAGTCTGACTTATTGCCTGCAATGCGAATGATATTTCAATTTTCAAAATCAAATCAAACCCAGTCGAATCAAATTAATTCCTGCTATATTTTTATTTCAACCCAGTATTCGAATATGTCACAGAAGACGGTACATTATATTGGATTCTGTGTTATCTGAAATTGAGTGAAGGGATACAAGTTCTCAAACCAGGAATACAACTAATGGCTTCCAATTGAATTGATATTTTTAGACCCCAGAATGTTGTTGTGTGTACCAGGTTTGTTTGGGAGAAGGACGGTCAGGTGATCGTCACTCAGGGTTTGCCCCGGCTGCGTCTGGACGTCAACGGGACTCTGCACATCTCTCAGACCTGGTCAGGAGACATCGGCACATACACCTGCAGAGTGACATCAGTTGGCGGCAACGACTCCCGTAACGCACACTTGCGCGTCAGGTCAGAGATGAAAACGCTCTCCCATCATCCTCTCTGCTCTGTTCCCCATCCACGCACTCCTTCATCTCGTCTGATCATTTCTTTTTGATTTGTTCTCGCTCCTGCTCCCCGAATCGTATCTCATTCAGTTTTTCAATATCCCTGTTCATCACCTGTACTCATTCGGCCTCCTTTTCTGTCTCGTTGCCTTCATTTTTTAATTTAATAGCACAGCAGTTATTGTCTGCCCTCATTTTTATTTCTTTGGTTTTCTCTTTTTTCGCTCTCTCCATCCAGCATGTTGTGATTCATCTTTCTTTTTTAATTTTCACGTCTCTGATCACTAGATAAGGTTGTAGTGGTTTTATACTCTGTTTACACATTCCTACATTGCTCTTCTTTTTAAATATATTTCTCTTCTTCTTATCTCTTATTTTGAAGAAGAATATGTTAAAAATGCTGCATATGCTGCAATACATTTTATTAAAACCAACCAACTTAATAAAATAATGATAGAGATAGGTCTTAATTTTTGGAACACTTGGATAACCTTGTGCTCGTTTTATACACACTCTTTGATTGCCAAATTTCTACATTACAAATACTTCTATTCTTCTTTTCCTATATTAAAAAATATATTAAATGCTGGTTTATATTCAAATATGTCTCATTTTGGGTGCTAATGAGGGGTTGCAACAATAAATAATGTTATTTGTTGTTAGATAGCAGTTGTAAGCTGCAGTATTGACCTACTGTGTGTGCTTGTTTTATTGAGACATTATATATAATGCTTCATGGAGTGCTCTGCGGTGACCCTGAAAACTGGAGACTGTCTCTCACTGTTTTTTTTTTTTTTGGTAAATAACATATTACCCACAGGCAGCTGCCTCACGCCCCTGAGAACCCCAGCGCAGTGTTGAGCAGCACAGAGAAGAGAGCCATAAACCTGACGTGGGCCAAACCTTTTGATGGAAACAGCCCTCTTATCCGCTACATTCTGGAAGTTTCTGAAAACAGTAAGTAAATAATTTATATATGAGCAATATCACATGAGTAGCAGTGCGATACGGCTGTATATCAGCACTGGTGGGAGGCGTGCATTGACACAAGGCCGCAGCATATACTGTTTACAGTTAAAGTCAGAAGTCAGAATTGTTAGCCCCCCCTGGTTTTTTTTTATTTATTTATTTATTTTTTAACCAATTTCTGTCTAATGGAGAGAAGATTTTTTTCAACACATTTCAAACATAATAGTTTTAATAACTCGTCTCTAATAACTGATTTATTTTATCTTTGTCATTATGACAGTAAATAATATCTTACTAGATCTTTTAAAAAACCCTTACATACAACTTAAAGTGACATTTAAATGATTAACTAAGTTAAATAGGTTAACTAGGCAGGTTAGGGTAATCAGGCAGGTTATTGTATAATGCTGGTTTCTTCTGTAGACCATTGAAAAAAAATAGCTTAAAGGGGCTAATAATGTTGACCTTAAAATGTTTTTTAAAGAATTAAAAACTGCTTTTATTCTAGCTAAAATAAAACAAATAAGACTTTCTCCAGAAGAAAAATATATTGTCAGACATACTGTGAGAATTTCCTTGCTCTGGTAAACATAATTTGGGAAATATTTAAAAAAGAAAACAAAAATCAAAGAGGGGCTAATAATTCTGACTTCAACTGTATATACATAGTACAACAGTTCTTTCTGGTTCTCAAATCTGATTGGCTGATAGCCATGCAAAATTCTGCAATAACAGCACTCAATAACTATTTCTCTGCTCACATAGAGTGAAAGCAGATCAATAAACTATATTAATAATACCAATTAATAATAATAATAATAATAGTTTGTATTATTGGAGGAAAGTAATTTATGTTTTGTAGAGACATTGTGGCAATGCTGTACCTCCAAAAAACAATGCCCTCCTGTGGACGTCTCATTAGAAAAGCTGGTTTTATCTACTAATTGAGCAATTACTCTGGGATTTTATTTATTTGTTTATTTATTTTTAATGGGCCAGATGCCCTTTTACCTGTTACCCAGCACTGAGAGTACACTAGCTCATGAACCTTCAGTGCTGGGAAACTCTTAAATAAGAGAGAGTGTATGGATGTTTTCCAGCCCTGAGGTTCACGACACACACATTCCTAAACTGCGCCTAATTTAGCTAATCTAATTCACCAATACTGCATGTATTTGAACTGATTAAATGTAAAATGTGTTGACAAAATAAAAACTAAAATAAAACTAGCACAGCCAGTAATGAAACTAAACAAAAATGTACAGCAATTTTGAAAAAAAAGGATAAAATTAGGAATTAATAAAAAATGCTAAACTATAATAACTTTGACTATAACTGTGTACCAAAATGAGCTTACACTCAGAAATAAAGGTAGAAAATCTGTCACTGGGGCACTATCTCTATCTTTTCAAAAGGCACTTTTTTGCTCCTAACAGGTCCTTTAGGTACATTTCAGTATCTAAAAAGTACAAATCTCTACCTCGTAATACTTTAAAGGTACAAGAGTGAACCCTGAAGTTACAAAAATGTACCCTAAATGTACGAATGTGCCGCTGAAAAGTTCAAAAGTGTACGTTTTGAAAAAGTACCACACCAGTGATAGCTTTTGTAGCTTTATTTCTGAGTGTGCGAGTTCTAAAAGGCTCTTTTCACACAAAAAAATGAATAAATAAATGCCCAAGGCAAAACCTCTGTTTGAATCTGAAAGCATGTTGGTTTAGTTCTTCATTGCTCATTATTCTTCATTATCTGCTCTTCACAGATGCTCCTTGGACAGTCCTGTTAGCCAACATTGAGCCTGAATCAACCGCTGTAACGGTGAACGGCCTGATCCCGGCACGCTCCTACCAGTTCCGCCTGTGTGCCGTCAACGACGTGGGCAAAGGCCAGTTCAGTAAAGAGACTGACCGGTAAGCTGAGCCCTGTCTGACCATAAAGATAGCTCTATCATCCTGTCACAGCATGCCAAAATTGCCTGCGCTCTCATGGGACAGTGTCTATAGGAGGATTTATCTGTCTGTGTTTGTGTGTGTCAGTGTATCTTCCATGGATCAGTGTAATCAAAGCCCTCGCCGTGTAAAGAAAGCTTAAATGAGACGTTCAGGAAAGGCCCCCATCAGAACACACACAAATCCCTCTGCTTTCTTCTAACGTTTGAGACAAACCTCTTCTAGCCAAGATAATCCCAACTCAGAATAGACGGGACATAACTGGACTATATAGAAGACAGGGAGATCAGTTTTTGACTGTAGATACAGTACAGCTCAGACACTATAGCAGAGATGGAGAGTTTGCAATATCATGAAATCCCAGAAAGGGTTTGAGTAAAAGATTTTCCATCTTATAAAGATCTTATGAAGGTTCATTCAAAAAAGTAATTAATCATTAATTACATCATTAATAGTGTATTTAAAGTACTTTGACTTTAAAGTAACCTAATTACTCTGTCATTTAATTACTTGACTCAATACTAAAACACACGTAAATCTCAATGCATAAAAAATAGAAATACATTTTAGTCAAGCTGGACTTTTAATTTTTTTTATTCATTTACAGTTAAATTAAAAAATATATATGTATCAAAACAAAATGTTTAAAATTAATGACAACTTATTTCATACACACCATACATGTACAGTTTATTTACATACATTTCATTGTTTCTTACAGTGTTGGGGAAAGTTACTTTTTAAAGTAAGGCATTACAATATTGAGTTACTCCCCAAAAAAGTAATCAGTTGCATTTCTTAGCTACTTTTTATGGTAAGTAATCCGTTGTGTTACTTTTAAGTTAATTTTGCGCTACTTTTTATTACCTGACTGTGGTTTGATCTCTTTCAGAACTTTTTTTTTTTAATAGAGGAGCTCTGCAATTAACAACACACTGTATAACCTACACCTACATTTACCTTTAGAAAATTTTTTTTTTTTTTTTTAAATTATTCTGTTCATCAAGGTGGCATTTATTAAATTAATATTTATTACAATTTTGAATAATTGCTTTCTGATTGTATGTAGTCTCAATTGAAATTATTACTGCAGTCATTATTGTTTTTATTTATATTACATTAATAATAATAATAATAATTATTATTATTATTATTATTACTATTATTATTATTATTATTATAATATTAGAGTGATTTCTAAAGGATCATGGGACTGAAGACTGGAATAATGAAGCTGAAAATTAATCTTTAAATCACTGGAATAAATTATTATATTAAATGATAAACTACTTTTGAACTGTTATAGTGCATTAAGATTTCACATTTTTACAATTTGTACTGTATTTTTGATTTCATAAATGCAGCCTTGGTGAGCAGGAGAAGCTTATTTCTTTTTTTATTTATTTTTTGTATCTTTGCACTATTGTAATTATATATGAATTGAATTATTTATTATAATATTATTTTATTATAGTATTATATTATAGCATTATTTTATGCTCTCCCCCTCAAAATCATCCCAGTCAAAACTCATTTCTTTCCAAATAGAGTGGAGGAACTATGACGTCACTTTGTAGGCTAATCGGTTGCTAGCATAAAACTGGTTCCCTCGTGAAAATCCCTATTGGATTTTCCCATAGGCTTTTCGAAGATTGCAAATAATAAGCTCTGTGTTCAAACACAGTTCATTACACTTACACGTTTTGTCCAGCCGGATAATTGTCACACGAAAATACAACTTGGAGCACTTTTGGATCTTAAATGCAAAGGCAAGAGTTAAAAAGCTAACATTAGGCTATAAACGGACTACAGAGCCCTCGGGGCGCTCGTCTGTGACGTCAGTCCCTCCCTGTTACAGAAAACTTATCACGCTTATTTTTAGAAATATTGTCCATGACAAAGAGTTAATCTCTCTGTATATTATATTATATATTATATAGTAATCCACGCTATATATTATAAACAAATAAATACACAAAAATACATAGACCTATGTGCCTTTTGAATCGTTTTTATGTGGAAAATACATCTGTTTTGCTTTGCGGTTGTTCTAAAAGTTTTAAAACTGCGTGTATAAATCTGCCTATAGTATTATCATAAGACACGTTTAAATAAGTGTATCGCTCCCGCACACAGCCTGCTTACCTTAACCGATAACAGAAATGAGGCGTGAGGAGGAACAAGTATATGGCTGCAAGTTCCATCATGATGGACACAGAGCAACATTCGATATTCCTTTTATGTCACGACGTACAGCGAAAAGCAGCTCATACAGTCACATCTGCTATACGTTTTATTGGAGGAGTGTAAATATTGCAGTTATGACTGAGTAAAATGTGTTCAGATGAATAAAAAATTCTTGACGAAAAATCACTTGATCACGTTAAAATGACAGTTAATATGTCTGTATTTTTACACATTTATTCACACTTTTGCATTACTGAGGGCAGGAGAGAGACAGGCTGCATTGGTGAGCAGTATCTTCATAATATCGTTTAATTAAAATAAATGATCAACAAATGAATCTGTCTCGACTGCCTTTACATGTGAAGGCATTATCTACACACAATCTGAATTCTTAATTAGAAAAACACAAAAAACTATAAAACACTCTTCATGAAAACACCTAAATAACAGACAAATCCAAACGCCCAACACAAGCGGGCTGCGCTCCAGACCAGATCAGCTCGATGACGTATAATGTCTCCGACACCGCCTGTAGTCCCATTTAGCAACTTGATAGCAACCATCTTTTTAAAAAAGCATAACCGATTTAAAAATTCAAAAGTGTGCTGTAACTGATGTGTTTTATGTTGTAGAACAAAACGTGAAAATATCTTGAATTTGTGTTAGCCACGGACCTTATTTAAGCGATTTTACTGAAACCCCATTCAAAAAACCCATTGACTTTGGGACGAGGGAACTGGAACTGCTAAAATGCTAACTCGTTTCGGGGTTTTTGCATACAAATTGACGTCATAGTTCCTCCACTCTATAGAGCCACTCAATTTGTCTGGTGAAATTGAAAACAAATATCACTATGTCAGTCTTTTCCAATATTTTTCCAATATTGTGCAACTGCAAATATGAACACATTTAGTGGTAAGTGGTTGGTATTGACCATCAAAAACATCATATCAGTTGACCATTAGTTGTGTTTACCTACTCTGTCCTCCAGAGTGTCCCTTCCAGAAGAGCCTCCCAGTGCTCCCCCTCAAAACGTCATCGCCAGCGGCCGCACAAACCAGTCCATCATGATTCAGTGGCAGCCTCCACCCGAAAGCCACCAAAACGGCATCCTCAGAGGATACATCATCCGGTGAGACATGTTTACTGGTGTCTGAGCTCTTATAGCATCCCAAAGTCTCTGCTTCTTCTCTATTTTACGCTTATTTCACTTCCAATCGTTCGTAGTATGTTTTTATTTTTTCCAGGTCAACATCAATATGACCTTTTTTCCCCAGCTGCTCTAAATTCTCTTCCCTCACAGCAGGTTTTGTGGTAACATTTGATTGTATTGTATTATTTCAAGGCTACTCCTGGATTAGAGCACTTCAGGGCTATTTCCTCTCTGTCTGTGATGACAGTGAAATGGACTTTTTGTTCACTTATTTATATATTTCTTCTGTTCATCACTGAAGGAAGCTGAAGGCCGTCTTTGGTATTGCAAACCTAAGTAATGGTGCTTGACCTTGCTCGGTATTGCACAGAATATTTTTTTAGAGTGGTTCTTTATCGCCCTCTGTTGTTTGTAGATGGTAGTGCGCTTTAAAACCCAGCAGACAGATCTGATAATGAAGAGTAGATGACAAGGTGTATTTTTAGAGATGCTTATCGAGCTCTTCGGAGAGGGTTATCTTGGGAAATTCTCTGTCAAATCTCGCCTGTCCGTTCAGATGAGCAAATCTTTGCATCTGTCCTTGACAGTAACAATATAACCCTTCTCTAATCTCAGGTATCGTCTGACTGGTCTGCCTGTGGATATCCAGTATAAAAATATCTCGAACCCTGATGTCACCAACCTGCTGCTGGAGGATCTCATCATCTGGACTAATTATGAAATCGAAGTGGCGGCTTATAATGGAGCTGGACTGGGGGTTTACTGTCATAAAGTTACAGAGTGGACACTTCAGGGAGGTGAGGGTTTATTTGTGATTGCTCCATTCATACTGTACTGCATAGATATATATGTTATATTATTATAGTTAGTATTAATAATTATTATAACATATAATGGTGTCATGGTGGCGCAGTGAGAAGCACGATCGCCTCACAGCAAGAAGGTCTCTAGTTTGAGTCCCAACTGGGTCAGTTTACATTTCTGTGTGAAGTTTGCATGTTCTTCCCATGTACGTGTGGGTTTCCTTTGGGTGCTCCGGTTTCCCTTATAGTCCAAAGACATGCACTATAGGTCAATTGAATAAGCTAAATTGGCTGTGGTGTATGTGTGTTTTCCAGTGATGGGTTGCAGCTGAAAGGGCATCCGCTGTGTAAAACCTATGCTGGATAAGTTGGTGGTTCATTCCCCCTGATTAATTAAGGGACTAAGCCAAAAAGAAAATTAATGAATAAATGAATACATTTTATGAATTATTTTAAAATAACTACAGATTTACATATGATATTAACTAAACTGTCATTCAGTGTATCAATAGTTTATATACGAAAAACATGATAGTCATTATTAGAACAAATTGATGACATCTTAAAAGACTTAATAATTTTTAATAATTTATTCAGTTAAACTTTTTTAAAAAAACATATTTGTCAGCAAGAAGTCTGTAAGCATTCATTAATTCATTTCCCTTTGGATTAGTCCCTTATTTATCAGGGGTCGCCAGTGCAGAATGAACCACCAGTTTGTAAACAAGTAAAAAAGGTAAATAATAAATGTTTATGGAATGTTGGTTACCCCCATTTCACCCATATTTTGATGTTTTATTTTCATAATATTTATTTATATTACATTTATTTTATTTTATTAAAATTTATTTATGTATTTTTTATTAAATTTTATTTACATTTATTTATTTTATTTTATTTTACTTTATTTAATTTTATTTAAATTAACTTTTTAATTTAATTTAATTTAGTTTAAGTTAAATTTATTTTATTTTAATTCATTTAAATTTATTTTATATTTATTTCGATTTGTTTTTATTTTATTTACTTTATTTTAATTTATTTTTAATTTAATTTAATTTTACTGCACTTTATTTTTTTTTTCAAAACTTATCCAAGAAATATATGAAAAATTCAGTAACCTGTATGAACTGAATCCCCCTATTTATCCCCCCTATTATCCCCCTATTTATTTTTTCTCTAGTTTCTGTTTAACAAGAGAATATTTCTTCAGCACATTTCTTAACATAATAGTTGTAATAATTAATTTCTAATAACTGATTTATTTCATCTTTGCCATGATGACAGTACATCATATTTTACAAGATGTTTTTCTTGACACTTCTATACAGCTTAAAGTGCCATTTAAAGGCTTAACTAGGTTAGTTAGGTTACCTAGGCAAGTTAGAGTAATTAGGCAAGCTATTGTAGAACGATGGTTTGTTCTGTAGACTATCGAAAAAATATAGCTTAAAGGGGTTAATAATTTTTACCTTACAGTGTTTATAAAAAAATAAAAAATTGCTTTTAAACTAGCCGAAATAAAACAAATAAGACTTTCTCCAGAAGAAAAAATATTATCAGACATACTGTGAAAATTTCCTTGCTCTGTTAAACATAATTTGAGAAATATTAAAACAAGAAGAAAAAAAATAGCAATCAAAGAGGGCTAATAATTCTGACTTCAACTGTATATGGGTCTGCAGTGTTTACAAAAATGTTGAGTGTTGAAAAAAACTCACAGTAGTGTGGATGGCAGATGTAACCATAGCAAAAGTTTTTTGTTAAAAATAATCCAGTATAAACGTAGCCTATGAAAAAGCAACACTCGAGAGAAAGAACCCTTATGATTCCATTTTGTTTTCCACTGTTTACGACAAAATGAAAAATGTTTGGGAGCCTGGATAAAAGATGCTGATGTGCGCTATCTGCAGTCTTTGAAGACTGAACTAATAAATATTTCCGTCAGTTTTCTAGGCTTTAGCAGGTGAAATATGTTCGCCCTAAAAAAAGAAGTCTCATTTCCGTCTTCCTTTTCCCATTTTACCTGTCAACCAGTTCCCACCATTGCTCCAGGCAACGTGAAAGCAGAGCCCGTCAACTCCACCACAATCCGCTTCACCTGGACAGCCCCGAACCCGCAGTTCATCAACGGCATCAACCAGGGCTACAAGGTAGACGCAGAAGGAATGAGAATAAATCCACACTCCGACCCAAGCTTCTGAAAATGCATTACGCTGCCCTTATTTATTTTTTTTTGGAAAGTTTGTTGATGAGGTTTTATGCAAGGGTAGCTAGAGGTCTCTTTCAGCCTCCCTACTCTCAGTGCTTTGTTTTCCTGTTTGCTGAGAGATCCCGAATTGATCCTCCTGTCACTCCGGTTCTTTATAGCCAGACTGTCTGTGGAGCAAAATGTTTAGGACAATTACAAAATGGAGACAGTCAGCCAGACACATTAGTCTTAATAGCTTATTAACCAGGTTTAAACTCGGCCTCTGGACAACAACAGCTGGGATTGGAGGGAGTATTTGTTGGCTGGCCTTTTTTATTATTATTTTTATCTCTGCAGACTCGTTTGTGAACAGTCTTATAACTCTCGTTCCCTCTTTAGTGGCCACAGAGGAGAGTTTCAAGTGTCTATAAACTCTGAAATGCCCAATAATCCACTGTAGTATTGGGAAAAGAGAGGAAATCTGTGAGCATTCAGCCGTTCTTAGTAGGGAATTAACCTGGAATAAATCACACTCGCTGATAGTGTTATTTCAACACCATTATGCAAATTAGGTAACAGCAGAAACACACACAAAATGTGTGTTAATGCACAGGGCAGTGCAGTCTTCTGTTTAAAGACTATGCCTTAAACTAGTTTGACTAACTAGCAGTCTAGGATGCAAAGTATATTACTTATAAAAATTTAACTTATAATTGGGTGAATGGTATTTAGTGCAGCCATCTTCTGTAAGAAATTCAAAAAAGTTACATGTACTATTTACAAAAATGCTGATGTGGTCCAAACTGCATATAGCAATAGATTATATTTGTAGCCAAATGTGGTCAAGACCTACTTGTCAAGTATTCAAAGTATAAATGTAAAAGTAATTCATACAACTTGGGGAATAAATTTTAAGTCTAAGCTACATGAAAAATGTGGATTTTTAAAAAAAAAAAAAAAAAAAAAAAATTATTTACTAAATTACTAAGTAATACTAAATTACCTTTAGTTTCCCGTAAAAAAGAAAGTGGAAACGGAACACACATGGTACACTTAGGTAATTGTTTTTAAGGTGCTGTATGTATTTATTTTTTTAATACATACAGCTCTAAAGCATAAGAATACAATAATATGTCCAACACAGGCTTATTGTGGATACGTACCCAGGTCTACTGGCTGCATTTCATCTGAAAAACAAACGTTATGGGGTGGTATGACGCCGCCGACAGCTTCTGTTCTTTTTCGTACTACCAGCTGATTGCTTAACTCTATGCACAGCTTTTCCAGTGTTACCAGTTTAACGAAGGCCAGCTAGCGAAGTGCTATGCAGATAAACCTCACTCCTCTGACCTCAAAAGGTGCTCTAGCGAGAGGCCATGGTCTTAAAGGGTCACGAAACACCAAAACTCATTTTTTGAGCTGTTGACAGTCGTGTATGTGTCCCACACTGCTAAAAACACTATTAGGACACCTATATTTCACTAAAAAGTGTAAATTGGTTGTTTTTGCGTTATTTTAAGCAAATTCGTACTACCGGTTTGAAACGAATTTTTGAAGCTGCGTCACGGCCATGACATAATAGCGTTGTATTCCAGCGTGCAGACTGGGCGTCTGTGCCAGAGTGTGTCTTATTACGTCTTACAGTGTGATGCATTAATGCATGAGTAAGGCTTGGTTCAAACCAATCAGAGCGCTCTATTGTGCAACTTCATTAATATTCATTACTGTCAGAGTGTAGACGACAGAGACGCCACGTTGTGTTGGCAAAACAAGCGTGAAGTGTTGCTTTTAGATTTTGCTGCAGTTAAGTTTTGTTTTCATTTTCTCTCTGTGAGAGCGCAGCTGGCGTCACGTGTGGATTAACAGTGTACGCGACGCGCGACAACAATAACTTACGTGTCTAAGGAGGATTATTGTTTACCTGAGAGCTGTTCTCATCTGCAAACGCTGAGATCCGGATTCGCTTGTAGTCTCCTCTAAATAAAGACGCGCTCTAGTTGCTGTGGATTGTCCTGTCTCTACAGATTTGGTAAGTAAGCGACCAGTGCTCTTTGTTTATTCAGTTCGTATTTTAGTCGTATCAAACAAACTATTGCACCGTGTGTAAACAAGTTAGCACTAACAGTTACAACCAAACTATAACCTTGTGTTGGATTTTGTGACCGGAATAACACACGCGGCTTTCTGACACTACCTGCCGTGTGCATCTAAGTTTTCGGGAAATGCTGAGTTTTTTTCTCTCTCATTCGCCGTGCGGTATCAAACATTGCATGAAAAATACACGCTTAGAGCAGCTCATCGAATCAAATATCATGTTTGTCGGGAGGGACATGAATGAATTCCCTGAATGAAAGAGCCAAACTGCAGTTAAGGTCCACCATTTAATAATTTGGCAAATAATTCGACTACAGATGTCCATGTAAACACATTGTTCGCTGTGGTTGTGTGTTTTGACTCTGAAATTCAGCGCACCCAAATAGACACTCCCACACCAAGCCTCATTTCTTCCTCCGACACTCCCCCCTAAACAGAGCTGGACACGCCCACTTTTCTGACTTTTTCCAAAGTAGAGGTGTGAAAACACCCTGCTGAAACGAGGGGGTTTCATGCCCCTTAAACCTTCTTGTTAGAGCAACCGATTGCCATGCAAAGAATCACCGGTTCGATTCTAGCTCAGATCGGCTTAGGCCCTGTAGGACCGGTGGGTTACACATGGGGGCTAATTTGGGATGGGAGTGAGGTTTAGGGAAGTGAGTCTAACAGAGATCAGCTAGCGAAATGTTATGCAGGTAAACCTCACTCCTCTGACCTCAAAAGGTCCTCTAGCAACAGATGCTTGAGGCCATGGTTTTTAGCCTCCTTGTTAAATCAACCGACCAAAGAATCACCGTTTCGATTCCAGCTCAGATCGGCTTAGGCCCAGTAGGACCGGTGGGTTACTCATGATGGCTAATTTGGGATGGGAGTGAGATTTAGGGAAGTGAGTGTAACAGAGGTCAGCTAGCAAAATGCTATGCAGGTAAACCTCACTCCTCTGACCTCAAAAGGTGCTCTAGCAGCAGATGCTTGAGGCCATGGTTTTTAGCCTCCTTGTTAGAGCAACCGACTCCCATGCAAAGAATTGCCGGTGCGATTCCACCTCAGATCGGCTTAGGTTAAGTAGGAGCGGTGGGTTACTTGTGGGGGCTCATCTGGGATGGGAGTGGGGTTTAGTGGGGTGAGTTTAACAGAGGTCAGCTAGCGAAGTGCTCTGCAGGTAAACCTCACTCCTCTGACCTCAAAAGGTGTTCTAGTGACAGACGCTAGAGGCCATGTTTTTTAACCTCCTTGTTAGAGCAGCTGACTCGCATACAAAGAATCTCCGGTTTAATTCCAGCTCAGACCAGGTTGGGTGTATTAGGACTGATGGGTTACACCAGGTTGCCCAGTAGCTTGCCAAATATGCTATAAACTTGGGATGCAGAGCTGAATTTAGCGTGACACAGGGTTCGAGTCCAGGCTTCGAGTTTGATTCAGGAAACCAGGTAAAACAAAGGCAAAAAAAACTGTAAATAAAAAACTGGTTGAAAATGTGGTAAAACATGAAAGCGTAATACAATGCGGCCACGTTGGCTTTTCTTTTCTTGATTGCTTTTGAAAATTCTATCGGTTGGGTTAAGGGAAGGGTGTGTGTGTGGGTAAGTCGGTCAGTCGACAGCAAGCTGGTCAGCTGAGATGTATATTGTGGCTTCTGGTGGATTTATGCGAGAAGAGAATGCGCAAATGGCACGTACAAGAGATTTTTGAGATCATCAAAAATGTACACAGCGGCCTCTGATGGTTTTGCGAAATCAAAAACTGTAAACAGATGTAGCTCTGGGTATGAATTTCGTGGTCTCCAAAAATGTATACCTGGGTACATATCCACAATGAGCCTGGGTTGAATATGTCAGCAGATATTTAGCAAACATGCACAGTGAACCTATTTTATATCTGACAAACAATGCTGAAGTCAGTTATTCTCCTATGAATATGCGCATTCCAGATCTGAAAGTCTGTCTTTGTTTTGATTTTTGTTACTCTAACCACTTCAAGTTTACCCAATTATATTTCAGCACTAGGTTGCCTTGGTGAAAAACACTGTTTCAGTGTAGACGACTGTTTGAATATATCTGGGCACTGCCGAAAATGGGAACTGTGGAGGACAGCAGCAGCCCCTGAAATGAGGCACAGATTCAGAGTTTTAAAAATCCACATGAGCTTTTAATTAGCAAAATAATACAAATATTATAATTGTAAACATTATCTAAGCAGCTTGCAGTGTAATGCTCGACCATCAGGCTCCTGCATGTGTGTTGTGTCATCGTCAGAAGGGCCAGGGGAAACAAACCCTCTTCAATATTTAGAATTTATATTGCAATATTTATTTGAACTACTACATACTGTACCTTTAAATAGTAAATAACTAAAGTTAAAGTACATCAGATCAATCAAACTGTTTATCAATCTTTTGTCCTTTAATCTTTTTAGCTGTTAGCATGGGAGCCAGGAAAGGAAGATGAGACGACAGTAGTGACGGTTCGGCCCAACTTTCAGGACAGCGTTCATGTGGGCCACATCGGCGGATTGAAGAAGTTCTCAGAGTACTACACATCTGTACTGTGCTTCACCACACCAGGAGACGGACCCCGCAGCTCTCCAAGACGACTGCGAACACATGAAGACAGTGAGAGACACTTACACACACACACACACCTTCACACTTTACATGACTCCTGCTGATTCCAGAGCATTCAATTTCAGCAGCTGGTGGAGTCAGGATGAACTCTGACCATTATTTTGATAGAAACCAGATTACTCTCCAGATCTGCTGAACTTGTGTTGGTCTCTTGATCTGATCATTGTGCTGTATTTTCAGCTCCTGGTGCTGTGGGTCATCTGAGCTTCACTGAGATTCTGGACACTTCTCTTAAAGTCAGCTGGAGAGAGCCAAATGAGAAGAACGGCGTTCTGACTGGTGAGTTTCATTTCTGTTCTTTGTACTATTGAGATCTTCTAAAGAATATAATGTTTACAATCAATAATAAAAATTGTGTCAGACACACGTTTTTAGATTAGATTAGATTAGATTTAACTTTATTATCATTTTCACATGTACAAGTACAAGGCAACGAAATGCAGTTTGGGTCGAACCAGGACTGCAATAACAGCAAGTGCAAGATAAGTTATAAAGTGCAGTTACAGAAAACTATGATGATATTTACAGATAGATGTACTATGAGTAATATATACAGGTTATATTAGCTATGAACATGGATTAACAATAGATTCATAAATGTACAGGTTGCTATTAATAAACAGAAGTGTGCAGAAGAAGAGGAATTGAATGAAGCATCATACATTGGTGGAAAGTCATTATTCTGCTAAAATAATTATAAAATGTGTCAAATTAAACATATAACAGATAAAAACTTAATTTATAATCTGTGAAATGAAAATTCTATGAAAATAGTATATAGAATTACAATATAATTATTTTGAATTTCATAAGCAAAATACATTATATTACACTACATTAATTCAACTTGTTTCCTTTAATAACAAAATTATGTAAATATTAAAATTGTATATTTGACCTATTTTTAAAATGACGTTCAGAAATTATTATTCATAAATATATTAGTTTAGAAATAAATAATAAAAAATAATAATAAAATTGAACTCTTCATTAATTTTCTAGACTAGTCCAATATACAGTTGAAGTCAGAATTATTAGCCCTCCTGAACTGTGTTCCCATGTTAATTTTTTTCTCCAATTTCTGTTTAACAGAGAAAAGATTTTTTAAACACATTTCTAAACATATTAGTTTTAATAACGTATCTCTAATAACTGATTTATTTTATCTTTGCCATGATGAAAAAATAATATTTTACTAGATATTTTTTTCAGGAAACTTCTATACAGCTTAAAGTGACATTTAAAGGCTTAACTAGGTTAATTAGGTAAAACAAAAAATACTTTCTTCAGAAGAAATCAAAGGGGGGCTAATAATTTTGACTTTGTATATAATTGTGTGTAATGAAATTCAAAATAATCCACTGTTTGTTCTTTAACAAAAACATTATGTGATTAAAGTCTTAAAAATATCTTTAGTTTTGACACATTTTTCAAATGTGCAATCCAACATATTTTCAAGCTCAAAAGGAAAAATACGCTTTTCTAGAGTAGTTATTTTCTAGACTAGACCAACATGCAATTTTTTTTTTATTTAATGTATTTGACACTGTTCATATTTTACTAAATGTTTTTATTTAAATGATAATGACTTATAAAACACCATTACTACTACTATTACAAAAAAATTATAATAATAAAAATATTAGTATTTTAACTATTAATGACAATTAGATAAAAAAAACTAACAGACAACATCCATTTTAACAACGCTAAAGAGAAAATAATAATACAAATAAAAATGCATAATACAAAATCTAATAATAATAAAATAATACAATAATAATAATGAATAAATAATAAAAAAGTATATATATTTATAAAAATAAAAAATTGATTAAAAAGAAAATGATAATGGATATTAAAATAATAATAAATACATAAATAAATAATAAAATAAAATAAAATAAAATAAAATAAAATAAATTCAATTGTGGCATCCCATTACTCAATATACTGCAGTGAAATTCAGATAAGGAGTCCAGATTTGATGAAAACTCTGAGTAGACATAAGAACAACCCATAGTAAACAGTTTTATCTCATGTTTGTTTTTTAGGTTATCGTATATCATGGGAGGAGTACAACCGCACTAACACACGAGTTACACACTATCTGCCCAACGTGACTCTGGAGTACCGAGTGACCGGACTGACGGCTCTCACCACATACACCATTGAGGTGGCAGCCATGACCTCTAAAGGCCAGGGTCAGCTGTCATCCTCAACCATCTCTTCAGGAGTACCACCAGGTACAGTAATCAGACACTTACAAACCTGTCCAAACAGGTAATGAAATCTACACTTTAAAGTTCCCGTGAAGAGCTTTGTAACGTGCACTTTTTTTCAATGTTGGACGTAATTTCAACTGAAACACAAAAAGAAGGTGGGACATCGAGTAGCTCCTCTTCTTTTCCAAAAACAGCCAATAGCATTTGGTTTGTCACAGTTTTGCCAGTGAGAGTGGTTGAGATCAAATTAAATGCAAATGAGAAGCGTTAAAGAGGACGGGCCATGTCAGATACTAGAGAGCATTTGATTGGTCAAGATTTGATGAAAAACTACAGTATGAGGTGGCATGAAAATTATCGTTGATCCATTTCAGTGGATGTGACAGAAATTTTAGGAGTTTATATCAGGATTATTTTTATCTTATTTATAAATTATAGATATCCTTAAAACTAAACAAAACAAAAAATTTAGACATTTTCATTTCACAGGACCTTTAAAATCAGACGCAAGAGGCTAAACATAGTCTGAAATGTCAAGACAAAATACTGCATGTGAAAAGCAGACATCTCAGGTTGGTCAAAGAGGAAGAGTGGTGGGAGGGGGTGGTGGGTGAAGTGATAGGGAGTGTTTGCACATCCTAGACGAAGAAATTATGTCATTTGTGGGCATCAGGGTATATGCGGGAGACTCCCGAAGCCTCTAGGAGACTTGAAATGTCTGAAAATACTATCTAATACTAAAACCATGCTATCCCCTTTTCATTTATTACATTTTATTTATTAATTGGTAATATACTATAAAAGTTTTATAAAATGTTATGCAGATGTTATTCAAGTATATGGACGGACGGACGGTCGAATAGACGTATAGATAGATAGACGGACGGACAGACAGACAGACAGACAGACAGACAGACAGACAGACGGATAGACGTATAGATTGTAATATCTCAGCACTTTATCGCATCCTCCAACCCACCAGGGGGCGCACATGTTGCCCTATACTCCTCAACATTAGATGGCAGTAGTGACTCTTGTTCCTCTAAACTCTCCTGTAATCAGCGTAACCACCACCACCTGTTCTTTGCTCTATATAAGACTGCTTTGTATTCTGCTTTATGTTCAGTCCTGAACTAAACCTCTTGCTGCCTCGTCCAGTTTCCAGTTAAGTTGTTTTCAAGACTTTTTGCTTGTTCTCAAGACTTGTTTGCTATTTTGCTGTTTGATTGTTATGAGACCCTCGGGTCTATTTTATTTTGTATGTATTTTCAGGAAGCTCGGCTTTCCTATTTTTGTTGTACTTTTTCAACCCTGGCTGTAGAGAGATATTATCTCTCCTTTTTTGTCAAATTTACCTCAGTAAAGACTATATTATTTTTTTTTTTAATTCATCAGTTGTGGACTAACTTTGTTCCTCCTCTGCTCTTGGGCCACCAGTTGCTGACTTAGCTCATCTAGTAAAAACTACTGCTAACCACACCGTAGACCCGGGTTCGATCCCCACTCAGATCATTACATAGATAAATGGACAGACAGTCAGATGATGGATGGATGGACGGACGGATGGACAGACAGACAGACAGACTGGTACATAGATAGATAGATAGATAGGCAGACAGACAGACAGACAGATGTTGAAGTAAAAATTATTAGCCCCCTTTGAATTTTTTTCTTTTTTAAATATTTCCCAAATTATGTTTAACAGAGCAAGGTAATTTTCACAGTATGTCTGATAATATTTTTTCTTTTGAGGTAAGTCTTGTTTGTTTAATTCCGGCAAGAATAAAAGCAGTTATTCATTTTTTAAACACCATTTTAAGGTCAAGATTATTAGCCCCTTTAAGCTATATTTTTTGGATAACAAACCATTGTTATACAATAACTTGCCTAATTACCCTAACCTTCCTAGTTGCCCTAATTAACCTAGTTAAGCCTTTAAATGTCACTTTAAGCTGTATATAAGTGTCTTGATAAATATCTAGTCAAATATTATTTACTGTCATCATGGCAAAGATGAAATAAATGAGGTATTAGAGATGAATTATTAAAATTATTATTTTTAGAAATGTTTAAAAAATCTCTCCGTTAAACAGAAATTGGGGAGAAAATTAAACGGGGGCTAATAATTCAGGGCGGCTAGTAATTCTCACCTCAACTGTAAATGAATATAAAATCAATCAACTGTGAAAGTATGGCCAATAATACTTTGCTTTCATTTTTAGCCTATTTACCCACGGTGTGTTGTCTTCACATGAAAGAAAATGATCATGATAGAAAACACACACATACACTAAACCAGCTTTAAAACACCTCTGCTTGTAGAGCTCCTGTTAAAAGGGCTTTAGAGGGTGATAAAGTTAAACGTCCAGCTCTTGTTATTGCGCCGTGGTGGACACACAAACACATGCAGCAGAATAACTGACAGGAGGAGACCTGACACCATTACGACTCCCACGACAGAGATCACTTCTCCTTTACTGCTTCATTAGACGCTCGACGGCTTCCAGACTCCAACCATGTGCGCATTCACAAGTAAATGTAGGCGTTTCAATGCTGAACGGTCGCAGTTACCCTTATTACCTAAAGTTATGCAGACCCTGCTGCTTTCCAGACATTTCTACAGTGTTTTATTGAAGGCATATTTCATCTTCTGATAATAAGCCGGGTAACAGCTGTGAGAGGATAGATTTGTACCGCTTTTCTCATCATTTCACTGCCTTTCACGCTGATGTTTAACTCTGAGGAAACTACAGAGAAATTTGAAATCAAATTTACTGTTGCTTGCTATAGATTAAGTATAAGAGCTACCCACAACATTGATCATATACAGTTAAAATATTTTAATAGCTACCACTCTAACCACTGGATAGGAGAAACACTCAAAATACTATATAAACCTTTTAGAACTACATAATAACTAATAGAAATTAAAAAAATAGAAACTAATCAGAAATACATAACAATGTATTTAGTACAACTCAACATGTATGAACACTTTAGCGTCCACCCAGAATGCCCTAGCAACAATTTAGAAAACCCTAGCAACAGTATCTTAGAGCGCTTCTGTTGTGCATTTCAAAATGCAATATATGCTGAATATGTTCATGTTTTTTTTGTAATGAGAATTAATTATGAACGTGTTGTCAAATAATTATTTATTTAATTATTTATTTATGTATTTATTTATTTATTGTTACAAATTAAATAATAATTTTTAAAAAACGGTGCTCACAATAGCTGTTTCCTAGTGGTTTACTGCCAGAATAAAATCTTTTTTGTTTTAACAATTAATCCATATATGCCATAACATATTCCATACCATAAATATTAATAATGTCATTCTACTGTTCTATATAATAATAATAATAATAATAATAATAATAATAATAATAATAATAATAATAATTAAAACAACAACAAAAACAACAACAACAATAATAATAATAATAATAATAATTTAATGATGATAATGACATAATAATAATAATAATAATAATAATAATAATAATAATAATAATTGCATGATAATAATAATATTTGCATGATGATAATAATAATAACAATAATAATAATTGCATGATAATAATAATAATAATAATAATAATAATAATAATAATTGCATGATAATAATAATAATAATATTAATAATAATAATAATGATAATAATAATTGCATGATGATGATAAAAAATAATTGCTTAATGATAATGACATAATAATAATAATAATAATAATAATAATAATAATAATAATAATAATAAAAATATTGATAATTGCATAATAATAATAATAATAATGGCATAATAATAGTATTGATAATAATAATAATAATAATAATAATAATAATTGCATAAAGGGCTGCACAGTGGGTAGTACGATCGCCTCACATCAAGAAGGTCGCTGGTTCGAGCATCGGCTGGGTCAGTTAGCGTTTCTTTGATGAGTTTTTATGTTCTCCCCGTGTACACGTGGGTTTCTTCCGGGTGCTCGGAAGCAATATAATTATAGGTGAAATAAGTAAGCTAAATTGTCTATGGTGTATGTGTGTGAATGGATGTGTGTGGATGTTTCCCACGCATGGGTTGCGGCTGGAAGGGCATCCGCTGTGTAAAATATGCTGGAGAAGTTGGCAGTTCATTCCACTGTGGCAACCCCAGATTAATAAAGGGACTAAGCTGAAAAGAAAATGAATAAATGGATGAATGATTGCATAATGATAATAATAATAATAATAATTGCATAATGATAATGTTATAATAATAATAATAATAATAATAATAATAATAATAATAATAGTTTCCAAATGATGATAATAATAGTAATAATAATAATAATAATAATAACAATTATTATTATTATTAATATTATTATTATTATTATTATTATTATTATTATTATTATTATTATTATTATTGTAACAGTTATAATAACAATAACATATTAAATACTTTTTTATAATAATATTTTTGCACATATTAATGCACATGTAATTTCATGGTCAAAAGAGGGCGCCATAACACAGCAGGACATTTTCACATTTCAGCAGCTATGTCATGTTTAACAGACATTTTCTCTCATAATTATTTTCAGGACAAAATAAGCATAAACTTCTTGATTAACACAATTAACACTCTTCCTAATTAACACTCTTTCTCTGGCTCTCTATTTCCTAATTCAGAGCTTCCCGGCCCACCCACAAACCTGGCCATTTCAAACATAGGCCCTCGAACGGTAACCTTACAGTTTAAGCCCGGATACGACGGCAAGACTTCAATTTCCCGTTGGCAGGTAGAGGCTCAGGTGGGTCTGTCTCTTTTAATTTAAGCGGATAAAGCTTTAATATTCTAGTGTTGCTCATAAATGTCCTCTGCTCTCAGGTGGGAGTCATTGGGGAGAATGAGGATTGGGTGATGGTTCATCAGCGGGCCAATGAGCCTGATGCTCGCTCCCTGGAGGTCTCCGGCCTTAACCCTTACACATTTTACAGGTAACAAATGCATTTTTATTTGAGTCTGTTATTGAATAAAGCCTCCTGAGTGCATTTAAGAACAGTTTGCAGTGTTCCAGAATAACATTGAAGCCCTATTTATTTGCACTTTACATGTAATATTATTGATCACACATTACAATTAAGTTTCATTAGTTAATGTTGGTTCGTGTATTTAAACTAATGAACCATTCTTGTACAGTATTTATCATCACGATTCAACATTTACTAATGCATTATTAAAATCCAAATTGATGCTTGTGAATGCACCATGAGTTAACTAACATGACTTAAAATGAACAATTCTGTTAACCAGTGTTAATAAACATGAATTAATACGGAGATCTGTGTAAGTGAAGTCTGATCTTTAGTTTTCTTGATAATGTGCCTGCATCTAGTTAAAAAAAACAAGAGTTTTAGTTGCGCTCAGAGGTTATATAGAACCAGAGGGGTTACATGTGTGCTGTAACCCGGATGGGAGTGAAACTAACGTTAACTAATACAACCTTATTGTAAAGTGTTAGCATATTATTAATATTTTTTTAGATCCTAGAAATGTTAGATCCTCACTGTATAGGAAAAATGTAGTCATACTGTAAGGTTTCTATAACATTTGTTTTATATATATATATATATATATATATATATATATATATATATATATATATATATATATATTAGGGATGGGGAGATTCATCGATATGTATCGATACGCGGTCATGCGCGTGCACGATGCGAGTGCATCGGTTGAGCAGCAGAGGATGAATGAAATTTTGGAAGCAAATCGAGATGCATCGGTTTTTGCAAGATGCATCGATTTTTCCGAGATACAGCTTATATTTTTAATATAGAATGTATTTTTTATTTATTAACAAGTGTTGTCAACCTGTTTTTGGCGCATAATTTAATCGACCTACATAAAGTAAGCCTTAGCAAAGGATTCGCGGATGTGTACACTTAAACTACAACTCAGTGTATCAGGTGTGCGGATGAAGCTAGTGGAGCGCCCTCAGAAAGCGCGAGAAGTAAAACAAACAATTTATTCCTCACTGAGTTTTAAATCTAAAGTATGGCAAGCAGCATTATGGATTTAAGGATGGACGATCTGACAGGACAGATGCAATTTGCAAAATGTGCCGCGCATCTGTAAAATACGCGGGCAGTATGACTAATCTGAAATCTCACTTGAAGCGGCGCCACAGTGTTGTTGTGAAAGCATCTTCCAGTGTTCCTGCATCCCCGGTTTTCGCACTGCTTCAACCAGCTCCAAAAGTGATGAGAAAAGCATTGCAAGTTTTTTTTTCCGTGCGCAACAGTTTTGTGCGCTCTACGCCAATAACGAATGCTATTGCATTGTTCATCTGTAAAGATATTCAGCCTAGTGTCACGGAGAACGAAGGTTTTAAACACCTCCTCCTGTTAATTTTTTATTTAATTATAATAATAATAATAATATTAATAATAATAATGATAAAAATAATGGGTGTCACGGTGGCACAGTGGGTAGTTTGACCCCCTCACAGCAAAAAGATTGCTGGTTTGTTATATTTTTATTAGCCTGTTGTTTTACAGTGACAGTGATGTTTCAAAGCCGCATAACACTGCTAGTTCACAACCTTAAGTTTTGAATAATCAGTGGCAAAATATCTTTGTAAAACTTGTTTTCATAGTTGAAAAGTTAAATCACAATTCTTGTTGTGCAATGCTAAACCTTTATGTTGAAAGAGTGCAAATATATATATATATTTTTAATATATATTGCACTTATACATTCTGTTTATTTTGAAAATACTTAAATAATATGTGCTATATTATCTAAAATGGCCCTCTACTGTAAACTGACACTCTGGCTCTGAGAGAAGAGCCAGTTTGTAAAAAAAGTCTTGGTTTTGCTTGGTTTATAAATAATCAAACTCATTCAATGGCACAGCATCCTCTTTCACATCATCTCATAAACTTGATCTAATTAGTTAGTGCTGAAATATCGCATCGTATCGTGATATGGGTGTGAATCGTATCGTGTTGCATCGCAATATGTCACAAACGAGATGCGTATCGGATCGGCATTATAGCTTAGATGCCCAACCCTAATATATATATATATATATATATATATATATATATATATATATATATATATATGTATAAAATCATTAGCCTAGAAAATGTAGTTCTAATATAAAGAAATATTGGTAACACCTTATTTTAAAGATCCAAAATAATGCATAAGTTAAGCATTAATTTTTAATTTGTTCACAATTAAGCATTAAACAAAAAACACTAGTAATTAATAGTTAACATAACATTTTTAGAGTCCCAAATATAGCATTGGTTAAGCTCAGTTAAACTTATTAATCATGATTATTAAACTTTTATAATTATAGTGCATTATTTTGGACTCTTAATATGAAGTGTTTCCAAATTGCTAATGTATGCAATATACATGCAAAATATTATTAAATTCTTTGTCAAAACCCTATATTTCTGTCAAAAATGTCTGATAGGGATTTTACAGTAAAACCATGGTGAACTCAATGCCTTCTAACCTGATTGTTGTTGCATATTATTTCTGTTTTTTATTTTTATTTTTATGCAGAATGATGGCGCTTCAAACATGTTTAATTTCCTACAGGTTTTAAATAAAATGCTCTGTAATGAACTTAAATCCTTCTCACTTTATTTCCCAGTGCTTTTTAGTGGTCAAAAAAAGCTGGTCCTGTGAAATGCATTCATGAAAACGGTCCATATGGCATGCACTTCAAACACTTTCATTCTGCTTTTAGTGCATTCAGTGTTGAAGCTCATATAATGTGTTGGTTATAAAATTGGTGGTGGCACCAGTGCAACCTTTAACAACATTTAGTTCTGGTTAGAAAAAAGTTACCAAAATGTGACCTTTTTTTGTCAAAATTTCCAGCCCTGATTAAAAATCAGTGTTACTTTTTCAGTAAAAGATTTCAGAAGATTTTTACTGTAGCTGAAATCATGGTCCTTGGTGGATCATAAAATGCAAAAAGATACATTGGCACCTTATGAAGTGAAACAATTGGTCTGTGTAAGAAACTGAACATTATTTGCAACATTATTTTGCTTGTTATCATGTGAATATTTTTTAGGCCAGTTGGCAAGAGATGTGCAAGTGAAGAGTGATCTTTAGTTTCATTGATATTGTGCCTGCATCTAGTAACTGAAACTAGTTATGCTCAGAGTGAGGTAAATAAAACCAGAGAAGTTACATTTGTGCGTGACCCGGATGGGAGTGAGTTTTAATGCGTGATTTGAACTCATTAAAACTAATTGTCACTGATGGTAGAAATCATGGACACTAAAAATGTGTGTCTCTATTACTGTGCCCTCTCATACCAGAAATCCCTGTTCATATCAAATAGAACCAGAGGGGTAAAAAAAAATAGGTGCCGTGACCCAGATGGTATCAAATAAAACAAGAGGAGGTAAAAAATGGTTCTGTGACCCAGATGGTATCAAATAGAATCAGAGGAGGTGAAAATGGTGCCGTGACCCAGATGGTATCAAATAGAACCAGTGGAGGTGAAAAAATGGTACTGTGACCCAGATGGTATCAAATAAAACCATAGGTGGTAAAAAATGGTAATGTGACCCAGATGGTATCAAATAGAACCAGAAGAGGTAAAAAAGGGTGCCGTGACCCAGTTGGTATCAAATAGAACCAGAGGATGTAAAATTGGTGCCGTGACCCAGATAATAATAAATAGAACCAGAGGAGGTGAAAAATATTTTGTGCCGTAACCCTGATGGTATCAAATAGAACCAGTGGAGGTAAAAAAAAATGGTGCCGTATCCCAGATGGTATCAAATAAAACCATAATAGGTAAATTAGTACTGTAACCCAGATGGTATCAAATATAACCAGTGGAGGTGAAAATGGTGCCGTGACCCAGATGGTATCAAATAGAACCAGTGGTAGTAAAAATGGTACTGTGACCCAGATGGTATCAAATAAAACCATAGGAGGTAAAAAAAAAAATGGTTATGTGACCCAGATGGTATTAAATAGAACCAGAGGATGTAAAATTGGTGCCATGACCCAGACAGTATTAAATAGAACCAGAGGAGGTATAAATAATTGGTGCCATAACCTAGATGGTATCAAATAGAACCAGTGAAGTTTAAAAAAAATGGTGCCGTGCCCTAGATGGTATCAAATAAAACTATAGTAGGTAAATTAGTACTGTGACCCAGATAGTATCAAATAGAACCAGAGGTGGTGAAAATAGTGCCGTGACCCAGATGGTATCAAATAGAACCAGTAGAGGTAAAACAAATTGTGCCGAGACCCAGATGGTGTCAAATAAAACCTTAGTAGGTAAAATTGTTACTGTGACCCAGATCCTTTAAAATAAAACCAGAAGAGGTGAAAAAATGGTGCCGTGACCCAGATGGTATCAAATAGAACCAGATGATATAAAATTGGTGCCGTGACCCAGATGGTATCAAATGGAACCAGAGGGTGTGAAATTGGTGTCATGACCCAGTCAGCAGATCTGCACCAATTTTTTTTTCTCCTCTTGTTCTATTTGATGACACCAGCTCTGTGTTTAAATGTGTAAATAGAACCGAAATCGCATAATCATGTATAAGGGCTTTAATTAACAACAACAGCACTGCTTGTGATTGACCTATATAATGTCTTCGCAGGTTCCGCATGCGTCAGGTGAATATAGTAGGCACCAGTCCACCCAGCCAGCCTTCCAGAAAGATCCAGACCTTGCAGGCTCCTCCTGATATGGCCCCTGCAAATGTCACCCTACGGACGGCCAGTGAAACCAGCCTCTGGCTTAGATGGGTGGTACGTTTTACATATTATGATTTTTTTTTTTTTTGCTTTTCTATGAGGACAAAGTACATGCAGCATGTTTAACAATAAACATGAAAAACAAATCAAAACAAAAACACAATCTGAGTCTAAGAAGAGAAGGAGAACAAGAATAAAAAAAAGAAAAAAAAAAGAAATAACAACAATAATATATGGGGTAAATACTACAGTAGTTGGTTGACGAAGACAAATCCTATAAGGAAATGAAGGGAAACAATGAAAAAGGAGAGATAGTCAAAGAGAATTGAAAATAAATATATGTATATGTAACAGTTCTACAATCTAAACAAAACATGCATATATCCCACTGTGACACAAACTCACGTACTCTGTTTTTCATCAGCCTCTTCCTGAATGGGAGTACAATGGGAACCCTGATTCGGTGGGTTATCGTGTGCAGTACAGCAGGACTGGAGCTCCATCTAAAGCTCTGCTGCACGTTATCGCAGACCGTCTGGAGAGAGAGTTCACTATAGAGGACCTGGAGGAGTGGACCGAATATGAGGTCAGAGTTCAGGCCATTAACGGCATCGGAGCGGGACCCTGGAGTCAACCTGTACGGGGCAGAACCAGAGAGTCTGGTAAGGAGAAAGCAGAAATCGAAATTCCTTTTTTTATACATTTATATGCTGCATGTTTTAATGTTTTAATATATATATATTTTGATAATGGCATAACAAATAAAGAACTAATTCAGTTCATGTTTATTTATATAGCGCTTTTACAATGTAGACTGTGTCAAAGCACAGTAGTTTTAACAAAGTAGTTCTAGTAATTACAGTTTTCAGGGTTGAAGTTCAGTTTAGTTCAGTTCAGTGTAGTTTTAATATCACTGCTAAAAGTCCAAACACTAAAGAGAAAATCCAACGATGTGTAGCTAAACAAATCCCAAACCAAGCAAGCCAGTGACGACAGAGGCAGGGAACAAAATTCACCAATTCACAAAGTGAAGGGAAAAAAAAACTAGAGAAAAACCAGGCTCTGTTGGGCACAACCATTTATCCCCTGGCCAAACTTTCTGTGTGGAGCTGCTGTCTAGGCACAGAACACTTGAGAACAATGGATATCCATCTTGGAGAACTGCAGGAGTGAGTATGTCACCAGCAAGTGTTCAGGCTGCCCAACAGAATCAAAGTGAGGACTCGTCTGTCACTGGGGTCTTTCAGGAATCCGTCTAATGCACTCCACTCCTCCATGACCACCACAGCATCAGCTCAGGATATGGCCTGGTCCAGGATTATGGATACCTTAGCATCATTTCTTTACAGGTCTTGGATTGCATCAATAGCCCCTTTCACACAGTGATACCGGTAAATATCCGGAAAATTTCGTTACGGAATTTTTCCGGAAAAGAGCATTCACACATCCATCGCAAAATGCCGTTAAATTCTGACATCATTAACTAGAAATAACTAGAAATGTTTGTAAACATTTGACTACATCACAAACTCTGTGGATGGATCAGTATTGTGAACAACTCCAATGAAAACATAGAGAAACACTTTCGCATGTCGAGATGTTCATGATATGTGTGTGTTCTGGCGCTATGGGCGCTCACGGGCACACGCAAAGCTTGAAGGTAAACAAACAACGGATTATCATAAACATTTTATCGATAATTATTTACACAGTTAGCATTAAGCAGGAACATAGAAATGTTATCTGACTAACATCTAGCAGGTGTCTGGAAAAATATTCAAAGGCTTTTATTCTCATAAACCGCGCGCACGTGAATGCGTCTGACTGTTCTGATTGGCTAAAGTAGACGTCTCACGTCAGCACGATCTAGACGTGTACACGCTCTTTCCGGAAATCTTCCTTCTGCGTTCACACAGCGCAGCATTCCGGCAAATTACCGGTAATGTTACAACTTCTCTTTCCGGAAAATAGCCGGAACGAATTTACCGGTATTTTCAAAAAGGGCCCGTTCACACATACAGACCTTTCCAGAAAATTGCCGGTAATTTTCCGGAAAGGTCTGTATGTGTGAAAGGGGCTAATGTCTGGGGGCCTCAGGATGGATATCCCCAGGTGGAAATAGAGAATAAAGAAAAATAATTGACGCAGCTGCTGTTCATAGTGTATTTAAACGAGATGCAAAAATTAAATGTTATAATTGTAAATAGTAGTTATATAAACAAACATGAGATGTAAAGAATATAAGTATTTCTAACAAAATGTCTGGTGCATTTCGACAGGAGGAGTGGCTCCTACAGGTGCTTGTCAAGCCAGCTCACCTGCATGGAGCACGCTTATCCATAATACCTTTATGTGATGCATTGTGTGTATCATTTACTAATCAGATATGCCTTTAATCTAGTTTTGAACTGTTTGAACTGTACTTACTATAATACAGCAATAATAATAATTATATATAAAAAAATTGTTAAATGAAATAAATAAATAAAATCAACAGAGGAAATGCTAGATTAAGAAAAATTATATCAAACAAATATTCAAAAGATTGTCTTATCAACTATTTCAACTAAATAATATAAAGTATATACTAAAATATACAGACAAATATACAAATAAAATGAAATAAAAATTCAAAAAGATAGAAAATATTTTTTAAATATCTTTTTTAACTAATACAATTTGTTTTAAAATGCTGAAATTAAAAAGTTGGTTTTAGCAACAAGTTGATTATGGATCGCATATGTTGAGCTTAAAGCTTGTTTTAAATTATCATGTGTAAAACATGGGCACAGGATTTCCGGTTTAAATGCCATAAATGGACACAGATGCAAACACACACACACAGACACACACACACACACACACAAGTGCAAGTCTTTTCATTTATTTTGTGCCATGAAAAAGAAGCAATCCTTACTTTCTCTGGACCTCCTCTTTTTGGTCTCCGTGGTTACTAGAATTCATGGAAGTGGGTTTTGGGATAAATAAGCGGGTGTTGAGGAAATTGGTAACACATGGCTCTGTGCACATGACTCTCCTGTATTTTCTTTTTTAGCCAATCAAATGTCTGCAATTCTGCTCTCAGTGTCCAGGGATTTGTGCCAGAGAGTGATTCTCTGTGTTACTCCCTTAATAATGATCAAATCCTGGTGTCTTCCAGGCCTCACTGCCGTTGCATTATGTGTATAGAAATCACACACTTAATCCCTTGCACACACATATATGCATTAAACACCCCCATTAAGGTCTTGGTACGCACAGACATATTCAAAACGGCTAATTTATCCACATAAGCCTTTTACGGAAGCATTCATCTGTTTGAAGCTTTCTGTCTTCCTCTGTTTTGCTGCAGTCCCCTCTTGTGGCCCCACAAATGTTTCTGCATTTGCTACTACCTCCAGCAGCATTCTGGTCCGCTGGTTTGAAGTTCCGGAACCTGACCGGAATGGACTCATCCTAGGATATAAGGTCAGTGAGGAATTAAAATTAAACTAAAGGGTGTGATACAACAGACTGACATCATAGGACTGAAATAGTGGTGCTTTGCATCACATCTTGGCTAAAAGACCTAAGCACACTGCAAAGACTTCCCAACATTCTCCTTTTGTACATGTCATCAGATGGGGAAGCCCCACCTATTAGTGACGATTTCTCCCTAATTAGCATAGAATGATTGTCTTGTCTTTTAATCTGCCACTATGCTGACACATAGGCATTTGTAGCCTCGCCCTCTTTTGAAAAGACCACAGTCTCATTTGAATTTATAGTGTCAGTCACCAAAATGGCGCAAATTGGATCAAAGCCTAAAATGGGTGGTTTTAAAGAGTTATAAAACATAATGTTTGGTATATTTTGCGCTGAAATGTCACATACACACTCGTATTGTGAAAAGCGGCATAATGGGTTCCCTTTATGGAAAAAAAAAAGTATTTTTTTTCTGAAAACAATACGATATGTGTCGCTTGTCTGGAAAATGCTCCTTGATTTAAGAGTTTATGGATATTTGGACTTGAAACAAGACAAAAACTCTTAGAAAGAAAAGCATTTTTTTTTTTGTGGATATGCCACATATATTTAGAAATATTGCAAAAATGGCAGATTCAATGTGCTAAATTGGCTAAAACCCACTACCTGGATCTTACCAGTGAGCAATGCAAAAACAATGATCCAGTGTTGACCAATGACTAACAACAAACTTGTGTATCAATATCCTAAGCTACCTACAAACATTCTGACCTACATTTTAATTACTTCAATGAACACAAAATCAAATTTGCATTTTTGCATACAATTAAAGTTTCTTTGTACTTCATTTACTAGAAATTCTATACTTCTACTTTCAGGTGGCATACAAGGAGAAGGATTCAGACTCTCCTCTTCAGTTCTGGACTGTTGAAGGAAACGCCAGTCATAGTGTTCAACTGACCGGACTGGGGAAGTATGTTCTATATGAGATCCAGGTTTTAGCCTTTACCCGCATTGGAGACGGTCGACCCAGCACTCCTTCAATCCTGGAGCGAACCCTTGATGACGGTGGGCATGATAATGCACCATTAATAAATAGTTTCTTTATCATATACTCAGATGTGTCTTTGATATTGTATGATTTTTTCCGTTTTAGTTCCTGGGCCGCCTGTTGTCATTCTGTTTCCTGAAGTTCGGACCACCTCAGTCAGACTCATCTGGCAGCCACCTTCCCAACCCAATGGCATCATACTCGGTAAGAGGTTGTTTGCTTGTTTGTTGTGTGTCTGCATGTTTGATTGTGCATGCATTTTTGCTTTCTGATGTTTATACTTGCATGCTTGTTTTCTAAATGACCTCTTTTACCATCATGCAAACAGAAAGAGTTACATTATTTTCAGTATTATGGTTAATGAAATTTAGTGCAAATAAAAACAATCACACAATGTCATGTAAATTATATTTTTGTTTTATTATTTTTGAAAGAAATGCAAACTAAGGCTGCATTTAAGTAGTTCTGTTTTTGTATATTTTAAGACTCAGTTTCAGTTGTTAATCTAGTCCTTAAAGTCTCATAATAAAACAAACAAACAAAAAAATTGTATAGGCTAATTTGGTGCTGAAGATGTGTTTCTCATTATTATTAATGTCACCAAAGCTTAAAACAACAGCATTTAATTACAATAGAAATATTTTGTTTCCTTGTGAATATCTTTACTGCCACTTTGAAATTAAAGTCTATTAAAAGAATAATAAAATCTGACCTCAAGCTAAAAACACATAATTGCTTCCATTCTTGAACAGTCCATTGTAAACAGAATCCCGTTTGTTTTGCTTTTGTTCATTAGAATGTGTTTCCTCTAATCAATGTGTTGCATGTCCCTGATGGCACGCAAGGAAAAGCACATATTGTCCTGTGCTGATGTCTATGATGTCATAATTTCCCTCTCCAGCCTATCAGATCACATACCGGCTGAACTCCACCAATAGCAACACGGCCACGTTTGACGTGTTGAACTCCAGCGCACGGCAGTATACTGTCACTGGACTGAGGCCGGAATCGGTGTATGTGTTTCGTATCAGAGCGCAGACACGCAAGGGATGGGGAGAGGCGGCGGAAGCCTTAGTCGTCACTACCGAGAAGAGAGGTAATCTACATTATTATCACACATCAACAATGGGGAAAAACAAACTCAAACTGAGCTTTACATCAGTGTGTCTGGTGTGATTAAGATAAATAAATAACTTAAAGTCAGATTTTGACTTTTTATAGATCTATTTTTGCACAATTCAGCAGTGGAATCAGTGGGGGGGCATAGTAGCTGGAGGTGGATTCACCCTGCTTTGACTGAACTCTTGGAATTTCTAGTTTATATGATCCTAATGATCTGAGTGATCTGTTAGGTTTGTATTCAGTGAGCATCTCTGTAATGTATTGAGTTCCTAGACCATTTAGTGATTTATAGACAAGTAATAAGCATGAAGACGTTTCTCTAAGTCTTCACTGGAGACAAAGATCTAATTTTTGCAATGTTTTTGAGATGATAGTACGCTGATTTACTTACTGCTTTGACATGACTACTGAAACTGAAACTGAAACTCAGATCTGACTCCAGAATCACACCAAGATTCTTGACCCTATTTATTGTTGTTTGACCATTAGAGCCAAGGCATGCATTCACCTTGAGAACCACACGTCAGTTCCCAAATGCAATGACTTCAGTTTTCTCTTTGTTTTACTGTTCATTTCTAACAGTAATTCAGTATTATAAAGTTAAAGTAATAATTATACGTTAATTATTTAGTAGTAAAGTCAAATATTTGATAAAAAATTACAAATAAAATTTTAATTAAATATTTTAAATCAAAGCTCTCAAAAACGTTAAGAAATAGTAAAAAAATGTATACAGTACTGTGCAAAATTTCTTTTTTTTTACTGTTTCAAAACTTCAAAAGACTTCTTTTAACACTTTTCAGAGTTCTTCTTGAGGTTTAGAGTGCCACAGCTTTTTTCTGTCCAGATGATCTCATACAGTCTCTATAAAATTCAGGTCTGGACCCGATAGAGCCCATTTCATGACTGTCTGTGTTTCATTAGCTGTTTTCTATCTTCGAATAGGATTTTATTGCAATTAGCGGATAATTATCATGCTAAAAATGAAAGTTATTACAACAGAAGTCTTTTCCAGAAGGAATGGCATAATTAATTAACACATTTCTGTACTTTTTACATTCACATTTCCATCAATTCAGACAATATTTCTAACACTGGTAAAAAATGCAGCTCAGTCCAGGACAAAGAGCCTCTCTCCAACATTGCTTTCACATATCTTAAACAATTAAACCAAAATAGTTCCAACTCTAACCTTACTCCTATCCCAGGGGAGTCCAAACTCGGTCCTGGAGGGCCGGTGTCCTGGAGAGTTTAGCTCCAATCCTAATCAAACACACCTGAACAAGCTAATCAAGCTCTGACAAGATATACTAGAAACTTCCTGGCAGGTGTGTTGAAGCAAGTTAGAGCTAACTCAGCAGGACACCAGCCCTCCAGGACTGATTTTGGGCACCCCTGTCCTATCCTAACAAACCATACATGTATACCCTGTATAAATCTTTAAAAACATCTACACTTTTAAATTACTAGTTTAATGGGCCACATATATCCATTATACCATCAGTAAAAAAAACTGATTTAATGTTGGGCTAAAACATTTCCACAGTACTGTATGTATAATAATATAATATAATATAATATAATATAATATAATATAATATAATATAATATAATATAATATTATATTATATAATATACATTTATTTCAGGCTATGTGTATGTCAATGATATGTTGATCAATTGATATGGCATCAATGTACCACCCATATCCGGATGATCTTATTGCGTATATGTTTGTGTGTGTTCATGTTTCTGAACGGAGACGTCTACGGTCCACTAAGGCTGAGTCCAAAACATCTCGATCCCTTCTAGCCAGAGCTGCTTTGTTGTGGTTTTACACTTCTGGAAGAAGTTTTCCTGATTTCCACCCAAGCGGAGGCACATTCCTCTTGCAGAGCATCATAATCAGAGCTTGGATTATTTATGCAGTTCACTGATCCAGTGTAGAGCACAGAACTTTTGACTCATGAAGACCTCTTATATAATGTAATATGAGAGTCATACAATTTCCATATCCTGATGTATTTTTAAAAATGTTCACCGTGTTCAGAAGGATTATAAGTGTGCAGTGAAGCAAGGATAATATTAAATGAAGACTCGCATACCCAGTGTTGATCATTTAAAACTAGTCTTTGAGGTTGCAGGTTATTCATAATTGAAAGTACACAGTCATTTTACAACTTGAAAGCTATGCTGAGGGTAAATATGACAACAAAGTCAGACCATAAAATTGATCTGTTTATAAGGATCTACATAAATGACTAAAATGCCATATTTCACACTCCAGGCCAATGTCACTTTGTAAATAAACATTATACACCTGCACACATTCTATTAACTGATTTCTAAAACAATTAACAATATAAGATTGCAACAACTTGTTGAAAAAACTGAAAGGGTGTTACACAATGCAGATTTATTTTTAAAGAAAATAAATAAATAATATTAAATTTATTAATTAATTAAAAAAACAGAGGGAAAAATATAAAAGGTCACACAGTACAAGATTGGTTACTCACTGAAGCTAAGCAGGGCTGAGCCTGGTTAGTACCTGGAGGGGTGAACCACATGGGAAAACTAGGTTGATGTTGGAAGTGGTGTTAGTGAGGCCAGCAGAGGCGCCTAACCTGTGTGAGTCTTAATGCCCCAGTATAGTGAAGGGGACACAATACTGTCAGTGAGCGCTGTCTTTTTGATGAGACGTTAAAGCAACTTCTTGTAAACAGTAGGGGTGTAACTCCAGTGTCCTGGCCAAATTACCTCCATCAGCCTTTAATGATCATGGCCTCCCAATCATCCCCATCCACAAAATTGGCTCTATCACTGTCTCTCCACTCCACTAATAGCTGGTGTGTGGTGAGCACACTGGCGCCGTTGTCCTGTGGCTGCTGTCACATCATCCAAGTGGATGCTGCACACTGGTGGTGGTGGTGTGGAAAGACCCCTCCCCTCATGATTGTGAAGCGCTTTTCGTATATAGTCATACAAAATAAATGCGCTATATAAATACACATTGCTTTTACTTTAAATAATACATGTGCAGGACAACGCTGTTTTAACATCAGATTCAGTTTAAGCAGAGACAGTAGTCTGTAATGTTTAAAAAAAAAAAAAAAAAAAAAAAACGGTAATTTCACCAAAATTGGTGAAACATTTTCAGGATCCCAAAATGGTGTCATGTTAACTAACACCCCATAAAAACACCAACCAAAAGTAGCTGTTGTGGCAATTTCAAATAAAGAGACTATTACTGATCAAGAAACAAAGTCTTACAAGGTTTACTTTCAAAAAGATTTTATTCTTTGTAAAGAATAGGTCCGACAATAACAGCGAACAGCGCTTGCTGCAGACTGTGACACACAGGCTAGCCAGATACCAGATTTTATCTTCTTTACCCTGCTTCACATCCAGTACTTTTTAGAGCCTTAGATTGTAGAGCCAGGATTTACACTTATTGAATGAATGCAGTTGATGTCAGTATTTTAAGCCCCCCCTTTGATTTTTTTTTTCTTTTTCAAATATTTCTCAAATGATGTTAAACAGAGCAAGAAAATGTTCACAGTATGTCTAATAATTTTTTTTTTCTTCTGGAGAAAGTCTTGTTTTATTTTGACTAGAATAAAAGCAGTTTTTCATATTTTATAACCCATTTTAAGGACAACATTTTTAGCCCCTTTAAGCTTTTTTTTTTTTTTCGATAGTCTACAGAACAAACCATCTTTATACAATAACTTGCCTAATTACCCAAACCTTACTAGTTAACCTAATTAACCCAGTTAAGCCGTTAAATGTCACTTTAAGCTGTTTAGAAGTGTCTTGAAAAAGACCTAGTAAAATATTGTTTACTGTCATCATGGCAAAGATTAAATAAATCAGTTATTAGAGATGAGTTATTAAAACTATTATGTTTAGAAATGTGTTGAAAACAAATCTTCTCTCTGTTAAACAGAAATTGGGGAAAAAATAAACAGGGGGCCTCAGATCATTAGGACTTCAACTGTATGTTTAAAAGCAGATGGACACCTTCTGAATGACCCTTCTTTTAATATTTGTTTTTGTATCATCTCTAGGAAGGCAGTTGAAGTCAGAATTATTATCCCCCCTTTGGTATTTCTTTCTTTTTTATATATTTACCATATGATGTTTAACAGAGCAAGGACATTTTCACAGTATAATATTATGTATATTTTTCTGGAGAAAGTCTTATTTATTTTATTTCAGCTACAATAAAAGCAGTTTTTTATTATTATTATTATTATTATTATTATTTAATTTAGATAAAAAATTATTAGCTCTTTTAAAATGTTAATTATTTTTGGATAGTCTACAGAGCAAACCATCATTAAACAATAACTTGCCTAATTACCATAACCTGTCTAGTTAACCGAATTAACCTTGTTAAGCCTTTAAATGGCACTTTAAACTGTATTGAAGTTTCTTGAACTTTTTTTATAAAATATTCTATACTGTCATCATGGCAAAGAGAAAATAAATCAGTTATTAGAGATGAGTTATTAAAACAATTATGTTTAGAAATATGTTGAAAAATATCTTCTCTCCCTTAAACAGAAATTGGGGATTCAAGTAAACAGGGGGGCTAATAATTCATACTTCAACTGTATTTGACCTAATATAGGATGTTTCTAGTAAAAAAGAGAAGTTTTATTAAAATCAATGTTTTAGTAATAATTCAATTGAATTTTTCCACTACATACAGTAGCTCAACTGGTTTAGCATCAATATATTTAAAGATATTGAAATCTTTCTTGGTAAGGCTAGTTTCAAGATAAGGAGAAAGTCTGTTTCTTTTTATCAATAAATACTGGGGTAGACCTTTAAGATGGTTCATCAGCGTGTCAGTTAATGAGTTTCAAAAGTTGCAATTGAAATTAAGTTTTAGTTTAGTTTTTTTAATAACTTGCGTGACGTTTTGCAAAGCTAGTGAATGGTTTGTTTGAACTAAAGGAAATAGTTTCCATTAAACCAACCAATTCACTAAAGAAAAGTCCTCTGGACTTCATAACTTTATGTATGACAGGAGTGTGTTTGCTTTTTCAGTGTTTTTAAGAGTTCTTATGCTTGACCTTTGACCTCCAGCTCGGCCTCAGCCCACCAGTCGTCCCACAGTCCCTCAGGAGAATGTGCAGGCGCGCAGTGTGCTGTTGTCATGGGAACCAGGCAGCGATGGTTTATCGCCAATCCGTTATTACACGGTTCAGGTCCGCGAGCTGCCCGAGAAGAACTGGACAGTGCATTCTGCCTCTGTCAGCCACGAGTCCAGCTCCTACATTGTAGACAGGTACAAAAGACATCCACTGGAGTGTTTTAAATTAGTTGTCATTCATTCATACACTTTAAACAAAATTTTCCCAGCTTTAAATTTATCAGTTCAATCAAACTTTTCTAGTCATCTCAAGTTACATCGATCAAACTGACTTCAACTTTGTATAAATTAAAAACAAAATTGTTGAAACCTGATTAACTTACTGAAATAAGTTAAAGCAACATAAATATTTTACATTGTAGAGTAACAGTGACATTTTTCTGTTAGCTATAAGTGTTTTTTTTTTTTTTTTTTTTTTCAGGCTGAAGCCTTTCACCTCGTATCAGTTCAGAGTGAAGGCCACTAATGATATTGGAGACAGTGACTACAGTCAAGAGAGTGAAGCCATCACAACACTTCAGGATGGTCAGAACTTTTTCCTATCCTTTTTAATCTATGATTTATTATGGAATGTGTGTCCACTGTATTTAAAGGGGTCATCGAATGCATCTTTACAACAAAAAAAAATTCTTTCAAAAATATATTATATATTTTATAATAAAAGTATGTATTTCATGTACAATAATTAGTGCTGGGCAATTAATAATCACAATTAATCGCATCCAGAATATAGGTTTGTTTTGACATGAGATATGTGTGTGTGTATATATATATAAATATGTATTATGTATATGTGACACACATACAGTACATAATAACAAAACTGTACAAAACAATTTTGTTACTTTGATATTTAAATTTTTATATAATTTGTATCATACATATTTGAGCAAAATAGAAATAAGCATTTTCTCAAAAATATTTATACTAACTCTAAATATTTCTAAAATAAGCAAAGTAGATCATCTTATAAAAGGAGAGTCAGCTCACAGTAACTACTTTTTTTAGGAGAATTCTCATGGACAAAATTAAAGTGAGTCTTTCATAAAAAGGCTTTTTTGAAAATAACACAATATTTTACTTAACCTTAAAGGGAAAGATATTTTGAAGAATGTTAAAAACCTGTAACCATTGACTTTCATAGTACACTGAAGAAAAAAAAAAAAATAAATAAATATATATATATATATATGAATGTATATATGTATATATTTTTGTTTCTTGTCTATATATTCTTATATTTATGCAAGCAAAAAAAATATTTTCCTGTTTTCAGAAATAACAAGTGATTATTCCTTTAAAAGAGCAAAATAATATGCCATTTTAATAAAAGTTTTTTTTGTTTGTTTTTAAATCATCACTTAAAAATGTATTTTTCAGGATAGATTTTATTTTCATTTTAATGTGATTTAAAGTTTTCTTAATTTTTATTTTAATAGCTTTGTTTTTTGTTTTGTCTTTTATACATATATTCTTGTATAGATATTTTACTTCTTTACTTTGTATATCTATGTTTATTTATGTATTTTTTACATCCATAGATCTAAATGCCTTGGGATGCGTCTTTTAAAAGCTCTTTAAAGAATAAACTGTATTACTTTTAAATTAATGTAGTTGCAAAGAAAAAAAAAACAAGATGATTTTGCTTAACGTATTGGCAGATTATTTGTTTTGAGGGAAAAGTCACATAATTTAGACTTGTTACTTCTTAAAACAAGACACTATTTTGTGCTTGTCTAGAAAATGTTTCTTTATTTAAGAATTTTTAAATATTTGGAAAAAAAATTTTTTTTCTTTTTCTTTTTCTTTTCTTTTTTTTTTTTTTTTTTTTTTTGCTGTAGAGTAAAACAAAATACTATGGAAGTCAATGGTTACAGGTTTCCAGCATTCTTTAATATTTCTTATGTTGTGTTTAACAGAATATAAAATCCCAAACTGGTTTGGAACAGGTAAAGGGTAAATAAATAATGATAGACATGTTACTTTTTGTTTGGACTATCATTTTATATTTAACACACTATATTTACATTAACACTGCATATTTAAAAATACTATAGAAGTCAATGGACGTTCCAGGAAGTTACCTGTGCCATGGAAGTTACAGGTTTCCACCATATTCATCATTTCTTATTCAGTTGAACACAAAAACTCACATTGATTTGGACCAAGTGACGAGTAAATAAATAATGGCAGAATATTTAATTTTGGGTGAACTATCCCTTTAAACACTGTATTCTTCTCTCTGTGACTCCATTGTCTTCTGAAAATATACAGTCAAGTCTTTCTGGATGTCATGAATCGACCATTATGCAGCACACAGATGCTAGCCATAATAGCAGCCAAGTTTTTATTGTCAGGTGATGTCATTGTGCACCAGTGATGATGTCATTGCTGGAGGCAGTAGACTGAGGTATTGCAGTATCTCTGGTTGCCATGAAACTAAATTAAGCCTAAGCAACTCTACTGAAGTTAGACGCCACATAATGCTTGTTTGAAACTCAACGCAACAAATCAGGCTTTGAGACCAACTTGGCATGTTAAGCAATGTGATGTTTATGCAGCGTAAAACTTTGGATGCCAGGTACAAAGACACGGTTTATTTGTATCTCTTGCTCTCTCTCCAGCTCCAGACGAATCTCCTACAATTCTCACCGTCACGCCGCACACCACAACCTCGGTGCTGATTTGCTGGCAGGTAAGTAAGAAGCAAGGAATTTCCACCATGCTTGATAATGCAGAGCTGCAGCAGTCATGCTTTTCCATCAACGGATTGTAATAACAGAGCAAGAGGACATCTTAAAGCTGCATTCTCAGAGTCACCGTAGAATTAAGTTTTCAAAGAGGGCTTGTTTTTAAAACCGCAGGGCCTCTGGTTCATGTCTTTATCCAAAAGGTGAGTGAACTGCTTCCTCCCACTGAACCAGTTCATTCATGCTTTATTACGGAGGGTTGGGGGGTTCCTCTTATAATAAAGGGGATTGTTCAGTTTGAACTTTTGGAAAAGTCTGGTTTATACTTAGATTTATCCTGAGGCTATTAGCAACATACATGTGTTTACACAACGTTCAATTATATGTAGTCTCAAAGGTGTTGTAAAACTTGTTGAATCAACCCCAGAGTAAGCTTTAAATTGAAGCGTTTTTTTTTCCTGACCAATAGTGTGCATTCCTTCATGTTTTAATTCATCTTTATTTCTATATCACTTTTACAACATAGATTGTGAAAACATAGAAAAAGTTCTAGTAAATTGAAACTGCTTCAGTCCATTGTTTTCCTTTTTTTCCCCCATTTTTCGCAGTTTTGAAATTGTTTTCCCATTTATTTTAGCTATAGGGATTTAAAAAACTAAAAATAATTAAAGAGTCCCTATTATACATTAAAAAGGGTCATATTTTGGTTTTATGGGTCTCCAACAAAATACTGATATGCATGGAAGGTCAAAAACACTTTCATTGTCTTATAATTTTTACCTTATTATCCCAGCGACTGCCATATGATTTGTTCAGTGATTCATTTGTTCCCAAACCCCTCCTTAGCGTGATGCTAATCTGCGCTGATTAGACCAATGACCCGGTGAAACAGAGTGAAATGGCCACCACCGCTTATCAACAATATTGAAGTAGTCAGAGTGCATAGTGTATGTGTAAGCATACCTGTCAACACTCCTGTTTTTCCCAGGAGTCTTATATATTTTAGACCCATCCACCGCCACTCTCCCGTTTTTCTTATTTATCCCGGAAAACTCTCATAATTTTAACTACCATCCCCCAGCCCCCTTCCCCTCCGGTCCCCAACATTGGTATAGGATCCGTAGCGGCAGCCCGCAACATGCTTTAAAGTGGTTACTAACACCACAGTACACAGTACCCGGTTCTCAACAGTGTTATTCAGACACCTCACCCCCAAACATAACCACCTGGTCTCCCGGATTTTTAGGGACAAATGTTGGCAGGTATGTGTGAGTCCAATGCAGGAGTGCATTAAAGCAATGTGGTTTAACAACAGCATATTGTTCTACTCTTAACCGTAAATAAAAGCAACAACACACATTCAGTATTAATGCACACAGCGGCAAAAGCTGAACTATTTTGAAATTAACCACCACACGAGGAACAGCTGATGGTGGCCATAGCAAAGACAAACAGCAGTGGATCGCGAGCTCACAAATCTATTTAAATCCGTAAACAAAGCAGCACGTGACGCGTTTTTCAATGTGGCATTAGACGTGATATGAGAATATAAAGAGTTAACCAGATACAGTACACGCGGTTCCAAGTAACAGAACACAATTAAATACATAATTTGCAAGCTAGAGAAAACAAGGAGGCAACCATTTCAATCACACTTACTTACACTTGTAGAATTGAAGAAACTGATCCATGATCTGTGCACTATAAAGTTCCTGTCAAGCTCTGTCCCACACATCAGTAGTCTTTTCTGACTTTCTTTTTTGGTCTTTCCAATGAACCAAACCAATTAGTTTCGAGTTCTAAATAATTTTTCCATAGTGCTAATTAATTGAGAGATGATCATAATCATAATAGTTTCATTAACTTCTATTAAATTATTTCGTTTTTCTTTGCCATTATAGCAGGACATGATAACAAGTTATTTTGCAAGTATTACTAGTATGTACTAGTATCAAAGTGCAACCAGCGATGTTAATTGGTGTGTTTGTGAACGTGATGTAACTGAGAGCGTGATGATTGGCTAAGAGTACATTTCCATCGTTTGCCAATCAGAGGCTAGTAGTAAGGGTGTTCACACACAAGCACGCGCACAGTCGCTTGCACACACCGATGACCAAGAGTTGTTTTATTGTGTTTTACTATAGTAAGGATAATATTTATAATGATCTGTTGAATTTGATGGTTGTCTTTCACATTGTCCCACAACAACATTAAAAAAATGTTGATTAGTATACAATTTTTTAAATATTTATTTTATATTAATTTGACAAATTAGATGTAACTCAGTTACTGACTCAGTTACTCTTTGTGAGAAGTAACTAGTAACTTAATTACTCTTTTAAATGAATGTGCCCAACGCTGGGTATTAGATTAACTAGGCAAGTTATGTTCATTAGCAATTTATTGGATAACAGTAGTTTGTTTTGTAGCTGGCCAAAAAAATACAATTAAATTTTTCTTAAAGGGGCTTATAATATTGAACTTAAATAAAAATAAAAAAATAAATCTGCATTTATTTCATTCATTCATTCAGTCATTTTCTTTTAGGCTTAGTCCCTTTATTAATCTGGGGTCGCCACAGCGGAATAAACCGCCAAGTTAGCCAGCATATGTTTTACGCAGCAAATGCCCTTCCAGCTGCAACCCATCACTGGAAAACATCCATACACACTCTTTCACACAAAAACACTATGGACAATTTAGCTTACCTTATTCACCTATGGTGCATGTCTTTGGACTTTGGGGAAAACCAAAGCCAACACAGCGAGAACATACAAACTCCACACAGAAATGCCAACTGACCCAGCCGAGGCTTGAACCAGCAACCTTCTTGCTGTGAAGCGATCGTGCTACCCACTGCGCCACCATGACGCTTCTGCTTTTAATTCAGTCAAGCTAAAAAAGAAAACTTTTATTTTTCCAAAAGAATAAACATATTGTAGGAAATACTTTGAAAATGCCTTTGCTTAATTAAACATTACTTATATGGTTCAAGAATATTTGAAAAAGAATCTGTTTTTTGAAGGTGGGCTAATAAATTTGCCTTCAACTCTATACACACACACACACACACACACACAAACACACACATAATGCTGAACGGAGCTAAAGTTCTATTTTGATTCAATTTGCTCTTATTGGTGTAGTCTTCTGCAGCATTATGGGTAATGTAGTTTTTATTTGTTAATTCTGCTACTAAACATGAGTGTTTTAAAAAATAAAATTAACTAATGTGAACAGATGGGTTGAAGCGCAAACAATCTGTTAACAACATTGGAGCTCACAGCAGGTCTGTTTTAAGGGTTTATTAGTTACTGTTTAAATTCATTTTCCCTGCAGAGAAATTTAATGAACCTGACTTGTGCACTCTGTAGTAAAAGGAAAATGGAGAAAAGAAGGGGTGCAATAGTTTTTGGCACAGGTATGCTGCTCTTTAATACTGTCTTGTTGTCTTCAGCCCCCTCCTGAGGAGAAGATTAATGGAATCCTGCTTGGCTTTCGAATCCGATATCGGGAGTTGCTTTATGATCGGCTTCGAAGTTTTAGTGTTCATACCATCAGCAGTGCTTCAGCCAGCTGGGCAGAACTCACATGTGAGTATAAAATATATCTACTAAGAGTAGGTGATGACAATTCCTCTGATATGTGTGGGACGATATGTTGATGAACCAATATAAAAAAAAAATTATATATATATATATATATATATATATATATATATATATATATATATATATATATATATATATATATATATATATATATATATATATATATATATATATATATATATATATATATATATATATATATATATATATATATATATATATTTATTTATTTTATTTTTATTTTTTTTTACTTTTCAACATTAAAAATAGTTGGAGGAATTCAAAATCATACATAAATGAGGGAAACTTGGTTTTACAAAATATATGGAAAACTAAATATATTTTATGGATATTTTTCACTTCATGAGATATCTGTAACATACTTTGGTTAATATTTTAGCTTGTCAACAACAATTCTTTACATTCCCATTTTAACGATACATTGTTTAAGAACAATATTTAAGTTATTTTTTTTTTATTTAAATAAGTAGGTTTGACTGATTATATTTTGATTGTTTACTTTTTTTAAATTTTAAAATAATTTCTGTTAATTTCAGAACAGAGTTAACACTGGCATTGATTTTATTTATTTTATTTTTTTATTAAAAAGAGCTGAATGCAATAATAATATGGTAAAATTCTGTTTAAAAAATGTTGCCCAAAAGATACAGTAGAATTTTATTTAAAAAAATAAGGTAATATTAAATGTTTCTGAATATTTGGGAATGTATGTTGATGAACCAACATAAAAATTAAATAAAATAAAAGTATAAACAAATAAAAGTATTTTTTAATACAATTAAAAAGCATATATATATATATATATATATATATATATATATATATATAATTAGCTGGAAATATGCTACACAAATGTTCACTTGTTGCACAAATCAGAATGTGTGCTGCTTTGTTTTTTGCTTGACAATAATCAATTATTGCATTATTTTTGATTCATTCCAATTCCCATTATTCTTTCTTTCTGACAGCTCCATATAGCATGAGAAACCTCAGTGAACCCTCCCTCACCCAATATGAGCTGGACAGTAAGTCACTTCCTGTTTTCCTTTCCTCCTTCTCTTTCACAATCCATAAAACTGATATATGACTGTGTTTATTGCAGCACAAGTCAAGTCTTACTTAAGAGTTGAGAATATGCAGTGTGGATGTTTAGGCTAGCTGCTATCAGCGGCCTGTTCTCAGCTCTCCTCTTGAGTGGTAATGAATTCAAGAGCCGGCTCTGGTTTCTCTCCGCTGTTGATACCTGGAGGAAGAGCAGTCTGTATATTGAGTTCAGATAAGCAGACTGACTCATCATTCTGGCTGAGAGAGACGACAATGTGATGAGAGAGCCTGAGTCAAACTTTAGGGGATCATAAACTGCATTTTGTTGTTGTTGTTGTTGTTGTTGTTTATTTTGGTACTGTTCTATTGAAGTCAGCTTATAATTTTGATAAAGATCTAAGATTTAAGGGGTTCCAATTTAAGTAAAATTAGTATTTTGTGCCTCCAGAATGAGTCTAAAGGTTAGAATACCCATCAGGTCATTTAGGCAACCCGGGCTCATTGTGGAAACGTAGCCCCGCGGACGTTTCTGCGGACCGCGAGATACGTCCCGGGAGGTACGTATTCGATCGATTTTTGTTTTCGCGGATCCGCGAGAGGCCGCTGTGCACGCTTTTTCGCGTCTCGGGCGCCTCTCGGGAGCGTGCACTGTTCGCGCCCGCGCTGTTCTCGCGCGAAAAGCCGCCGACCCGGCCGCCCTCCTCTTCCTCCTCGTCCTCCTCCTCCTTCCCTAAACCCGAGCGACGGTTTGCAAAAGCCGTCCAGGAAAAAAAAAAAAAGCAAAAGCTCTAATCTTCGATTTCGACCGCGTTTTCGGATTCCGCCGCGTTCTCGCCCTTATTTTTCGGATTCTGTTTTTCGTCTTACCTAATTTTTGGAACCGCTGTTCCCCGGACTCGATCCCGGTTGTCGTCCCCGCGGCCGGCTCCTCCTCCTCCTCCGGGGCCTCCGCTCCGCCGACGCAACGCTGTGAGCTAAGCGGACAAACTGGTTGCATCGGAAAAGCCCTCCACTCGGAGCGCAAAGAGGAGGAGCGCCCCGCAGCGTTCGCTCGAAAAAAACTAAACGCGGCCGTACCTACCTCCGGCCACGTAAATCGCGGTCTCCAGAAACATCCGCGGGGCTACGTTTCCAGAATGAGCTTGGGTTGCATTTAGTTTAACCTGTTGAAAATGTCAATTTTGGGTCAGAGGGAATTGTATCTGTTTTTGTGCCTGTGCCTTTATATGAAAATGAGCTAGTTCTCCCCGCCCCCTTTTTATGACATTTCACTTCAGAGAAGGACAACCAAGTTCAGATGTAAGAATAAACACAGCTAATTAACACACACCACCTCGATGAAACAATGACATAATGAAACAGATGCAAATACCACAGTTAGATGAATGAGCCAAACACAAATTCCGTAGCAACATTAGCGCATATGTTTAACACATTGTGTTGTTTTTGCTCATCTACTCGCAGCTAATGTGACAGAATGCCCACTAAATGAGTAAATATTCTGCTGTTTAGAGATCCGTTATAGCTAATTTAATCTGCGAAAATTGATTGAAGCGCCCTCGATTATAGTTGTGTACACTATGCAACTGTGCTGATTTCAGTACTTGTAAATTAGGTAGCTCAAAAAGTATAATTGAAAACGTTATAATATGTAGCACTTACTGCTTCTTGAGGTGCATTTGGATCACAGAGAGTTGGAACAGATCTTTTAATCCAAGTTACTTTGCAAATCCTGTCTTGTGGACACGCGTTAATAGTCGGACATGGTAACATGTGCCTGTCAATCAATATCGGTGGATAGGAAAAACTGCTTGCAAAAGTTGACTTTGCATGATAGGTGCCCTGTAAAGTCTATGGCCTCCTTTCCACTGTACATGACAAACGACAAGCAACAGACCGGTCATTCATTTCCAATAGAGAGTAGTCCGGGAGATACGTGGAGTTCCTATCATCTTCGTATGCAGAAAATTTGGATCCAGTTAAAGCTGCGGATCTGTTGAAATATTTGAGCTCCTGCGACTTGACCGTATGCGACCAGCCGACCGGATGTGATGTATTTCAGTGTTGTTCAAGCAGGTCCGTGCGTGCGAGATGAAAAAGAGTTTTTGTTATTTTTTAAATCAAAAAAAGTTTATATTAAAAAATACATTTCTATTCATAAATGAGTAATAAAACATATTACTTTATATGTTGTTTCCACATTCCCTTCTAAATTTTTTAGCCGTCTATGAGTTTCTAGTGTTCATTCATTCAATCATGGTGAACGCACAGAGAATAAAGGCTCTTGCTTTTGCACTCCTTTATTTCTGACACCACGAGATCTGCTATTCTCCCATGGTGCATGACAAAACTGAAAATGCTTTGTGATTGCCACAAGGTGGCGAATTCCGACAGTCGTGTCCAAATGTCGTGTGCAGTGGAAAGGCGGCTTAAGTGAAATTAAAGTGGACAATGTTTATTTTTCTAGAACACACTGTTGTTATTTAGGTAAACAATTAATCCATGCAAGTTAATCTAATTAAAAAAAAATGTTGTGATTATCTTCAATCAAAGTCTGAGCATTTGTTTCTGCAAATGGAATGGCAGTTCTTCTCTATTGACATCACTTTGACAGCTTCAGACACAATAGTCTTAAGCACGCCTGTCTTACTGGTAGTTTGTTATGAGGGCCCATGCCATTTTCAATATTTTGTTCCTGTTGGAAGTACATCAAAATATTAAAATAAATACTGTTTTTGACTAATATCAAAATTCTGAGTTCTGAAATGTACAGGAGGTTTTTATAGTTCAGTGACCTCTTATGTCAAAAGATTGTAATTTTGATTTCTCAAAGGTGTTTTTTTATTCCTCAAAAACAAAAGGGATTGAGTTGTGGGTTTTGAAATAAAAACCTTTACAATAATGTATTAAAAACTTGAATTTTGCAGATCTTCTGAAGCACAAACGCTATGAAATCCGAATGAGCGTGTATAATGCTGTGGGTGAAGGTCCAACCAGCTCACCACAGGAAGTCTTTGTTGGTGAAGCAGGTGAAACTTTAGTTTTCTTTTCATTTTAATCAAAAGGTTCTTAATTATCTCATACAATAAATAAATGAAAAGGAAAAAACTTCATCATGTCCTGTATGGTCTCTCACAGTTCCCACTGCCCCACCTCAAAATGTGATCATCCAATCAGCTACTGCCACACAATTTGATGTGACGTGGGACCCGCCTCCACTGGAGACTCAGAATGGAGATATTCAGGGCTATAAGGTCAGAATCTGATGGCTCTTGCTGTGTGGAAAATACTTTTGTGTGACTCTTATGAGTACTTTTTCATGAGGTTCATTTGTTGACCCTAAATAACTCATGCGTTTTTACACACACAAACACAAATTAATGAATGATTAAAAAGATTCAGTAATTATCAAAAATTATATTCATGCTAGTGCTGTCAAATGATTAATCACAATATACTATTCATAATTTTGTGTGTGTGTGTGTGTGTGTGTGTGTGTGTGTGTGTGTGTGTGTGTGTGTGTGTGTGTGTGTGTGTGTGTGTGTGTGTGTGTGTGTGTGTGTGTGTGTGTGTGTGTGTGTGTGTGTGTTTAAAAATGCAGACCCTTAATAAAATGCTTTCTCACAAAAATAAATGAAGAAAAATGGAAAATGTTTCCAAAAATATTCTATATATTTATTAATACTCTTCTTAACAAAAAGATAATTTCAATAATAAAAACAAACCAGGACATTAAAACATCAGAAGATGAAGGAATTATAAAGGAGCAATGCCTGAAACAGACATTTAGAACAATAATATGAGTGTGACCTATTGTGTTCTTTCTGCAGATTTTCTTTTGGGAATATCAGCGAAAAAACGAGACGGAGAAACTGCGGACTCTCTTCCTGCCAGAAGGAGGGGTAAAGTTGAAGAACTTAACAGGCTACACCACCTACATGATCAGCGTCGCTGCTTTCAACGCCGCCGGTGATGGGCCACGCAGCCCACCAACCAGAGGAAGAACACAACAAGCCGGTGAGAAAACTTTATGGCCACAATAATAAATAAAAGCTGTTGATCCATGTCACATGATGAGCACGAAATAAACCAAGAATCAGAAAACCACAATGAAAACTGGCACAGGATACTGATCATTTTACATTTATTTTATTTTTTAGGGTTTGTTTACTACTTTTAAACCATTCATTCATTCATTTTCTTGTCGGCTTAGTCCCTTTAATAATCCGGGGTCGCCACAGCGGAATGAACCCCCAACTAATCCAGCAAGTTTTTAGCAGCGGAAATAAGGCTAAATTGTTCTTATTGTATGTATATGAATGAGAGTGTATGGGTATTTCCCAGTGATGGGTTGCAGCTGAAAGGGCAGCGGAAAGGACATCCGCTGTGTAAAACATATGCTGGATAAGTTGGCGGTTCATTCCGCTTTGGCGACCCCTAATTAATAAAGGGACTAAGCCGAAAAGAAAATGAATGAATGAGTCAGTCTATGCAAGAACATGAGTATTGATTTAATAATAATGTTGTGAATAACAAGTCTGGACCTCAATTCCTGTTTGCTGAAGCTGTTGATTAAAGCTAAAGCAGGTCGCACACCAGAAGCGACGCTCGGCGGCACGCCGCGCAGCGCCACGTATTTTAGAATTCTAATTATAGGTTTCTATCAGGATACACACACCGGCGCCGCAAGTCGGCGGCTGTCGGCGGCGCCCGGCGACGGCTCAGGATGCAGTTCATTTTTCAGCCGCGCCACAGAGCGCCATCTGATTAGTTTCATGTTAAATATCATTCGAATGTGCGCGTCTGGTGTGCGATACTTTAATCTGTCATGTACGCGCCGTGTCGCGGCGCCGAGCGGCGCTTCTGGTGTGCGACCTGCTTAAGGATGTAAATTATTTCAGTTTCCTGCACTGATTGATCATTTGCTTTATAGGATCCCAGTTCATCATCAATGGTAATAATTCAGTTTTGCTTATATATGTTTTTTGGACTCTCTAATGAATGGTTGCCATTTAAATTAATCACCAAGGACCACGCTTTCAGCTAAAACATATTTTATTTATGTTCTTCGGAATTAAAAAAAAATAAAAAAATGAATCTCATGTATTTCCTGAGAGTAAATCAACAGTAAGTATAGATTTTTTGGATGCACCACCCCTTTAAAGCTGACTGTAATTCATTTACATGGGCAGTGCATCAGGAATTTGTAAAATGATGGAAACTATTTCAAATGATTTAATTATTTATGTGCCCAAGACCTTGTGGAATGTGAACTGCTGCTGACGTCTGGCCAAGAAATATCAAAAGCCAACAAATTATCCTCTGCTTCTAATCAGCAAATCTGCTATCTGCATTTATTTATGTGTGTAGAGTTCGGTCTGATGAAGTCGAGTTATTTCAGCCTTTTTCAGTCTTGTGGTTTTCAGTCAGCATGCCTGTGAGTTGGGTCTCGCCTCAGAGCGTCTGTGGGACACAGTCTCTAGATTGTTCTCTCTTTTTGAGGAAATGTTTCCCCTGGAGTCTTGGAGAAATCTGCTTTTCATTCGTCGGCCGTTTTTTGTCATCTGATATTATAAAGTTGGCTGTGTTGAGCTCCAATGTCAAAAAGAAAAGCTAATGTTCCGGGCTGTTTTGTTATGTGTGAGCTTTTTGTGTTGTCACTCCCTTTGCTAACAGAATTTTTAAGGAGAATATAATAGGACAGAGAAAAAAATAAAAAGGATATTTTGAAGCAAATAGCATTTTCTCTAAATAGCAAAGCAATTTCTTTGGATTTTATATTTTGCAATTGAAAAGATGGAAACTTAGACAGAGTTTAAGGGGTCACGAAACCCCCCTGTCTCAGCAGGGTGTTTTCACACATCTAGATTGGAAAAAGCCAGGAAAGTGGGTGTGTTCAGCTCGGTTTGAACATTTTGAGTTTACCTGCTTCATTCAAGGAATTTGCTTCATACACGCATGAAAGTTCTGGTTTTTTACCCCAAAAAGATTTGTCTAATCAATTGTTGATATATTTAAGTAATATCAGCGCCCGTACAGCCTCTTTACCCTTTGTGTATTACTCCGCCCACATACAGCCAGCCAAAAGCAGACACTACAGATCAAAAGATTAAAAGATGCATGCTCAGCTGTTTAACTGACAGCTTAAGATTTGAATCCAACGTGGAAGAAAATAGTTCCTCATACAAAAGGGTTTTTGAGACTACATGTTTGATTTTGTTTTGTATTTACACAATTATGCAGTCAAACTGTTGTATAAAAGCAATATCACACTCGTAGCAGTGCGATGTGGCTGTATATCGGCACTGGTGGGGGGACTAAGGCAACCAACGCACACCTCCCATCAGTGCTGATATACAGCCATATCGCACTGCTACTCGTGTGATATTGCTCATATATCTCAGACGTCGCGTTAGACTTAACAATCAATTGTTAAGTGTCAAATGCCCAAAAGGCTCAATTTGCACCATATCATTCTCTCAAATCAAATCACTAGCGCCACATCATTTGTGCGATCCATGCTGATGGATGTCTATCGCATATTTGCATAGATTTAACATGTAGATCAGTCGTGTTTAACATTATATTTACGTCTGGTGTGAACGCACTACTAAATTGTCTCTCTTTTGTTGAACACAGAATAAGATATGTGAAATTACATTGAAAATTGATAGCCATTGACTTCCATAGTAAAAAAGAACACTATGGAAGTCGATACCAACATTCTTCAAAGTATCTTTTTTTGTTTTCAGCCCTTTTTTATTACCAAACTTTTGTTAGATGGTTAAATCAAAACATGTTACAAAAGCACCATTGTTTTTTTTTAGTTTGCAGATCATTTCCAAAGCAACAAACGAGAGCATTGTTTTCGTTTGTGGTTACGTGTAATAGCTTGACAGGTCTTGTTGATATAAATTGCAAAAGCACTTTGACTGGCATTAAATATATTTTGCCTCAAGCTGTGGAGCTGAAATCAATCTGTAGAAAACACAATCAGCAATAAATAACTCAAGAAAAACTTCTCACTAGCCGACTCTGTCTTTCTTTCCCTCATCTTAAAAGATTTGTCTCTATGTTCTGTCAGCTCTTTTTCTTTTTCCCCCAAAGACAGAGACAGACTCAGAATGAAAGCTAATTTTGTTTGAGCTGTTTTTGTTCCAGGAAGGGTTTAAAGTCTCAATTGCTGAAAAGGTAGACAGACAGATGTGTTGAAGACAGTAAGTACGTTTACATGTACACCAATACTCAGAATAAGAGTCTACTGTGTAAACAGAGATTTTTGATGGCCTTAATCCTAAAGTCATAATCGAATTAACAGAAATGGAATCAGGATATGTTGAGTATTCCTGTTTTAGTCGCATTATTGAAGTGCAGTACAACACCCAGTCAAACTATTACCTTTTTGTAGTAGTTTTCACTACATTTCGTTGTTAAGGCTGATATATACTTCCATGTCGAGTGATCAGAGTGACCCATGGCACCTGCTTTTTGTGTTTTTGTGTATTTATACATCTGCGTGCTGTTTGTGTTGCTCTGCAATTACACTTCCGAAATGCTAGCTGTTGAGTTTCTTCGTGGGTGAATGCTACAAGTAGCATGTCACCCTGCAGCCCAAGACCGCTTACTCACTGAAACTAAGCAGGGCTGAGCCTGGTCAGTACTTGGATGGGAGACCACTAGGGAACACTAGGTTGCTATTGGAAGTGGTGTTAGTGAGGCCAGCAGGGGGCGCTCAACCTGTGGTCTGTGTGAGTCCTAATGCCCCAGTAAAAGTGAAGGGGACACTATATTATCAGTGGGCGCCGTCTTTCGGATGAGACGTTAAACCGAGGTCCTGACTCTCTGTGGTCATTAAAAATCCCTTGGCACTTCTCGTGAAAGAGCAGGGGTGTAACCCTGGTGTCCTGGCCAAAGTCCCTCTATCGGCCCCTATGATCATGGCCTCCCAATCATCCCCTTCCACCTTGGCTCTATCACTGTCTCTCCACTCCACCAATAGCTGGTGTGTGGTGAGCGCACTGGCGCCGTTGTCCTGTGGCTGCCGTCTCATCATCCAAGTGGATGCTGCACACTGGTGGTGGTGTGGAGAGACCCCCCCTCATGATTGTGAAGCGCTTTGGGTGTAAGGCCATACACAATAAATGCGCTATATAAATGCACATTAAATTACAAGTAGCTAAAACAAGCTTATTCAGAGGCGGGAACCGGCAGATGTGTAACAACTTTAATTATAAGGTAAAAACAAAACAAAAGTTTCCATCTGGAGCTCCTTCACAAGACTCCAAACTTGTAAACACTCGCAACGACGAGTTCACATGGCTCTCACCCCCCGCCCACACTTGTCACCACTACCAAGCCACCAATCACAGAGCTTGCACTAAGCATCGTTGCGGCATGTCGTTACTTTTTTTTTGAGAGGTGCATGGCGGTGTCAGCCACAGTGAAGGCTATGCGACAATGCCAATACTGCGCCAGATCATACGCGCACACATGATGCAGAAGTATGAATCATGTCAAATGTCCCAAACGCATGGTGTACTAGTTCGAAGTGTAGAACTATACACATACTCAACTCAGTCCATACTCAAACTAACATTGCCCACAGTACATTGCGCGTTAAATGTGAAACTACAAACATAGGTAAAAGATGTGTAAAAAAATCAGCAGGAAATGACGACTGTGGACATTAGGAAGTAGCTCAGAGTTATCTGGGGAGCTTGAATGAAAAGTTAGTGAATGAAATGGCAGAGGTGGCCTGTTGCTTGACAATTTGTATCCATCGTTGTCTGTTTGTGTGCATAGTGAGAGAAAATTACAATTGTGCCATGATGAACATGAACTGTTGTTGCGTGAAACATTGCAGGAAACTAGCCATTGGACGGTGACTTAATGATGTTAGTCGAACTATGTAGCCTGCTATAACATGTAAAATAGGAACAATCAAAAGCAACTCTAACGCCTCAATCATATTATTGTCTTATTCAGATTAAGTCAAACAATTCGATTACTGACACCCATGTAAATGTAGTCATTGAGTGTCTGTCGTGGTTTGTCCTGATTATCAGATGCTTTCTCTTTCAGCTCCCAGCGCTCCCAGTTTTATCCACTTCAGTGAGCTCACCACCACCTCTGTGAACGTGTCGTGGGGCGAACCGGTCTTTCCTAACGGCATCATCGAGGGCTACAGACTCATCTATGAGCCCTGCATGCCTGTGGATGGTCAGTGAATTTCTTGTTTGGTGGATTTAGCATCCTGGTTCAACAGTATTTTTTATTTTTTTTTACTGGCTTGAATTGATAGTTTAGTGGATATAGTGTGTGATTGTGTGTGTGCGTGCACAGAGGTGTAAGGCCTGGAAAGACACTTTACATTCAGAATATCAGATTAATATTGATATTAATGTTAATATTGATAACTAAGGGTCCTCAATTAACATTTCTGCCAATGGTGTCAAGAGTACAGTGGGAGCACTGAATATTACAAGACATAAATAATCCTAACTGACTATAATATTTATTTATTTATTTTATCTTATTTTATTTTATTTTATTTTTTAAATGTCATAAAATGATCATAAATGCACTTGTCAATATGTTAGATCATAATGCAGATAATAATAAACAAATCTAATAAATATAGATAAGCACATTTATTTTATTTTATTTTAAAAAGATTATCAATATTTTATTTCATGATTTTATTTTTATTTATTTATTTTTATTATTTTATTATTTTTTATTAAATTTCTTTTTTTTAGTTTGTTTTATCATTTTTTTATTTTTTTTATTTGTTTAATTTTTTTTATTATTATTTTGTTTTATTATTATTTTATTCTATTATTTTATTTATTTTTTTATTTGAGTTTAGTTTTCATTTTATTATTTTATTTTTAATATTATTTTTTTTCATTATTTTATTATTTTTTAGTTAGTTTTATCTTTTTTGATATTTTATTTTTATTTGTTTTATTTTATTATTTTGTTTTTATTATTATTATTTTATTATATTATTTTATTTTATTATTTAATTGTTTATTTTAGTTTATTTTATCATTTTATTTTATTATAGTTTTATATTTATTTTTTACTATTTTATTATTATATTTTAAATTTTTTAATTTAATTTATTTTATTTTGCAGCTATACTCAACTTTAGCAATACTTAAACCACAGTACTTATTTTTGTTTACTTTTATTTTATTTTTAATGTTGAATTTGTTGCATTTTAGTCTATTATAACCAGTTAGAAAATTAGAAGTTATGAAAAGACAAGTCTTTAAAAATGTATCATGTCAGTTTATCATTCTCCATGAGTCCTCTTAAAGTAAACAAGTTTATAGCACCTAATAAAAAATCCAGCCAAATTCTTATTAACTAACCAAAGTCTAACATTTGGCCCTTAAGGAGTGTTAATTTTGGATCTTGCCATCAATACTCAGGTGCCAACGGCATTATTAAAACTGAGATTTCCGGCCACGTGTGAGTGTGTGTCGAGCTGCTGTTGCCTGAACTAAAAGCGGTGTGTTTGTCTAGAGTCCTCAGTGGCCTGTGTCGACTGTCTTCACTCCCCCTCCCCCCCAGGCGTCAGTAAAATCGTGACGGTGGACGTGAAGGGAAACGCGCCGCTCTGGCTGAAAATCAAAGACCTGGCGGATGGTGTCACGTACAACTTTCGCATCCGCGCCAAAACCTTCACCTACGGTCCTGAGGTGGAGGCCAACATCACCACAGGACCCGGAGAAGGTCTGTTTGGATGCTACTTCTGAGGTTTCACACCACTTCAGCTAAGCTATGTATCATTGTATCATGTAATCACTCGTTTTTATCGTTTTTAGGAGCCCCTGGGCCTCCTGGTGAGCCATTCATCTCACGATATGGCTCCGCCCTCACCATCCACTGGGCCAATGGGGACCCTGGACGAGCACCAATCACACGCTATGTTATTGAAGCCAGACCCTCAGGTGAGATTAAAATCAAAAGGGTCCTATTATGTTCTTTTACAAATTTTTATTGTGTATGAGGAGTGTAGTAGAGCAGTGTATCTCAACCATGTTCCTGGAGGACCACCAACACTTCATGTTTTAAATGTCTCCTTTCTTTGTCACAGCCATTGCTGGTCTTTCAGGCTCTGCTAATGAGTTGAAGATCTGAATAAGTTGTGTTTGGTTAAGATGACACTCTAGTAGAACATACTCTCATGTTTGGTGGTTCAAATAACATATTATTTTTCACATAATTTATATTTGGTCTGATAAAGGTCCACCTTTCAAAAAGCTAAATGTATTGTGATTGGTTAGCTGCCTCAACAAAAAGGTTTTTTTCTGTTTCGTGGAGACTGAGCCAGAGAAAAACGACCACATTGCTTTGTCAAAGATCAAAACTTACTAGTTTTTTCATTAAATAATGTTTGTTTTGGGTTGCAGACATACATTTTTACATATATAAACTGAACCAAAGTCCCTTTAAGGCAAGTCATTTCAAATGGCAGCCATCTTTAAAAGCCTTATTCTGTTTGAATGGGTAAACATCAAACTTTCTAGCATTGTTTGCCAAGCTTACGATTAAATGTCATATTAGGAATCATCAATAAAATTAAACAACTGTCTTTTTAATTTCATTTTAAAACGTTCAAATCCCACAAAATCTGCAGAAACTCATGTCTGGTCGTCAGTCTATAACGATCGATGATTGGCTCCTATACTAGAAGGCGGGGTTTCATTCGCCATATTGACAGTTACACTTTTCCCCCTTCAAAACTGAGAGTGACATGTCTTGAATATTCATGGGTGTTTTGTTGGTTGCTAGGCTACCATCAACCATTTTCTCAGTTGAAAAGTTGACAAAACATTTCTGTCGCTCTGATACAAGTTTTGAGATAATTAGTTCACCAAAATGTGTATATTTCATACAAGCTGAGGCTGATCGGTCAATTCTTGTCATGTGAATTGAGAGCGGTGCGTTCACTGATTTCATTCAGCTAGATGTGTGCGTCTGGAAGGAGCAAGCGCGTCATGCCGCTTGTGCGTGCAAGCCGCACACCTCCATTGCAAACAACAAACTTTTGTGAACTCTAGAAAAGACTCAATATGCAAACAGCTCCTAAAAGACCGCTGTCATTTGTGATCTTCAGCAGTTGATCTTCCTCTGATTCGGCTTAGCAAAGAAACTTTCCAAAGATGTCTGCTTCTTACTAATTTTGCTGCTTGTGGGATAAATTTGGGCACTCAAGTAATCGATATGTAACCGAAAAAAAATGCTCAATTTATTTTTGCAAAATAAAAGACAGGTTAGACTCAGATAATAAATAAAATAATTAATCATTTCTTGTGTGGCCCTGTACCAATTGTAACGGTCCGTGGCTTGACGGTTGAGGACCACTGTTCTATAGTCTTTCATTGAACTAGCTACTTATACATGCTGATGTCTATAGAGATGACAATTATAATCATTTTACACATAATCTGATAATGTGTGTTATTCAAAACAAGGGCACACTGTTTAGCTAGGTTTACTTTATTTTTGTTCCAGTTAAACTGCCACTCACTTTCATGTATTTAATGAGAAGTTGATGAATTGGCATGTTGTAAATCCAGCAGCTGTAATCTCTCTACTGCAGTGGAGACTAACATGGTGGCACCCATCAGATGTCACATACTAATATGATCTGTATTAAAATGTTGTTATTATTAATAAATGTCAAATATTTCACAACATAATCAATTTAAGCTGAGAATATTGGTCAATAGGATCAGGCAGAACCTCCGCACACACTGTGTTTTAAAGTGTAGTGAAGCACTGTGTTCATATACACAAACTTTTTACATTCAACTTCATTCATTCATCCTTCGGCTTAGTCCCTTATTTATCAGGGGTTGCCACAGCGGAATTCCAGCATATGTTTTACACAGCGAATACTCTTTCAGCTGCAACCTAGTACTGGGAAACACGCATACACTCTCGCATTCACATACATACTCATACACTACGGCCAATTTCAGTTCATCCAATTCACCTATACATCATGTCTTTGGACTGTGGGGGAAACCGAAGCACCCGAAAACCCACGCAAACACAGGAAGAAGCCCACACAGACACGCCAACTGGCCCAGCCAGGACTCGAACCAGTAACCTACTTGCTGTAAGGTGACAGTGCTAACCACTGAGCCATGTGCCACCCCTACTTTAAACGTTGTTTCTTCCAATTTTAAAATAATATTTTCAAAAGAAGAGTAAGAAATTTAAATAAAAAAGGGACAAATTATGCAAAAAAAGAGAGATGACTCATCCAAAGCTGACAATTCTGTCATCATTTATTAACCCTTCACTTGTTTAAACCTGATTGAGTTTTTTTTTTTATCTGATACAAAACTAATGAATGCTTTTGAAGAGAGCAGAAAACCGGTAACCATTGACTTCCAGTATGTTTTTTTTTCAATGTAAGTCAATGGTTACCGGTTTTCAGCATTCTTCAAATTATCCTTCTTTTGGTTCAGCAGCGACAAGAAGCTCATAAAGGTTTGGAACCATTTGAGAGTGTATAAATTGTGAGTAAACTTTGGGGTGAGCTATCTCTTTAAGACCTAAGCTTACTCTACGTTATGTTTGGCAGCATATTTCTTCATCCACACTCATTGATACAATTCTCCCAAACAACGAAGAGTGATTCCATATGCCTCAGTCTTAAAAAAAGACACTGTCAGCAGCTTGCGTCCAATGAAGGAGATATATTGTTTTGAGCTTTCCAATTGAGACAGAGCAGATCAGATTTCCTCGATGACTGAGAAGAAAATGAATAGTGTGGGAGGAGCACGTGGAATTGATTTAAGAAACTGTGTGTTTTTCAAGACCCATGCATTAGTTTGATGTATGCCAGACCGTCTTCGCATTGCCCTTCATATGCCATTGAGGTGGAATATTGTTTTCTCCCTCTGCCCTGAAATTCTCACCCTATAATTTAGTCTGGCACATGACACCAGCTTTACTGTTGAAGGCACCGGGGGTCTTAATAGCATATTAAACACATTAGACGTAGCTGAAAATGACGTGATCTATTGTTATGAAATTTTACTCGGTGAGGTCTCGCTTCTGGATTATTAGTTCTGACAGCTCCTGCAGTGTTAGACACACACACACACACACACACACTCACTCACACACACACACACACACACACACACACACACACACACACACACACACACAAAACAAAGTGTTCTTAAAGTGACAGTTCACCCAAAAAATGTAGAATTTTCTCATCATTTACAGTACTCACGCTGAAGTAATTTAAAACTTATATTAATTTATTTATTCTGTTTAATAAAAAACAATATATAAAGTTGCCATTGACATCCATAGTAGAAACATAAATACAATGGAAGTCAATGGCTTTTTTCCCCCAACATTCACTTCACTTTAAAGTATCTTTCTTTTGTGTTAAGCAGAAAAATAGCTTGAATAGGTTTTCAACAAGGGGAAGATGAATAAATGATAATAGAATTAAAATTTTTTAAATGAACTATCCCTTTAAAGGGACAGTTTATCCAAAGCTGAAGAATATCTGAAGAGTTCAGATTTAATAACCTCCAAATACCCACTGAAATTCTCTGCTAAAATTAACTTTTTTTCTCAGCTTACTATGTTTATGTTCAGATTTATCACTTTAAATTCAATTAAATAATAATTTTTTGCCATAAAAATGGATTTACTGAACATACTCACAGGACTTTAAGAAAAATGGCTATTTTAGAAGAAACTTTCAGATGGTACTTTTTTGTTTTTTGCATCTGAACACTTCATCTTTTATTTTTATTTTACCCTCAGGCCATATAAAATCCAAAAAACCCACGCAAACACGGGAAGAACTCCACACAGAAACGCCAACTGGCCCTGCCGGGACTCGAACCAGTAACCTACTTGCTGTAAGGCGACAGTGCTAACCACTGAGCCATGTGCCACCCCTACTTTAAACTTGGTTTCTTCCAATTTTAAAATAATATTTTCAAAAGAAAAGAGTAAGTCATTTAAATAAAAAAGGGACAAATTATGCAAAGAGAGAGATGACTCATCCAAAGCTGACAATTCTGTCATCATTTACTGATAAAGGGTTTTGAAGAGAGCAGAAAACCAGTAACCATTGACTTCCAGTAAGTTTTTTTTTTCTATGTAAGTCAATGGTTTCCTGTTTTCAGCATTCTTCAAATTATTCTCCTTTTAGTTCAGCAGCAACAAGAAGCTCATAAAGGTTTGGAACCATTTGAGAGTGTATAAATTGTGAGTAAACTTTGGGGTGAGCCATCTCTTTTAGACCTAACCTAAGATGTATTGTTGAAACTAGAAGTTTACACACACTGTATAAAAAGGCACATAACCATTTAAAAAAAGTTGGATGTTAATGTGACTAAACTTTTTTCTCTTTTATGTAAGTTAGGATTGTCAAATTAGTTTCTGTAATGCTTAATAGCAGAATAATGAGAGATATATTTTTTGAGAAATTGTTATAACTTTCCTTGAAAATCAAAAGTTTACATACAATAAGATTATTATGCTTCTGAAAAAGCTCAGATGATGGTGTCAAGGTTTTGAAAGTTTCTGATTGGCTAATTGACAACCTTTGAGTTAATTGGAGGCACAACTGTAGAATAGTATTTAAGGAAACCCTCAAACACACTGCTTCCCTGTGTGACAACATGGGGAAATCAACAAGCCAGAATCAACAAAAAAGCCAGATTACAATTTGCTAAATTACACCGGGAAAAATACTAATTTTGGAGACATATCCTGTGGTCTGATGGAACTAAGATTGAACCGTTTGGCCATAATGACCAGTGTTACATTTGGAGGACAAAGGGAAAAGCTTACAAGCCTAGGAACACCAACTTAACTGTGAAGTATGGGGGCGGCAGCATCATGTTGTGGGGCTGTTTTGCTGCAGGAGGGACTGGTATACTTCACAGCAAAGATGGCATCATGAAGAAAGAACATTATTTAGAAATACTGAAGCAACATCTCAAGACAGCAGCCAGGAAATTAAAATGGGTCTTCCAAACAGACCATGACAATAAGCATACTGCCAAATTAGTTAAAATTTGCTTTAAGGACAACAGAGTGAATGTTTTGGAGTGGCCATCACAAAGCCCTGATCTCAATCCTATGGAAAATTTGTGGGCAGAGTTAAAAAATCTTGTGCGAGCAAGACACCCTACAAATCTGACTCAGTTACACCAATTCTGTCAGGAGGAATGGGCCAAAATTCCTTTAAACTATTGTGAGAAGCTTGTGGACGGATACACAAAACATTTGACCAAAGTTATACAGTTTAAAAGCAAAACTAAAAAATACCAAGGAAATGTTTGCAAACTTTTGACTGTCAAGAAATTAATCAAAAATTTAAGAACAGAGGACGCGTAAAATTTATCGCATGTGTTCTTGATGTCGAGGGTGCATGGATGCAGACTTGTGCACCGAACTCGCTCTAGAAGTCCCAGAAGTCATTGCAACCGGAGGTGCATTTTATATCGATTTATTATTAAAGTTCAGTGATATAACTTATTTACCTCAGGAGTTCCCCTAAATGAGATGGTGAATTAAACATTACCATGAAAATCTTAATAAAGCAATTAACACAATAAGGGTGTTTGTTTGCTGAAATTCCTATTAAAATCTGTTTTATTTATATTGTGCAGTGTATATTTGTAAAGTCTTAGGTTGTTACTTTGGTTAATAATAAAATACTAGTGGCGGGCCGTTATCAGCGTTAACGTGCTGCGTTAACGCGAGACTCTTATCGCACGATAAAAAAATATTGCCGTTAATCTATTCTCAAAGTTGGGTTGGGAGCTGGGTCTATTTTGCGCAAGCTATGAAGACTTTCACCTTGATATTTTATCTTGGATGTATACCTGACCGGTGAGCCGTCTGAAAAAAAATGCCCTTCTGAATCCAATCAACAGGATGCCTGACTTCAACTGCTGTTCGGCCGTTTCCCTTTAGCTCATGAACATTTCATTCATGCCGTCATGACAAACTGGGGTATTAGACACAAATAAGGAGTAAGGACTGGTGAGAGTGTTATGGAATTTAATAATGCACGCCAAATGGAAAGAAAACAAACTCCCACATTTCGTGATGTGTGTGTGTGTGTGTGCAGTCGTTTACTGGCAGCCATTGCGGTGTTTACTTCAGTAATGCCACTAATATATGCATACTTCACATGTCTTAACTCCATTTCTGTTTAGTTCAGTTATGACTTCATTCGGATTAAGGTAATCAAAAAATCGCTGTTTGGAGCTTATGTAGGCCTACAGTTCAAAATTCATGTTTAACTGAATAAACATTAAAGTTGATTAAAGTCGATAAAGTGGGATTGAATTGAATTGAATTGAATTGTGTATTAAATGATATATTGAGAATGCTGAATAAAACCAGCTTGTGGAAGAAACTGGGCAATATTTATACAATTATTTAAACCTTTAATGTACAGCCTTGACAAATGGCCCTGAGTCTGTTCATGATAAACTGGAACTCAAATGCAAACTTAGATGGTGTGCGCAACTGATATTATTGCTTTCTAAACATGTTCCAGATGAAGGATTGTGGGACATCTTAATCAAGGACATTCCCAAGGAAGTGACATCGTACACCTTTAACATGGATATCTTGAAGCAGGGAGTCAGCTATGACTTCAGGGTCATTGGTGTAAACGATTATGGGTACGGCTCACCAAGCCAACCGTCACCATCCATATCAGGTTAGTTACATTTACATGGATTCATTTAGCGTGTGGATTTATTCAAGACAACTTACAAATCACTCGAGTGTTGATCAAATAGATCTGAGGTTACGTTGAGACCAACACTTCTAATAATAACTTTTGCTTTTTTTTTCCAGCCCAGAAAGTAGCTCCGTTTTATGAGGAATGGTGGTTTCTGGTGGTGGTGGCTCTGGTCGGCCTTATCTTCATCCTGCTTCTGGTTTTCATCCTCATCATCAGAGGCCAGAGCAAGAAATATGCCAAGAAATCTGATTCAAGTATGTGATACTATCTATCTATCTATCTATCTATCTATCTATCTATCTATCTATCTATCTATCTATCTATCTATCTATCTGTCTGTCTGTCTGTCTGTCTGTCTGTCTGTCTGTCTGTCTGTCTGTCTGTCTGTCTGTCTGTCTGTCTGTCTGTCTGTCTGTCTGTCTGTCTGTCTGTCTGTCTGTCTGTCTGTCTGTCTGTCTGTCTGGATCAGTATCCATCCATATCTATCCATCTAACCATATTTGTATCCATCCTTTAATCCATCTATCCTTCTGTGTCCATCTATCATCCATCCGTATCCATCCATCCATCCATCCATCCGTATCTTTATCCATCCATCCATTTGTATCTATATCCATTCATCCACCCATATCCATCCACCCATCTGTAATCGTATCCATCCATCCTTATCCATCCATCTGTATCTATCCATTGCCATCCAACCATCTGAGATTTCATTTATCCATCTACCCATAACCATCCACCCATCTGAGATTTTATCCATTCAAGTATCCATTACCATCCAGCCATCTGAGATTTCATCCATCCATCCATCTATTACCATCCACCCATCTGAGATTTCATCCATCCATCCGTCCATTAACATCCAGGCATCTGACATTTCAAACATCCATTACCATCCAGCCATCTGAGATTTCATCCATCCATCACCATCGAGCCATCTGAGATTTCATCCATCAATAACCATCCAGCTGACTGAGATTTCATCCATCCATTATCATCCAGCCATCTGAAATTTCATCCATCCCTCAATCCGTTACAATCCAGCCATCTATACATCCATCCATCCATCTCTTACCATCCAGCCATCTGTGATTTCATCCATCTATACATCAATCCATGTCTTACCATCCAGACATCCGAGATTTCAACCATCCATCCGTCCATTAACATCCAGCCATCTGAGATTTCATCCATCTATACATCCATCCATCTCTTACCATCCAGCCATCTGAGATTCCATCCATCCATCTATCCATCCATTACCATCCACCCATCTGAGATTTTATCCATCCATCCCTCCATTACCATCCAGCCATCTGAGATTTCAAACATCATTACCATCTAGCCATCTGAGGTTTCAGTCATCCATCCATCCATTACCATCCACCCATATAAGATTTTATCCATCCATCCCTCCATCCATCCATGACCATCTAACCATCTGACATTTCCTCCATCCATACATCCATCCATCCTCTACCTGTATAACTATTGTTTTATCATTCTAACTACCATTTCTAATATTGAACCACAAAATGTTAGACAGATGGATGGACGGACAGACAGATAGATAGATTAATAGATGTGTTTGTTAATATCAGAGAGTTCTTCAGTGAGAGTCTTGATGAATCAAGCTGCATTGTTGACATCATCAATGTGGTATGTGTGTGTGTAAATGTGTGGTCAGAGTTTCGAGGGATAGAATGATAGCGTTAGAATGAAGCAGCATTGTTGCTGTTGTGACATAATCAGTGTGGTATGTGTGTGTAAGTGTGTGGTCAGCATTTCTCTAGTGAGAGCAGGCAGATCACAACACTAACGAGGGCTGGACACAGTTATATGGGTCACTGAACATGTTAAACAAACTGAGACTAACACACACACACACATACACATGCACTCACACATGCACACACTCTCCATAACACAAATCTTAAACTACTATACAAATGCAAACCATTTATAAAACAGCACCTGCCGACCCAAAATTATTAGGCTAAAACAAGTTCACCAAAGATAAAAATGTGTTCACTTTTGTCACTAAATCTCAATAATAAACATTTATGTTTTTTTTTGTTTTTTTTTTCAAATTAATATGTTTTATGGAAGCCATTGACTTCCATAGTAGCAAATAAATAATAATATAAAAGTCAATGGCTGGTGTTTACTTACAAAAATATCAAAAATATATAATATTTTATGTTCATCAGAAGACAAGTGGAACCAGTGGAGAGTGAATAAATGCTGAAAACTTTTTTCTGATTTTTACTCTTCTCTATTACACTGAAAACCCTGATAATTTGACTGAACAAAATTAATTGAGTAAACTCGTTGCCTCGAATTATTTGAGTAATGAAGTCTCCCAAAACTTGCATATTTAGTTTTATTTAACTTGCCGGTTTGGTAAATTGTTCAGTTCACTGTGTGCTTCTGTGTGTGTGTAATTATATGCTATAAAAAATATGTTTAAAAGAAAATAAGTAGCCATTTAATCCAATAATTAATAATGAATAGTGAATAATTATACATAAAGCCTAAAAGGTTGCACATATTAGAATTTTACAGTCAAGACTACATTAAAAATTACCAATTTTTTTTTTTCAAAGGATTGTGATTTTGAGCTTACTATACTTGAAATATTAAGTTTATGCATTTTCATCGTATATAAGTTAAATTAACTCATATTTTTAGGTAAATTTTAAGTATTGTTCAATTAACTTTACTTGATTGTTTAAGTAAAGACAACATATTAGGGTTTACAGTGTAGGTCCAACTGCTTGCAAGCGCAAATTTCTAATCAGCCAATCACATGGCAGCATATCAATGCATTTAGACATGTAGACATGTTCAAAACAATCTACTGCATTTCAAATCGAGCATCAGAATGTGGATGAAAGCTGATTTAAGTGACTTTGAAATGGCATAGTTGTTGATGCCAGACGGGCTGGTCTGAGTATTTTAGTAATGCTAATCTACTGGGATTTTCATACACACCCATCTCTAGGGTTTCAGAGAATGGTCTGAAAAAGAGAAAACATCCAGTGAGCGGCATGTATGTGGACGCAAATGTCTTGTTGATGTCAGAGAAGCATGGCCAGACTGGTTCCAAGTCAACTGTAACTCAAAAAACCACTCGTTACAACTGAGGTATGCAGAAGAGCATCTGCCTTGCAGTGGTGGTGTAATGGTGTGGGGAATATTTTCTTGGCACACTTTGGGCCTATTAGTATCAATTGAGCATCATGTCAATGCCAACAGTCTATCTGAGTGATGTTGCTGACCATGTTTATCCCCTTATGACCACAGTGTACCCATCTTCTGATGGCTACTTCCAGCAGGATAATGCACCATGTCGTAAAGTGAGAATCATCTCAGACTGGTTTCTTAAACATGACAATGAGTTCACTATACTCAATTGGCCTCCACAGTCACCAGATCTCAATCCAATACAGCACCTTTGGGATGTGGTGAAATGGGAGATTTGCATCATGGTTGTGCAGCCCACAAATCTGCAGCAACTGCGTGATGCTATCATGTAAATAATATGGAACAAAATCTCTGAGGAATATTTCAAGTACCTTGTTGAATCTATGCCACAAAAGGATTAAGTCGGTTCTGAAGGCAAAAGGGGGTTCAACCTGGTACTAGTAAGGTGTACCTAATAAAGTGGCCAGTGATTGTATATTACAAACAGCAGCATCTTCTGCAGATCTAAATGTGTCACACCTAAGCTATTTATTGTGCTATTTGGTCTAATGGGCTCCTAATATTTCCACATCTCTTCCATAAAGGCAACAATTCCAACTGCAATGCCCTGACACATGGAGAAATGGTCAGCCTGGACGAGAGCCGCTTCCCTGCTTTAGAACTGAACAATCGACGTCTGTCCGTCAAAAATTCCTTCTGTCGCAAAAATGGCGTCTATACCAGGTCAGTGAAAGTTTCTGCTTCTATTTATCTCAGCTTTTCATTGAAAACATGCAGTATTTTTTTACAGGACCATGCAGATTTTTAAGTTTTTTAATGTGACAGTGCTGATTTTACAGCTACAATATATCAGATTAGTTGTAAATATAAAAATAGCTGCAACTCAATATGCTAATGTTCATGTTTTACTTTGCCCAATAGGTTGGGTCATTTTATGAAGTAGTAAATCAATTATCATATGTGCTTATATTGTTCTTTACACATAAACCTATTAAACTTCCATAAAGCTTCCACTGCTTGGCAATAACGAGTTTTTAAAGGCCTAAAATCTTGGAGTTTTTCTTTCATTATGGAAAAGCTGATGCGATTACCAAATGGTTACCTTCTTAAGATCCCGCTTTCCATCATAAAAGTCAGTATAAAAAGTTTCTGTTTCCACTAATGAGAACATTTTTCTCTGACATGTCACAGGCTAAGTGCAATAACAGGTTCAGGTTCGTGACCTAAGCTATACTGCCACAGCTCTCTCTCTCTCTCTTTCTTTGAAATGAGACTGTTTTTAAAATATATGCTCCCAGTGTCTATTAATGCAAGCAAATCTATATGTGTTTGTTTAGTGGAAAAGCATGTTTAATTTTGCAACCCATTTTTTGTATTATTTATGTTTATTGTTTTTTTTTTATTTAATTGATTCATAGTATTTTTGTTTTGTACGTTTTTCCCTTTTGCATGCTTTTTGTTTTAAAAAATTTTAATATTATATTTTAATTTTAGCCTATTTTATATATTACAATTTGTTATCTCCTATTTATGAAGTAAACATTTTGTGGTTTTATTTAATTGAAATTATTTGTATAGTTTTCTTTTATTATTATTTCTAATATTAAGTTTTAGTTTTAGCATATTAAATATATTAAGTATTATTTTATCTCTTATTTATGAAGTATACATTTTTGTTTGTTTTATTTAATTAAAGTTATTTGCATGGTTTTCTTTTATTATTTTTTTTATAATATTATATTTTAGTTTTAGCCTATTAAATATATTAAAATATTTTTTCTCCTATTTATTAGGTATATATTTAGTGTTTTATTTAATTGAATATTTTTTTATTTGTAAGGTTTTATTTAATTATTTTTTATAATATTATATTTTATTTTTAGCCAATTAAATATATAATATTTTTATCTCCTATTTATTAAGTATATATTTTGTTTGTTTTATTTAATTACATTTATTTGTATGTTTTTATTAGTATTTTTAATATTATATTTTAGCTTAAGCCTAATAAATATAAGTATTTATCTCCTATTTATTATGTATATATTTTGTTTACATAGAAAATTTGATTATTTTACCATTTTTTCCTCTTGCAAAAAATACAATTAACTAGAGTAAGTCAATGGTTTATTTCACACTTTTTATTACCCACACAGTCTTAATAATTAACCAGATTGCTTAAAAGCATTTTGAATGTTTTATAGTATTACTTATGTCCATATCACATAAATTACAAATTTCAATACAACAGTGAATGCTTTTTTATTTTAACTAAGCATTGTCATGAATAGCCTCTCACACCTGTAGTGATATAAATCCAGGTGTGCCATATGTCTGAGTCATCTGAGAAATCCCCCTATTATACCTCTTAGTTTTGGGCTCCTTTCCTCCCTCATCCTGGGTCACCTTGAGTTTGATCAAAGCTGCTCTGGTCTTTGAGGAGATGCCAGACTCTTTCCTCTGACCGCAGATTATAGAAGAGGTGAGGGAGGAATGTGCAGATGAAGATCCACAGGCTTTCTTCTCTCTCTTTCTCTCTCCGGTGGACAGTCTGTGAAGCCTGAGGCTGCATTTACACCCATGCGGTTTACTTTTAACACAGTGTTTTAAAGTTTTTAGGGTGTTAAATCATCCAAATCCATACCATTATTTACATCATGTTTCAAAAAAAAAGATCTTCATTCACATTACTAAACACAATGTTTGTTATAAAAAAACTCCAAAATTGCATTTGAGAGGGGAAATACATATAAATGTATTAATATAAAGCACATGTGAATAGTATAAACTGTATTTGAAAGAAAAAAAAAAGTCATGTTTACAGTTTTTTACAATGGCTATGACAGTTTTTTCAATACATTTAACAAGTTTGCTAAACTCTTAACGCAGCAACACACCTAAAACACACAATTGGCAAAACAGTTAATTTCATGCTCAAAATCACACATTGTGAACTAAACCTCTAAACTACTTTTCAAAATACAATTATAAACAAACACACTACACCATGTCTAACAAAACACTACAAACATGTTTCAAAATGAAATTATTGTTCAAAACACAAACACAACAGAAACATTCAGTCAATCAGAAAACACTGACAATAAAAACACTATCATCAGCTGACATTACAGAAACTGCATTAGTTTATGTGTCAGCTCTGCCCTTATATTTGAAGCCTCTCTACATTTTCATTTTGTTGGGTTTAGTAAATGCATGCATTTTCTTTCTTTTACTGCAAAAATTTAATACAAAAATAAAGAAAAAAAGTGCTTAAAAAATTTACAGCTGATGTAAAAATATACATACAGACACAGAGTTGCTGCAGTACAGACTTTATTTGCAAAAGAAGAAAAAAAAAAGCATTGTAATTACAAGAAAAAACTAAATAATTTTCTATTCTGCCTGGTCTTCTGCATTTGCCCGACTTTTTCTCTAGCCCAGCATGGTAACAATGGCTTTTTGGCCTATTATGTTTCTCCTACGGCGACGCCTTTTCGCCAAGTTGAAGCCAGCCTCGTCAACATAGATAATTTACAGTAATGTGGTATTTGATTGACCTCCAACTTCATGACTCTCTAAAAGTAATTAGACACAGTGTAAATGCTTTACTGTACTGTATAACTAATGTATGTACTAATGAACTCTAGGTTTATAGAGTAGTACTGCAAAACACACTGTGCATAGTAAAGTAATCACTGTATTCCATAACCTTACCTGGACATATTGGTGATGGAGTTTTGTAATGTGCTCACTGTTCCTTTCAAAAACCTCATGAGTTCTTTTTTAGAACATACAGTATGATCATGTGATTTGAAAAAATTCAACACATGAGTGTACTTTCTAGATGGGAATCATGTTCATATGGGAGATATACACACACACTTTGGCTTTAGCCTATAATAGGTTCTGTTTAGATCATGGTGATATCTGTTCTGACATACTGTGTGAAAGCATTGGTAAATTGGACTGTAAAATTACATTGTTTTGGTCTTGGTTGAGTTTGTGTGTAAAAGAAGTTCAAGCATTTTAAATTTGTGTTAACTGGATGCATTTTGTGTCAAAGCAACAAGAAATATGTTAACTGTATAGCCCACGAAGACGGATGCTGTGCTAACCATGTTAAGAATTTAGAAAACTTGTTAAATGTATTGAAAAAAGTGTCATAGCCAGTGTAAAAAACTGTAATTTGGCAGCAAATCAATTTTACTAATATTCAGAGTAGATAGAAAATCTTAAAATATAGTAACTATATGATTACTTACTTACTCCCAGGGCCATTTATATTGAAATTGATATTTAGCTGTACCATACTGGTGCTTCGTAACATCTAGTTTTTATGAGGTGAGTTGTTAGCTCAATGTTCAACTTCTAATATGGAGGACCAGGACATAGACACTACAAATTATCTTGCCCAATTCACCTACAGCGCATGTCTTTTGACTGTGGGGGAAACTGAAACACCCTGAGGAAACCCTTGTGAACACAGGAAGAACTTGTAAACTTCACACAGAAATGCCAACTGACCCAGCCGAGGTTCGGACCAGCAACCTTCTGGATGTGAGGCGACAGTGCTACCCACTGCGCTACCGTGTCTCCCAACTATATAATTAAAGTACTAAATTGTATATACATTATTTAATTCAAACAAATGATATAGCTATTAAACCATCCCAATCCATACCAGCATTTACACCATGTTTTAGAAGCATATCTTCATCCACACTTATTAAAACTTGTGTAAGAGTCTAAAAGTAGCTATTAAACTTCCCAAAATAAAGCATAAATTGTAAAGGCATTTATTATAAACAACTCTTAACTTGCCTTTGATAGAAAACAAACAAACAAAAATATAATTATAAATAATTTTAAGTGACAAGCTTATTTTAAAATGTAAGGCACGTTAAAGTTGGCAAAAAACCTGTTTTTGCTACTCAGAAGAGAAAGAAAATCTTAAAATATCAGTAACCAAATTGTTTACAGTAATTCAATGAAACATAAAATTTGAAATAAAAAAATAAAAACTTTTAATCAGTAAAGAGAACAAAACAAAACTCTGTATATACAAATAATGATCAACATCAGGTCTAGAATGTACTGACACATGTATTGAATATTCATTCATTCAATTATTCATTCATTTTCCTTCGGCTTAAGCCTGGTTTATACTTCTGCATTGAGTGATCGGCATGACCCACGGAGCATGCCTTGCGCATTGCCATGCATTTTTACTTCTGCGTGTTGTTTTGTTGCTCTGCAATAACACTTCCAAAACACTAGTTGGCAGTAGGTTTTTATGTTTCTCTGTGTCGAGTTTCTTCGATGGTGTTTTTTTTTTTTTTTCTAAACGCTACCTCGATGCAACATGCAACAACTTTGTTAAGGTAAACACAAAACAAAAGTTTTCATCTGGAGCTCCCTTACGGACTTGACACTTTTAAACACTCGCTCCAACGAGTTCTTGCGGCTCTTGGTCCCGCCCACACTTATTAGCGCTACCAAGCCGACCAATCACAGAGCTTTCGATTTGTGTCATTGCGACGTGTAGTTAAATTTTTTGAGAGGTACGCGTCAGCATCGGGGACTGCTATGCGACCACGCTCAGGCTGCGCTGGAGCATACGCATGCGCTTGATGCAGAAGTATAAATCAGCCTTTAGTCCCTTCATTCATCAGGGATCGCCACAGTGGAAAGAACCCCCAACCTATCCAGCACATGTTCCACACAGCAGATGCCCTACCAGTTTCAAACAAGCACTGGGAAACACCCACACACACTCATTCACACACATACACACACACTAAGGACAATTTAGTTAACCCAATTCACCTATAGTGCATGTCTTTGGACTGGAGGATACCAGGGCAACAGAAGGAAACCCATGTCGTGTCGCCATCTTATTGAAAATTATTAAAGCTAAATAAATGTCTCTCATTCAGAAAAAAAAAAATAAATAAATAAATAAATTTCCTGTCATTTTTGGGCACACAGATAAGAGTAAAACATCTATTTATCTATTTGTGTGTACTCACAATAAAAACAAAACATTTTTAGGAATTTCTTTCTGCCGTCTCAGTTTCTTCGAACTTGAGGCATTTCTGAAAAATTAAACAAAACTCAGCGTGTTGGTCACATGATCAGTCTTAACAAATCAAGGAGGGAGACACAATGATCCCAAAGAACCAGTCAGAAAGTGATCTTGGGAAGCCACACATTTTCAGAATTACAAATATGTTCTTTATATGTCTAGATATATTAGATATGACTTGATTTATATTTTCATACATTATCATAAATCAGATTTATGTTTGTGTTTTAATGTATCTTATCATTTTTAGTGATATAATAAAAGAAAATAGGGAAAAATGGCGTAGACAAATTTTTTGTAAAAATTGGTAGTAGATTTCACAACTATTTACAACCAAAGCTACAAGGTAGTACTGAAATAGCTATGAAATAGTCATATAGAATAACTACGATATTATTTTTTTGTCAGTTGAATTATGATAATCCAATGATACTCAATTTACAATGTGTGCAGTGTATTAATTAAATCATTTGGACTTTTAGAAGTTCATGATGATGCGTATGCAGTTTCTTAATATATAGTTGATGTCTTATGAATCAGTTTGTTGTAGCTATATATATCTACATACTCAGTGAGTAGGTTTGTTTTTTCTAGGTTTGAAATCAACAGTATAGAAAGTTGTGTAAACAAATAGTACGCTAATAGTCTGCAAACAACAGCTAAAGTGGTGCTGAGTGCATTTTAAAAGAAAACAAAACACATTGTATGTTTTAATTCATTTATTCATTGAATTTCTTTTTGGCTTAGTCACTTTATTAATCAGGGGTCGCCACAGCAGAATGAACCGCCAACTTATCCAGCATATGTTTTACACAGCAGATGCCCTTCCAGTTACAACCCAGCACTGGGAAACACCCATACACTATTGCATTCACACACATACACCACAGATAATTTAGTTTATCCAATTCATCTATAGCGCATGTCTTTGGACTGTGGGGGAATTCGGAGCACCCAGAGGAAACCCATGCCAACACAGGGAGAACATGCAAACTCCACACAGAAATGCCAACTGACCCAGCTAGGACTAGAACCAGTGACATCTTGCTGCGAGGCGACATTGCTAACCACTGAGCCACCGTGCCACCCCATATGTTTTAATTCCTTTTTGTTAATGCTAAAATCTTAATCATTTCCAATCAGTCTGTTATTAATTTTATTTGTTTGGTTTTTTTTTTGGTTTCTCTCTTGTACATGAAGTTACATTTTAAAAACTGGAATTGCACTGAACTCTTTACAGGACTATTTCAGATTTTCAGGCTAAAAACTGAAGTCAGTGAAAGATGCTTTTATATTTGCAGTAGCTGCAAGGTATTCGCTTCTCTCCACTGCTGTGTCACAGAGAGTTATTTCTGCAGAACTGCCTAAGAGCTGGCATCTTACAGTGGTCCCATGATGCTCATAAAGAAACCCCTCTTAACACAAACACACACTGTACTTCATTCACCTAACAAAGAGACAAGTGTCTGCAGCCAGAATTAAGGCCAAACTAATCCGGCAAATCTGAAGATGTTTCACACAGCAGTCCAGAGTTTGGATCATTAAATTTTTTTTTCGGTTCTTTTGCATTTATTTGATATCAGTGTATTAAATAAAATGTTATTACAATTTAAAACAATAAATTTATATATATATATATATATATATATATATATATATATATATATATATATATATATATATATATAGAATGTGAATCATTCTGAGATTGCAAAGCATCAGATTTAGAAATCTTGAATACTAATATGCTGATTTCATAGATAGGAGACTTTTAGTACATTTATTATCATTTATATTAATTATAATAATAATAATAATTATTATTATTATTAGTAGTAGTAGTAGTAGTAGTAGTAGTCTCAATGTCAAAAACATTTGTTTAGAAAGAGAGGTAAAGAGAGGTAAGTAATATAATAATAATAACATGTATAAATAATGGTATTTATATAATAATAATAATAATAATAATAATAACGTTATTATTCTGATTTTATTACTATTATTATTATTATTATTATTATTATTATTGTTGTTGTTATTATTATTACTATTATTATTATGACTATTATTATTATTATTATTATTATAAATCTCTCTACTGTTTCTTTACTGTATCCTTGTCAAAATAAAATATTAATTTCTTTAATTTTCCGAAAAAAACAAAACAAAAGGAAATAATATTTGTGCTGACTCCAAACTTTTGCACAGAAAAAAAGGATGAATAAATTGTGTACAATTGTTTACAACATTTATAATAATGTTACATATTTCTTGAGCATCAAATTCACTAATTATTATGATTTCCGGAGAATCATGTGAGAAACTGAAGACCAGAGTAATAACGCCGAAGCATTATCAACTTTACATTACAGGAATAAATGGCATTTTTAATAGAACTCAAATAGAAAACATTATAAATTGTGAAAAAATGTATATTATTTTACTGTACTTTCATCAAATAAATAGTGTGTCAAAGTAATAATTCAGTATATAATTCAAACAGTAATAAATTCGGAAATGCACACAGTATTGTCCTGTGCTAATATAAAAATTGTGTCATGTGCTGTTTTTGGCTCAGGTCACCTCCTCGTCCCAGTCCAGGCAGTCTGAATTACTCGGATGAGGACGTCAGCACTAAATACAATGATCTGATCCCGGCGGAGAGCAGCAGTTTGACAGAGAAACCCTCCGAGATCTCAGATTCACAGGTAACACACCTCCTGCCATGAGACAGCAATGCTTCTCAGTAGATCTTACAAGATCACCACAAAGAGCAAATTCTACCCTCATTTTCTCACCATGAGTTCAGAAGGTATCAAACTTTAAAAAAGACCTACAAATTCTGGAAAAGTATCCATATAGACTTTTTTGGTACCATCTAGACTACTTTTCTGATACATTTATTGCACTTTTAGCTCCTTTTTAAAGGTGAAAAGCTCCAGTAGGTATTGTAATTGACATGTTTTTTTCTTTTTATATGGTCTGAATGACATAAAAAACTTCAATGTTTATTTTGATAGCGCACATTGTTAGTCTTAAGGTAAAACATTAATTGGTGCAAAGTAATCCACTGTTATGGTCATTTTTTCAAAATCTAAACATCTGCTTTTTTCTCGGGAATGGCAGTGTCCTTCTTTTATGATGTCAGTTTGACAGCTTGGCCGAAAATATGCAGAGAAAGCTAAAATGTCGTCCAAACGCTGCTATTTCCAAAGAGCTTCATCTGTTTCTATGTTTGAGCTTCCAAATAGAGATCTGCGCGGAACTAAATTTTAGTCCGAACCCGACCACTCCCACTTATATTTAGCATTTGTTGTCCCTCTGTCCGACCTGCACCGTTTTCTACCCACCGTGACCATTCCTGGTGATGTGTTCGCGAACAGTGGAGCAAAACCAAAAACCACCGAGCTACATGATATAGAGTCCAGACAGCCTATAACAAACTGTCTGTATGAACACACACATAGACACACAGCACCATGCAAGCTACAAGCAGCATCACACTCTCTCTGATTCACACACATACACACACACATAGACAGCACCAAGCTAACGATGCACAGCATCATGCTCTCTCTCTCTCATTCACACACATACGTATACACCCACACATAGACAACAACAAACAAGAGACACACAGCATCATGCTCCCTCATTCACACACATACATACGCGCGCTCGCTTGCTTGGGAGCGATATTGTTAGACAGCCCGCTCTCGTTCAAATTACAGTCAAATTACATGAGTTACCGACAACTCCTGCATTTTATTCTGAAATTTATGCAAATCTCTACTTCCAAAGGACACGACACAAAGAGAGAAATGCTTACAGTTTAATTTAATTATGTTCCAGAGAATTATTAAAATAATATATAGGTACTATTTGACAAAGGACAGCTTTTAGAATCTCTTGCAGTTCATTGATCTATTACATGCACAGTTCCTAGCGTTAATGGTAAGTACATTGTAGCAAGGACGTAAACTAGAATTTTAACAATAGGAAATGCTGTTTGGCGCTGTTAACAATTTAGCTACAAATTTATGTTTGTCCGTCAAAGTGCTATAAACACAGACAATCCTATTTAAAATACACTTTTGAAAGTTTTCAGCATTATTAAATCACTCTGTTTACTCGATTCGAAGATAACACAAGAAAACATTTTGCATTCAGTAATGCTGAACATCTCAATAACACAACCAAGATGTTTTAAAGCAAAATATTTGTATAAATGACACCTAAGGGTGAGTAGATATAGACAGAAACACGTTTTTTTTTTTGGTGAACTTAGGTGAACTTTAGCCTCAATTGGGATTTTCTAATGCTAAATCTAGTGGCATTCATTCAGAGCAGGACCTGTTGTAATTCCCTCATCACACACTTTTACTAGGACAAGACTGGCTGTGTGGAAACGTTCTCAAAAGTAGGATTCAGGCCTCCAGGACAGGTCTGTTGTAGCCTACTTGAGGTTTTGGCCGTCTTACTTGCATATGGCTTTAATCCAGGCTTGGTCCTCTGGGTGCTTCACTTCTTTTTTTTATCATGTCCAGAATGTTCTGCATTATCCTAGTTCATTCTCTCCAGACTTTTGTCCCGAGGCACATGCTGGAAAATCTGTAAATGGAGAGCAAACAGAGTGTTCGGCACAAAGGAAACTGTAATCTGACTAAATCCTCGCAAACACAGATAAAAAGGGAAGTGTGAGAACTGGAAAGCTTTGGTTGGGTGGTCTCAAGTGACTGTTTGATTGTCCACATACATCTCTATTGGAGTTGGGTGAGAGTCTGGCGTTGAGGTTTACTGAACCACAGACTGGCAGAGTGTGCAAAAAACACATGAGTCATTTTGTTTTCATATTGTAATATTTGCTTCTTTAAAGCACTGGTACACATAATTACAAGCATAATTACAACATACAAACATAAAAATCTAGTTTTAGTTTAGATGTGTTATGCTCCTTCCAATAGGCAGAGTGGATTTTGTTTCATTTTTTGTACAATTCATAATATAAACTCAGAACAAATGAAAACAAAAGTAATATTTTAATTGATTAGTTTCTCTATTTATTTGGATTATGAATCAATTATATTGTTATTATTGTTTTGCTGTTTATAGTATACAAAGAGTATTTATTAATGGATTAACCAATAGCAAAATAGTTTGTTTTACTAAAGTATCTGATGCAGAGACATTATTTTGTGTGTGTGTGTTGTCACTATCCATTGTTATTGTCACTGAAATACTTTTGTAGTTTTTGTTAGTAGTTTGAATTTGTTCATATTTTATTATTTTGATTTTTTATTTGTTGAGTTTTATTTTTGTATTTAATCTATTTTTCATTACATTTTTCACTTATTTTATTTAATGTTAGTATTTGATTCAATTTGTATTATTATTTTAATATTTAATTTAATTATATATTTTAATATAATATTTTTAAATTTATGTTATTATTTTCTTTTGTTTTTATTATTATATGTTTTTTATTTATATTTTATTTAATATTAATAGATTTTTTTTATTTTAATGTTATGTAATTCAAACATATTTTTATTATTTTAGTATTTAATTCTATATTTTCTTATATTTGAATATAATGTATGTTATTATTGTCTTTAATTTTTTATTATTATTTTAATATTTAATTTAATTTTATCTTTTATTGTACTATTTTAATATAATATTTAAATGTGATTATTGTCTTTAATTTTTTTATATTTTAATTTATTTATATTTAATTTAATTTAATATATTTTTTATTTAATTATATTTAATTAAACATAATATTTTTTATATTTAATTAAATGTTATTATAATATTTTACTATAATATTTTAATGTTTTTATTTTCTGTAATCTCTTTTATTATTTAATTTTTATTTGATTTATTTTAATAGAATTTTATTATTATTATTATTATTATTATTATTATTTTATTAATTTATTAATTAATATATTTATTAATTATTAATATCAAATTTAATTAAATTGTATATTTTATTTTAATATTTCAATATAATGTTTTGATGTTATTATTTTCTTACAATTTGAACTACTATTTAAATTTTATTTATATTTGATTTAATTTAATATTTTTTTTATTTAATGTTATTTAATTTTATGCAGCCAAAATGTATTTAAAGAAGTTTCATTTTACTTTATATATGAACAAATTCACAAAAAAGTATTAAATTAAATGTTATTATTTTCTTTTCTTTTAATATTATTTAATTTAATTTATTTTATATTATTTAATTTTAAAATCTCCCCAAATTCCATCCTTTCAAACACAAGCTATACCCTCTACATATTCGCTGACTCCTTCTGCCAGCACTTCTCCCGATGTCTGTCATCTGTCCCACTCTGGCTGCTGCTGGAGAACAGAGCGCCTCCTGTCCTGCTTCTGCTCCTGCTGAACTCCAGCATCATCACCGTCCAGCCGGGTGAAGAGAGAGCCTCAAATCACTCTTTGAAGTTTTATTGAGCGGAAAACTCCAGGCTATTGCACATCCATTGAGCTGTCTCCAAAAACACTACAATGCTGACTTTGTTCAGCTGGCAAAGCAGCAAACCTGAGCACCTTCACCTGAGCAGAGAAATTATATAAGATAAAAGAGATGCTGGACAGCTGTATTTCTGTCTGCCTCTCTGAGTTTGCTGGACAAGGAGGCTGTCTTTACACTAGTGCACTTTAGGTTTAGCATGCTGTTTTAAAAGGAAAGAAATCTTTATCTATTCTGGATAATATATTATTATAGTTCTTTCAATAGTCAAAAGCTTCAGAGTAGTGCGTAACGTTAGCATATACAGTAGCTATGCATTTTAAATTGAAACTTCTCTGGTGTAAATGTACCCTAAGTGTTTTCAAATCTGCTTTTGGTTCTATGTCAGAGACTTTGGCAGCATAGCTTCAGCTCTCAGCAGGGCAGATCTCCATGTCAAAGCATCTTTGTTTTAATTGGCTCTGTGATGATCATCCCAGCATCACATCATCAACACTGTCACATTCTTCCCAGAAAGACACAAATAGCTCAGAGTTTGTTCTCATGGAAAGTTTCTGCTTGGAATCAGTCAAGCTTGTGTTACAATGAAATTTCATTTGGAGAAGCGTGTCGATATATGGAGGATATCAGAATTCGATAAAACATCTAGGACTGGGTCATCAGGTGTTGATAATGCATTTGCAGTGTTTCAGTTTTAGCTTTTTCTGGCGACATAACTTTGTATTTTTTATTTTGTTTAATTTTTCATTTATTTTTGCTTTGTATGTGATACACTCATTTATTCATTTTCTTGTTGGCTTAGTCCCTTTATTAATCCATGATCGCCACAGCGGAATGAACCGCCAACTTATCCAGCATGTTTTTACGCAGCGGATGCCCTTCCAGCCACAACCCATCTTTGGGAAACATCCACACACATTCATTCACACTCATACACTACGGACAATTTAGCCTACCCAATTCACCTGTACCGCATGTCTTTGGACTGTGAGGGAGCACCCGAAGGAAACCCACGTGAATGCAGGGAGAACATGCAAACTCCACACAGAAACGCCAACTGAGTCGAGGTTCGAACCAGCGACCCAGCAACCTTCTTGCTGTGAGGCGACAGCACTACCTACTGCGTCACTGCATCGTCATGTGATACACTAATCAATGTAATTTAACAAACTTGGGAATTTGACAAGTAGCAATATTATAATTTTGTAA